TGGGCAGAAATAACATACTTTTCCGTGCATCGGCAAAATGACTCCTCCAGTCTTCTTCCAGTCCAAGTCAGAGTCAGGAAGTGAGCCGGGAGAAAAGGAGGAAGCAGAAACAGCTCTCTCTGGCTGCAGGTAGTGACCCTCAACCTTGACCTCCAACCTCAGCCTCCGTCAGTTTGACAACACACATGCTGACAAAACACAGATGTGCACACACACTTGTGCTGCCTACACTTTGCTGATATGGAAGGAACTTACTCTTTGATAGATGTCAACTAAAATAAAGACATTAATCAAGAAACATAATTTATCTTTTTTTTTATTATTTGACAACAATAATAACAGCATGTTGTATTTGTTCACTCATTACATTTACAGAAGTGGTCAGGAAAGTTTTCTGGATTAATGGACTTTGTTCACATAATCATCCATCCTTCCTTCCTTTATCTAACTTTTTGATGTTACTGGATGTACAGCTGCTGAAGAGATCTGCCCAAAAATACAACCCTCATACATAACATTAAGGTGGCAAAAACTCCCTCTGCTTGTGTCTGGCACCTCAAGAATTAAACCTCCTCAACTATCACAATGGTGACAATGGTATTTTTGAACAGGGCTCATGCCTTTGGAAGGAAACTGACACTTTGAAGCTGCATCACCAGGTCCAGAAGAATAGCCTGCTGCCATGTTTGGCAGGCTCCAGCTTACCCTCGATGACCGGGTTTGGTTCAGGACGAGGTCTAGAGTGGTAGGGGTTTTCAGGCAGTGGCCGTGGAGTTGATACTTTGGTCACCTGAAGAGGAAATGGAAGATATATGACATGATTTGTAAAGGGTACAAAATGTTAACATTTGGTTGCACTGTACAGTTTAAGGGTGCACTCACACTAGGCAATCCGTACTGTAGCCCAAGCATGCTTCACCCCTGAAGTCCAGTTCGTTTGACTAGTGTGAGTGATCCATTACTTACACTTCTCGGAGAAATCCCTGAGTGTTATGGCTGACGAACATGACTCCACATAAGCCTTAAAGTCCATGAAACCCTTACCCACCTTCTACTCTGATTTCCCCATCCTTATTTTTACTGTAAGACTTCTTCTACTGGTCTTTTTTTTTTTTACTTTAATCTCATCCTTTGTTCCTCACATGCTAATGTCTATCTCTATATGTCATAGCATGTACAAAAACAAAATATACTCTAAATATCCAACATTTTAATCTGAAACACAAGTTGACGTCTTCTCATTTGTTTTGGAGCCATACAATAAAGTAAACCTGAGGTAAATCTGGAGTCAAATTTCTGTTCTTTTGTTTCCTGTATTATGTGATTTGAAACATGATTGTCGCATGGCCTGAAAGTTCATTACACCTTTCTGTCTGTGATAGTCACAGAAATATAGTGTCAAGAAATTTGAGTCCAATGTGCTCTTGTCACGATCAGTTTTTGGTCATGTTTTTATCGCTGCTATCTAATAAGCGCTTCTTATAAAGTAGTTATGTGGGTCTGTCAAAAATAACCACTTATCAAAAGAAAAGCATCATACAATACATGATTTAGAACTCAAACCCACAGCTGACTGAGAGAACTATGCAGATCCAATCATGGCCTCTTGCATAGTCCACAATCAGCAAGAATAGAGCCCATCAACTAGGCTGCTCATATTGTGAAAGCACAGTCACAAGTCTCACCTTCGACAGGTCTCCCAGGTCAGGTCTCTCCCAGCCCAGTTTATCAAGGACGCAGCTGTCGAAGGTTTGCTGCTGCGTACGGCAGCGACGAAGCTCCACCAAGTTGGAATAATCCAGACAGGTCCAGTAGTCGGTGAAGGACTCAGCACAGTTTCCCTTGATTTGCCTGAAAGGAGAGAATCCAAGAGTAAGATTAAAGCATACTATAGAACTCCATTGATGTGACTGAGCTGTAACTCCCCTAAAAATGCTAAAATCATAAATGGTTAAGGTGATTAAGTAACTCTGGAAAGAACAAATGAATAAAAATGACATCATGCAGCGGTTGAATATTTTTTTAAATGCTTCATCTTCTATCCAAATACCTAATTCACAAGATGAAAGTAAAACATTTAAAACCACCCATGTCAGAACTATAACTACATTTTGGTTTATACTTGTTATTTTTCACAAGTCACAGGTTCTCTGAGGGTCCCATGAACAGAAACATCTTAACTGGTCATTTAAATTTAGTTTACTTAAAGGTGGCTGGCAGTTGCCAGAAGCACCTACGAATCAAACCAGGTCCCTGCGTAATTACAGCTTTGCTCAAAGCTTTCCTTATTATAATAATTACAGGCATTGCTCTTTCACAATAACACTCAGTTTATCTTTGGGGTGAGAGTGTCGGTTGTTTGTTTCGGCTTTAGAATTAGAGGTCATGTGTTTTTGGAGAACCAGTGACATAAACTGTTTGAGACACACACACAAGCACCCTAGTTTCTGGATGACAAACCAAAGCTCTGTTTTGAACTTTCAGTAAACACAGACACTGCAGTTAGAAGTGAAAATACCCAGACCATTTCCTCAAATAGCCCCCAAGGGCAGTTTCAAAGACACAATAGCATCTGTAATTATTCTTGTTAAAGAAATATCTGTTTCTACTGTCCATTGTAAAAAAGTAGCCAAGAAAAAAGACAGAGGTGTTCTCCATGTGTTCCTGATGTCACAGCCACTAAAGGATTTATATCATTTACTTCACGAATTTGGAGCTGAGCTCTTCACAAGCACACATCCTGCGTAAATTATTATTTGATAAGATGAAAAATACAACCCCCCCTCAAAATAAAAAACAACAAAAAACTAAAAAGGTGCATGATTAGTCTCTTACAAAATGCACAGTGGTAAATAATTAAATAATTTTACTAAATAATGTTTTGTGCTAACAGGAATCAATCAATTCAGTTCTATGTTCACATCAACTTGTGTGGACTTAGACATGAGTCACAGCGGTCTGGGAAGCCATGGTGTTTGACTGGATCTAAAGTGCCAACTGTTTGGAGACATGACCTGCAGATCTTTTTTTTTTTTTTATGTTTTTAAATTGGGGGAAATTCTCTCCCTGAATATTTCTCATGGGGGAGTTTTTTTATTTTTTTATACATACTGTGAGGAGTTTTTTTGGAAGCTTAAACAAACTGTGAGGAGTTTTTTTTCTGCTATTAAACAAACTCAAATGAATGTTGATGTCTCTTTAAGGTTCACAAACTTTACAACTTTTTCTCTGCCTTTCTTGAATCTTCAATGTTAAATGGCAATTCATTTTACTTGACCAGGTCATCTACATTCCACTTCAACCAAAAGTCAACTGAAAGGAATGTGTATTATCAGGAAAAGGACAAGAACATGTGAAGTACTGCTGTGGATGATTGTTTTGAACATTGTGTCTATTTATAACCAGAAGAAAATATTACAACATCTTATTTGTAATACCTGAAGAAGTTGAGTGCACACTCGTTAACTTTCCTTCCTTCTTCAAGACATTTTCTGGGGTCCTTTTCCTCCCAGCGGCAGAGCATGAACTCTTTGTTGGGTTTGTCGCACTGGGAGCCGAAATGGTGAGCGGCAGCCTTCAGCACTGCAGATGAAACATTTATCTAGAAGGACAGAAAAATGGAAAACACTAATTAAAAAAATATTACTCTCATCAAGATACTTTTTTTTTTTTTTGAAGATGGTAATTTTTTAGTCCCTGGCACACGTCGAATATTTGAGGTCTCCACAATATTTTTGGAAATACACATTTATCTTTTGACAGACATTCCTTCTGTAAAATCTGTTACAGGCGTATTAGATAGGATAGGATAAAACTTTATTGATCCCCAGAGGGCAAATTCAAGCGTTACAGCAGCACAGACAAGAAAGCTCAAAAATACACATTAAACAGAATAGATAAGATAAATAAAAATAAAAATAAAAACAGGGGGTATATACAGTACAAAATGAATGATGAAGTTAACTGGGGGGATTGAGAATTGAGACAGTACTTGCAGAAAGCAGTATTGCACAGATTGTGTTGATCACTGATGACCCTTTGGAAATACATTATAAATATAATGCAGTACTTAAAGCAAATGCATACCAAACACAAATGACTAAATATTTAGAAAGTTATGCAGCAAACAAACTATGTTTCTGTATAGTTTATCATTTAAGTAAATAAAACAATTACATTTCAGATGAAAAATGTAAAAACGTAACTTAGAAGATAGTAGTGGGAGGGAGGGGAAGGGAAAAGAGTAGGCTACCTGAAAGCATGACGTTTATTAGCCTCTTCACTTCCACATTTGTTCAGGAAAAGAACAAGCCAGCTAACACCTGACTTCCAAGGACAAGCTCAGTGTGCTAAACAACACTGCTGCTAACACAACCCACCAGAGATCTGTTTAGAGGCTGCTAATATGTGATTTATGTCGCTGCAGAGACAAATAGCATAAATAATATGAACTATGCAGACTGCAGTAAAACATACAAGATGTCGTGATTCCTCTATCTATTAAATGTTGCCAAGTGGGATATCACAACAATGCAAGATTACTCAGCCCCACTAATTGCGTACGAAATATTTACAAGTTGCTGCATTAAAAAAAAAATTATGTCTCGCTTACTTTCACCACTTTAAAAGACAGATAACGTAACTTGCAAAAGTTTTAAACAGCTAAAAGTGACTGTCTTGTCCAACCTAGCGACTAGCATTAGCTACCAAAGCTAGTTAGCTACCATGTTCTGACTTGCTGTGTTCACTGTTTAACAAATGAGCACAACTCACCTCATCCACATTCAGCTCCTGTGGTGTAGGAGCTTCCGGCGTTGTGGGCATGGCTGTGCGTATGGAAAGCAACACTAAACGGCAAAAGATTATGTACAGCTGCAGAAAAACATTCAAGGTCCTCGTCTAGCTCCAGGACGAGCTACGAGGCCGCGGAGAAGGTTACTGCGCCCTGCTCGCTGTCAGCTGGGAGGCGCGGCTTGATGACGCGTCCGAAAAGCGCGACCGAAACTGCTCCATCCGCCCGCCGCCGCATGCGCACTTGTGGGGAAGTTAAGTGTAGAAAAAAACTTATATTTCGCTTTGCCGATTTGAATTTTTCGAGCAGATGAGAACTGAAGAGTGTTTCAGTCGATCGTTTGCTCTTCGCCATGAAAAACCGCTCAAGCTGTAGGTTTTTTTTTGCATGTGCTCGTTTGTTTCTATGTTGCCATGGTAACGGTGCACGGCGTTGCCACAGCGCTTGCTCTCCCCTAGTCCATATTAAAAATCCACGCTTCACACATTTTGGTTTAGTTTTCAGAAGAAAGGGCGCTAGAGAGTCAGTGTGGAAATGGATATCATTGAGAGCAGTTACAAAGGAGATACAAAAAATGACAGGTAAATTGATATATCAGTAGGCTGTGTTTATATTATGATCCCATAGAGAGCAGGGTGGGATACAGCCTGTAACAAATACATATTCTACGGTAGATTTAAACTAGCAATCAAACTAGCAATCTTTGGTAGTGCAAAAATTTAAAGAAAAAGCTGCATGCGACTGTCTCTTCTCTTCCTTAGAATGGATGGAAAAGGAGAGTACACTTTCCCTACAGAAACTAAGTATGTGGGAGAGACGAAAGATGGGATGTTCCACGGCAAAGGAGTGCTGCACTTTCCAAATGGAAGTAAATATGAGGCCACCTGGGAAAATGGCAAAGCTAAACAGGTGAGGAGTTATGTGTGTGTGTGTGTGTGTGTGTGTGTGTGTGTGTTCCTGCATGCATGTCACAATATTTGCATCAAGATACATAGCTGTGTGCTTCACATTGGATATAGTTGATATAACGTCTGGTCCCTTTCAGCAATCACTCACAATTATTGGTGTAGTTATTTGCTGTCTCTCCTTTTCCCCTGCATGAAACTACACTCTCTCCTGCTTTAATGCAATCGTTATGGACTTTTGCCACAACAGCAATCACCCCCAATTATTCTCAACATTTGAGCTGTGGTTCATTTAACATGATAGCAGCTCTAAACCATGACTAACATCAGCCCAGGCGACCCTGCACCTGCATCCATACCAGCCCTGGAAAACGTATTTCCATTAAAAACAGACATGAAAACATCAAATCAATTCTCAAATTCAAGCTCTGGAAATGTTGTCCTGTAGTTGCACCTTTCCCTTCAAGCACTCAGCCTGGGGTAAAGACCTTTATCCCCCCCCCCATTTGCATTTTTATCCTCTCTATGTCAAGAAACAGAAGAAAATATCCAGTAGGAAAAAACATTTCCTTTTGCTCTGAGTATGTGTTTAAGCAATTACCCCAAATTACCCAAAATAAATGCATTTGTCAAGACGGAAATATTATTTCTATAACACTTAAGCAAAATATGTTTTACGCATCCCTTTTTGTGCAAAATTGCTGAACAATAACTGTTTAATTCATACTCTCAGTTAAAGTTGTATTGTTCCTTAGAGGCTGCACACATTTTTCCACTTTCCTCAAGTGGAATGTATCTGTGCTGACATCTTTGGTTTTATCTGCTGAGGTTTGGAGATTTCTATCTCCAAGACTTCTGCATTTACCCAAAGACAATGGAAGAAAAAATTAAAAAGTTTTTGTGGTGTTTAAAGCACTGAAAAGTGACATCTGAAACCTCAACTGCAAGTTATCTATCCAAGAAACCGTGTCTGGGATATATAGTAGTATAAGCCCAAGACCTTCCTTTCAACAGTTTTCACCACAGCATCTTTCCGCCAAAGAAACATCCTCCAGGAAAACTGTCAGGGAAACAGTGAGTTTTCTGGATTATCAAACAACCCCACTTCTTCAGTTGACTTTTTCTAAATCTATTTTTTCCCCCACTGCTTTGAGTTGCAAAAAATGTAACTCAATACATACACAACACACCTAGTTTAAGTAAGTTTATTCTTTTATTAGTTGGATGAACCGACTAACTAATCCTCTGTTGATCTCTGTTCTGTTGTTGTGTTGCTGTATTTGCTTTCTCTGTCTCAGCACTTTGTAAACATTTGTTTTTAAAGGTGCTATATAAATAAAGCTATTATTATTATTATTATTATTATTATTAATGAGCATTATTTTGACATTTTGCTTTTTTCAAAAGGGTTATTTTGCCTTTGCTGATGGTCTGCAGTACGAGGAGCAGAACTGGGACTACTGCGATGGTTATGATAGGTGCTTCTACAGTGAGCGATGCAATGGACTTAGACCTGCAGGTTGGAATTCCTTTATGTGCTTGAGTATTCAATTATAGTGTATAGAGTGACTTATAAAGAGTGTCAGTAGTCTCCTTCCATCCGAACAAACAAACCCCCTCATTCATCTTTAACTATTATTTCAGTCTATGTTCTCTACTAATATATATAGTGCTTAATGATTCAGGAGCTATGTATACCACTGGCCTGACTGATACTGTACAGTATGATCCGATTTACTTAAAAATCCTGAAGAATGTGATTCTAGAGCCAGGTTGCTCCAAAATTAGAGTACAAAATATGAGCAACACAAAGCGTAAAATAAAAGGTAAATTAAAATTAGACTACGCAAAACAATGTCAAGGGAGAGGGATTAAATGCAAAGATACATTGCCTGCAATAGAATAGCAATAGAAGTAAGTGTGAGTATTTGTAAATCTCATGAAGACTGGTCTTCTGCTTTGTTCATACAGGGGAATCTCAGCTAACTGATCTTTATCCGCCACGTGTCATTCCTGAGGGGTGTTACGATTGTGCCGATGGTTTCTATGACCCCAATACCAAAGTTGTCACTTCCTACACTGGCAGATTCCTCAGGAATGCAGGTGAGACATGAAATATCCTGTTATTTCCACTGTTGCAGCGCTGTTAAAGATGAACGGCTACCCTCTTACTTTTCATAGTAATAATAACAATCGCTTCAATAATGGATACCCTCCAACCTGGACATATTTCAGGATTTCAACTAAAGACTGTATTATTCTCTGCACTACACAATCCAGATATGAACAGGGATAACATAACATGATATACAATGGTACCTCTTTTTCTTACTGTTTATTCCACATTAGTTCGTGCACATTTTTTGTTCCACTAATTTGAAGCCAGATTGGCTCCATCTCTCTGTTGAGTAATATCCAGGCATCTTAGGCGCAACAGCCAACGAAAACGAGGAAGATGAAAGTCTAGAGCAAACATGTATTTTCATTGCAAATTGAGTGTGCAAACTTAAGTTTAATGTCAAATGAAGCACCTAGACAGTGATAGATGGCTGAATATTCAACTTATTTATGTAGTGACTGTGTGGCTTGTTTGCAATAGTTTGCGAAATTTCCAGTAATCATTTCTTTTAGATGTTTTCAAAGCTCCTTTAGTTTATTTGCAAAGAACAAAAATGTCCGTCTCTGGTAAAGCTAGTGGTTTGTTTCTGTGCCTCCATATAGAGGAACACAGTAAGGTCCATGGACATGTGATGACACTTGAACAAACTGTTCCAGTTCCTAAGTGGAAACTCCTCATGTAGATGTTCCATTTTATTTTATTACTGATATTGTTGTATTATTTTGGGAGTTGAATACTGAAGCAGGCTCATTACACACAGATGAACAATCAGCTGAATACATACAGAGAGAGTTACTGTTGTTGACTTATTGTACAAAATAGTAGCTCTTAAAAAAATAAAAGCCCTTTTCGCAACCTGGCTTAAGCACACTCATAGATAAAGCCTGATTCAAAATAAATCATGTCTTTGCCCAGTTTATAACAACTACATCTCTGAACGCATATAGTGTGTCCATATGGGAAAGATTTAATAACAGTGAACCTATGGAGTGATGTTAAATGGATTATCCCTGGATTTTCTGATGGAAGCTTATGGTTACAAGTCATCTGATAAGCATGCTGCTATAGGCTGCTGCAGCCATTGAAAGAAAAAAACGTTTTTTTCTTTTGTTATTGGTCAAAAGTGGAAAATTCAAGACACATTTTTTCCACTGATCGAACGTCTGCTGTTGCCGTTCCTGATTTGAAGTGAATGCAGTCTGTCAGGAGTCCAGATAATAATTCCTAAATTCTGACATCCTCTGCCTGTCATGTCTCCTGTGATTTAACATCAACACACTGAAAACACGGCCACTTTTATTTACGTGCATCATTCACATTACTACTTTTTTTATTAGACACATGCCTTGCTGTATCTTAACAAAGCCTTAATCACAAAAACATTCATTGGGTTGTTGTAGAATCTTGCTGGACTCTTGTAACTCTGCTTTTCACTGCATTAATCCAGGAAGATATGAAATATTACAGTCTTGTATTCTTTCATCTTTAAAGAAACCAGAAACACATCTTCAATGTCTGGAGTCTCATCTGACGTCTCCTGAATCCGTTTTAGTTTGCATGTGAATTCAATTGACTTCTTTTAACCTTTACAAATGCAGACATGTGTAAAGATATGATTCCTTGCAGAAGTTCAGCTGAGACTCACAATCTCCTTAAGGGCAAAGTGTTTGTCTGTAGACGAGCAACTCGCCACATCACACAGATTAATTCCACAAGCACACGTGTCATTTACATATGTGAGGAGAGCCACATCCTCCGCGGATGTCATCGGGATGTGTGAGAAGAACAAAAACATGTTTTGCGATTCCTTTCTTGATGCGCTAAGCTTGTTCATCATCACAATCTCTGGTAGTGATCAGCTGAGAAATGCACACAGCGGAAGAATAGAAGGAATTAAGAGGAAGAACTAAACTCTGTCTAACAACACAGCTACTTTCTCTTTTGATTCAGGTTAATATGCAGCATTATATACAGTCGGATATGTGACTTCAATAGCAGATGTATGCAGCTTACACATGCACTACTTATGACTACTGTCTGCCCCTGCTCATGTCTTAGTATACATTTCTTGCGAAGGATGCTCCTGTATCCTGTACATATTTATTTTTCAAACCCGGGAGGTGAAGGCACATTTGTCAGAGTGGGTGTGAAGACAGAATTTATTGCCCCATGGCTTCCTCCCAGGATGAGGACTGCGAGGACGAGGGGACACAGGGAAGACCCACCCTCTCAAAGGGGACGTCTGCTTCTGCAAGGAAAGAGGAAGGAGCTCACCGTGTAGCCGTCACAAGTGGTGGCTGTATAGGACAGTGAAAAAAAATAAAATATGTTGGATGATCTGGAGAAGCTGCAGAAGTGATGCATATGGAACTTGTTCCAACGGCAGATGATTCGAGTTTTGACCCCATGAACTAAACATTGTTTCAATGATTTTACTCACAATCCAGAATCGGCTTATTGCAGAGTCCTGACCTCCTTAGCAACTGTTACTAACTCACACAAACAATCCATCTTGGCAAAGTGCCATCTAGCAAAACAATGGGATCTGTTTCTAATATTCCCCAAGAGGCAAGGGATTATTTCTGGACTTGAACAGATTTTTTTTGCAGACTGCGTATATGGAGGGATTTGTCAAGAATACTGATGCACTATGTAGAAATGTAGGATGATAGAAGTTGGCTGGTTTGAGAGAATCTTATTAAAAGGGGAACTGCCCCATCATATGACATCACTGGATGTCTCAGCATTGAACCAAACTGTACTGATCCTGTTTATTTTACATGATGTTGTAAAAATGGTTAAAGCGCAGATTTGTCGCCCAGATGCTGGGCGGTTTGTATACACATTTTGAAGAATCCTTGAGCAAAACAGAATCCTGACCCAGGATGAATAAATGTCAGTTCTGATGGAAGTGCATGTCAAATGAATGTAATCCAAACAACACTTTTAAATGGACTGCTCTTAATGGCTTACGGTGAACTTTGGAAAACAGCTAATTATTCATAGACAAACTTTTTTTCAGTCAACTCGGCAGGTCGTTCAAATACCCATGACATATTTCACTTAAATCATCTATTTTAATTTTCTGATTTAATATTAAATAAGAATTGATATTGGCACTTTGTTTGAGGCAGTGATTTTTATAGGTAATTCCAAGTTTAAAATGTCCCTTATTAGAATATACAGCCTTCAAAAAGCAAAATGTAACATCATTGTCCGATTTATGGTTGATCTTTTGATTTGGAAAGAAGTTGGTTGAGGAGTCAGACGTGATTTGAATAAAAATGCTTTACACAAAAATACAAAAAGAAAGGTGTGTGTGAGTGTGTCTGGCTGCAGCTGGTAAAAATTAGCATTGAAGACTTTTGTTTCTGATTAATGTTCTTTGTGAGAGTCTAATCTCTGCTTTATTTTGCTTGCAATAAGTCTCTGGGAAGAAGACAACGTCGCTGTCCTCTTTGCAGCTGATGGGGCTCATTTAACTATGTGATCTTTATCTTATGGTGATACCTAAATTCTGGCCAATACCATGTGTGTTTAACATCTGAACTGGATTGAAATGAAGATGATATGTCTTACAGATAGATATTAATATTTTGCTAAAATGATGGATTAACTCTGGTTCCATTAAAAAGACAAAGATTGTGCTTGATATACAAAAAAATAACAAAACGGAATTTCAGTATGATTGGATTAGATACTTTTTTAAATAGAGTTCAATCATTTTCATTGTGACTAGAGGACATTACAACAAACATGTGCTTGCATAGTGCTACATCACTATGTCACAGTAGAGTAGTCCATCTAAAATAAAGCCAACAGACTGAAACACAATGAGATGATTACTGTAACATCTGAAACACAAATCACATATTAAGAAAACAACGATGATTTTTATCTGCTTTCCTCCAAGCCTCCAGAGACACATAATTGGACCTAATTTTGTATCCTGATGAAGATGGTTGCCTACATTTAGAGTTAGAATGAAAAACATTTGCATAACTTTATAAGTGTAATTTCAAAAGAATGAGGGGAAAGATACATAGGCCACATCTGCACAATCAAATTTCCACCACTGACTGATTGAGCGTGTTCAGTTATTACAAACAAACACACACACATGGTCAGTTGTGTATATTCGCTCATGGTAACAGACAGCAACACTTTTCAGCAGCAGCAGCATGTGCTGCCATATTGTTTGTAGCCCTTTCCTGTTTCTGGTAGAACCGCTTCCCTTTGAAAGTCGGCACAGAAAGAGCTCCAAACTGAAAACATTCCTCAGCCAAGGAAAACACCTCTGGTGACCGAACTGCAGCCCCTCCCTTTGTCCCCGTCCAGCCGAGGTGTTTCACAGACAGATAAGATCAGTTGGGGCCACTGGGGAGTGGAACGTATCCTCACGCTGCCTTTCCTGAAACTCTCATTTTTCAAACATCTCGTTGACAAAGAAAAATCCCCTCAATTAAATTAATCCTGCAAAATGTTAAGGATGGATTGATTTTTTTTTTTTTGTTTGTATAAAAGTATCTATATTTCCATGCTAGAAACAGGAAGCTGCAGCTATTTTTCTATGATGTCACCACGAAACAAAACCAAGAACTGCTCTGCTTGCAATGAATCAGAGACAGACATGTGTAGTATGTACATTTGAATGTTTATTTGAGCTTTCACATTCAGGTAAGTTTGATTTTACTAAAGCCTCCACTTGAAAACCAAAACAAGTATGACCCTAAATAAGTGCAAATTGTAGTTAATGTTATTTGACACAGTTCAGGGTTTGTCGCTTGATGATGTCACAGAGAGTTAAAGCTCTTTTATTTCAGTATACTTTCAGTTTTATTGAATTCTTTCAATTTTCATCAAAAATGTTGACTGCAAAATAGATTCATAGAGTCATCCCTATGCAAATCACTGTGTGTGTGTGTGTGTGTGTGTGTGTGTGTGTGTGTGTGTGTGTGTGTGTGTGTGTGTGTGTGTGTGTGTGTGCGTGCGTGCGTGTGTGTGTGTGTGTTACTTCACAGCCATTAGACTGGAAGGAAACACTTTTCCCTCTGAGTGTATTTTAAGGATTAAGGTAAACAGACTTTAACAAGGTGCCATTATCGCTTCCACACACTCTCTCTCGCTTGCACGTTGTACAAAGGTCTAACATGAAGGTTGGTACATTTGAGATGTTGTCAACCAGAAAATAGTTCAAAAGGTGATAGGTTCTGCACAATAAATGAAGGCGATAATACAAACCCTTTTTTTCACTCTAAATTTGCACTACAAATTTGATTCTTTCCTGATAGAACAATATGAAACATAGGCCTATCGATACATTTTTTTTGTTTTGTTTGCAATTTTGGTTTTAAAGTTCAATTTACTGACTACAGAAAATATGAAATCATAACTTGTCTTTCTTTAGGCCTACTTATTTTGGGGATATTACATGGTAATAGCAGCCACCTCTACCAATTAGGCCTACATGCAGCTTAATCCTGAAATCAACGCTCCTAACTGAGGTGGGAAATATTCCAATCTAGTTATCATTAAGAGAAGCTGTGCTTTGTAGCTAATTGAGGTCAGTCAACACGTAATGACGCAGCTACGTAGACTTAAGACTCCATAATTACCTTCTCCGCTAACAACTGCGTCATAAAGACTGCCGGGGATGTTTGTGTGGCAGCTGTCCGCGAGCCCGATGCGTTCAATTGACCTCGCGATCAGAACAGGTAGTAGGGAGAGACAAGAAATAAGTAGGAGGTGGTTTTATACTTGAAGTGGCAGTTAGTGTTGACGCCCAACGCGGGCAATTACTCACAATCAGTCGGAGAGCCACAGACCAGCTCCTCCGTACAAAAGGAGTCCCTCGCGCTGTGGAACCTGCGGGTGAGGCCCGCGTGCTCCTCAAGTGCATGCAGCTGCGGGCGCTCCAGAGACGGCTCACTTCCCCTGCAATTAGCTACTCGTTTCAGTTTTAACAATGAAAAATTGGTTTATTATCAGCTCCTCTGGCAGTCATTTCGGTTTAAAGAACTGTCGTCCATTTTTTGGGTTATTATTTGTTGGTGTCTGAAGTGGCCCTGAGAAGTTATTTTCTCCTAATTGTCAGGCTTATCTTGATTTGACAAATTTACCCCACACTTGAATGGCACTTCACTTTTTCAGGCTCACACACAAATGACCTGTGGTTTAATTATGCAGCCTATACGTGCTATTAGAGATTTGATTTGAACGCTTTAAGTGATTTCAACATAATGCACATAGCTCCTTCTGTCTGAGGTTTGTTTAGGCCTACAGTTTTCATATTCACTATAAGTTAAAATGATGGACTACACTATTGACCACAATATTGAATGGTTGCTTCACATAGTAAAAGCAAAAGTCTTAATAATACCTAATGTTTCATTTTTTTTTTCCCCAACAGATGACTCCGAGCATGAGTGGATTGTGCGGACTTGTCGGAAAGCTTGGGACGAGGTTGTTGTCGTTCATCCTGAAAACTCTTTTGCAACCCGACCTAAAGAAAGCAGCAAATGATGAGTTCAGATCGCTCTTTTCGCCTATTCATTTTTAGCGATAGCTTAGTAAAAATAAAGGAATTGTTGCACTTGTTTTTTTTCTTTTATTTATAAAAGCATATGGCCTACATGTCCCTTCTTTCATTTAGCGATACAATAAATTGAGAGAATTCTGAATCTGCCTGCTTTTTGTTGTTGTTGTTGTTGTTGTTGTTGTAGTATTTGTGATCTCACTGGTATACTCCATGACTGAATATATATTTCCCGTTAAAAAAACGCAATTCCATAAAAAGGAACAGATTAGATACAATATTAATCTAAACTAAAAAATGTCTTTCATGGACTCCCTTTATGTCCAACTTAAATGACATTATGATGCGATTTTCATCCCAGATAGGAATATTTTTTGGGCCATATACCCTGTGATGAACATTTGAATCCCAACAAACAAAGCTAAAGGTAATATAATAAATATCCATGTAGAAATATGACATTCACAGTCTACAAATAAGGCAGTATTTATATAGACTTCATGCTGCGTGATAATTTAATGAAAAGTTCACTGATCATAAATCATAATTCAATGCTTAATGTAGATATGTGCATGCTCTCAAAGACAAACTTTTCCAAATCATATCTTCGCTTTTGTGCAGCTAATGTTAAGAGAGCACACTCATACAGTTTGCAGATCATGTACTTATTAAACACCAATCTACCAGCTCTACTACCCTTATCTCAAAAAAAAAAAAAAAAAAATTATTTTATCCACAGCATTGAATCTGTCCTTAGATGCACCTTTCTTGCATTTTGGCTAATACATTTTAAAAAAAGAAAAAAAAAAAAAAAAGCACTTATAACAGAATGAGAGGATTATGTTGATGCACAACCAGGACCTAATCGTGAACCAAACCTTCTCACTAGAAGCAGTTAAACATCATGCAGGATTAAAAAAAAAGGAAATTCCGTAACTTTGTATCATTTGCAGTTTTATCATTTGAAAAAAACCCTCCAGTTAAACCCAGACTTAACCTAGAGTTAAATAGAAACTTTGTGACAATTTTTCTGTTTGTGTCACTCCTGTTGTTGTTGGAACTAGAATTCAAATAATTCTTCCTTTGTATTTCCTCAAAAATGATACATAACCACAAAAATATCACTTTCTATTTTATTGCATTTTAGTACACAAAACATTTAGGATGCACAGTCTATCAAATAAACTTTTTTGTTTTATTTCATTCAAAGTTTCTTTTAACAAAACAAAACCATTTTCAGAGGGGAAAAAGTGCTTTACAGGGATTTACCATCTCAATAAATACATGAACATTGAGGTCTTGTTGGATCCTGCTCTTCACACAATGGCCATGGCACAAAAATACAGATGCACACTCTCGACCCCTCCCAGGACACACACTCACACAAGCACACTGAAACACACACACACATACACACACACATACAAACCCAGTCTGTTTTATATTGTACCAATACACCAACACTCAATATCCTCCTCGTGTGTGAGACACTCGTGCACACACGCCGAGGCTGAACAAGCAACTGTAGAAATTATAAATTAGTGATAATACAATTATTTGGAAATATGAAAATATGTAACTTGTAACATTTCAATTTTATAGGAAACAACAAGTGCGCTTATCTCAAACTTCCCTCTGTTTCTCTGGCGGTTTAAAGAAATGTAGCTGGATTGTAGTTTAAAATGTATTAGCAACTGCCTCTAATGTTACAGCCTTGATATAAATGCCCTGGCATTGTGCCTTTCCTTCATTTCAAACCAGATGCCATTTGTAGACATAAAATCAGATTTTCTTACAATAGCAGATTTAAAGTCCAAGTCATTTGTGTTAAATAATAACAATGGAAAAGATAAGGCACACATTATTTTCATTACTTTGCAAAAATCAAATGTTCTGGTTATTTGTCTTGAAAATTTGTATCTGGAATTTTTTGAGACGTGACAATGTCATTCCTAATGAAAATATTTCAACAGTCAACATATTTCTTTTACATGTAGGTTTCCTTCATGGTTGCTTAGAGAGACAAGAGGGCGGAGTCTTACCTCTAATGTGGTCTACTGTGTGCCTGGCACAATAACAGTCCCCTTTCATATTCCCCTCTATGACAGCTGACAGCTATCAGTCCTTTAAAACTCCTTCCACCTTTAAGTTGGAGGATGTGCGGTGGAGTGGAGGATGCTGTACATCATGTGTAGCAAAACAGGTCCTCAAGGTGTTGTAAAATTCAGTCAGTGAGTTTCTGCTTATGAAAGCTCCTTTCTCGTTTTTGACTTCAGGAGGGATATTCCTGTCCCCAAGTGACAAAAAAAAAAAACAAGGACGGATAAATCTTGGTTTCTTCCTCTGCCTTCCAATTATTTTTGCGGTTTCCAAATAGTCAGGGCTACCAAAAGATGTTTCTTTTCTCCAAGCTGACTTCTGCGTGACCTCCAGGGCAGATCCAAGATCCAGAGGTTTGGGGGTCAAAGGGGCCAAAGTGGTGGAACGCTAGCGGCTGAGGGGGAGCTGAGGCAGTGACATGGCCTGGTGAGAGAGACCCTGAGAGGTCAGCACAGAAAAAGGATGACCTGAAGACCACACACAAAAATACAAAAAAAAAAAAAAAGAATCAGAATAATGAAATATAGACAGATCTGCTTTAAAAATACCTAGGAGTCACTGCACAAAATCCAAACTCACTGTCGATGTAACCATGCAAGGCCACCATGCGCGCCCGCTCAGGGCTGCCGAAGGGGGAGTAATGTAGCTCATCAGGCAGGGACGAGGGGATCCTGGACTGGGGATGACCTTGGGGAGCCCCACCGTGCTGGGGGGTGTGCTTTTTGTGTCTTGCTCTGCAGTTTTGAAACCACACCTATGAAGACGCAATGTAACCAGACATAATGTCGCTTTATCCTTGAAATACATTCATTTTATCTGAAACATTTTCAAAATCATGAAGGGTAGACAAAATTGTGAAAAATATATTCAGTATTTTATTTTGTTATTATCAGCACTCTATTAAGATTAGACTTAGAGGAGATGAGTATTTGTGTGAACTGACCTGTATAACTCTCCTGCTGAGGCCTGTCATGTCGGCTAGCTTCTGTAACGTCTGGGCATCTGGATTGTTGTCCTGGGCAAACTGAGCCTGCATGATCTGCATGTTGAGTCAGATTATTAGCACAAAATCAAGCGCTTCTCAGATCCAATTAAGGCGAGATTGCTGAACATTTACATAATAAGCTGTATTAAAAACATGTTCTTTGTTTTCTGTGTCTGACCTGTAGCTGTTCTGCAGTGAAGGACGTCCGTGCTCTTTTGGCTGGTTTGGGTTGACTGTCTTGTTCTGTCGGAACGGCTCCTTCTAATGTGATACCATTACCTGAAAAACAAAGACAGAAATTAGATCCTGCAATGAAGATTTTGAATTATTTTTCCTCTATTTGAACCCCAAATGTAAGGGTATTGAACTCCTGAAACATGACCAAGTGAGCCTCTAATCATACAGGTATCCACCAGAATCAAAAGGAAACAGAAGGAAACATGGCAAACGGTTAATTAAAAACAACATTGTAATAAATGACTTAAGACAAAGGCTAATTGTGTCATGACAACTTAATGGAGCTGCAATATAAAAAAAATAAAATCCACAAATTCTGATAACCGCTTAAACAAACATCTGGACATCCACAAAGAGCCATTACATTAAATCTGCCTGATCCAGCACTCACCACTCTCAGCCGCTCGTTTTAGGTTCTCCACCATGGTGTCATAGTGGATCCTACACAGAACCTTCTCCTCCACCAAGCCAAACTCCTCTCCCGTCGACAACTGCCTCTTACAAGAGAAGCAGGCAAAACATGCCAAGTGGTATGCGTTTCCTCTGGCACGCCGCACCCAGTCACTGGCGTATATCTGGCGTCCGCAGCGGGCACACTTAGTACCAAACCTACTGTGAGGGAGAGAAAAAGAGGAGAGAAAAAGAGGGGAGGGAAAAAAGAACGAGGTATTAGTTTATACTGTATAAGCAACACAGTGGAGAAAATACACATTTTATCACAAGGCCATTTCCAGGTAGCGGACACAGAATTTAACAAACGTCCTTTTCTTTTGGAACATCTCAAGAGAGCTGAAGTCAAAATAAATGTTTTTCAATTTGAAGTTTTGGCAGAACTCAAAGGGGTTTAAGGAAGAAACCTTGGAGGAGGATATCGACCCTCAGAAAAAGACTCCTGGCTGCGGCTGCAAGCTGAGCTTTGAATGCAAACAAACCAACACCTGCAATTTCCTGGCTGATGCATGAAGGCCCTGACACATGCACACGCTCACACACAAACACAGGCACAGGGGAACACACATGGAAACCGGGGTGGTTTTACACAAAGTGGAAGACGAAGAAAGACCTGCATGACATCACTCGAGATTGTCGCGCTGTAACTGATAGCAACAGTGAGGTCAGGCTGCATATAAACTTAAACCACCTGACTTACTGTTCTAAATGGGTGAGGGGGTTGAGGGGCACTGGGGGGGGGGACGATGAAAGATAGATGGTCAGAGAGTGGGCGGCCGACATTTGTTTATTAAATAAATTACAACAATTCCTCAAAAAAATGTATGTCTGAAATTCACAAATTTAGATCACTTGTAAATATTGAACAACCATAAGATTCCTATTAACATAAGTGTGCTCCCACTGCTCCACCAGCATCGTGCATGAATTGATTAGTGCTAATGGGCAGTTGGCAGCCTCTGGTATCAGTGTGTGAATGTTGCCTGAGTGGGTGAACGTGACATGTAGTGTAAAAGCCCTTTGAGGAGAATAGAAAAGCGCTATAAAAGTCCAAGTCTATTCACCATTTACACTGTGTGTGGCACTCTCACCCCAACTACAATTTAATATGTTAAAATGGGTCTAAAGTATGACCTTTTTTGTTGTTGTTTCTTTAGGCTGAGTAGCTTCCATTACATCTGGGTGTTGTCATTTTTGCAAATTTAATTCAAACAGTGCATTATGATGCACTCGATGTTACTTTCAGCTACAGGATTGTGGGATTGAAACATATCGCCATGAAGTCACCAATAATAAGGTTAAAGCTGGTGTTATTCTTTATTGTTGTTAATGTCAAATAGTCTCCTTAAAAAGACAAAAATCATAGAGCAATACTCCCTTCCAATATTCTTTTCCATACCATAACTGTGGTACTCTGACTAAATCAAATTTAATCTGTGAAAAATTGTCATAAAAATATAGTTATGTTAAAAGAGCCTTTTTTAAAAAGCTGGGCACTGTAATTGACTAGAGCAATTTCAGCAGCTGTTTAAAACACATGTTGAGTTGTTGTGAGTGAGTGTTGAGTGAGAGTACAGCAGCAGGTATAGATCTCACACATAATTGCCAACGGTCATCGTAATAAAAAACAACAGGTCAATCAGTGCAACAGTGTACTGACTGACTCATTGTTTTATATAGTTTTAATATAACAAGAGGGTTCTATTGCAAAAAGGAATATGCTTTTTCAAACCTTGTCTGAACACACATCACTTTGTTATTTTAAGTCTTTTACTAGGATTTTTTTTAAATATGAAAACGTCAAATATCTGCATCCTTATTCTCTAAGTGAGAGAGGTTTAACTGAGCAGCTGACACTAAAACACAACTGAAATAAAATACAAATTTACTTCTTAACACTAGAAACAAAAGTGAATAAGCTCCTCTTTTAAATAGCACATTAGGGGTTTAATGAGCATAAAAGGCTTTAGGTTTGAGAAGGTTATGGTTAGGTTAAGAGCCATTGTTGGGGTCAGCAGCTGCCAGTTCTGGAGTGGGAGGCAGCTTGAGAAAAAGTGCTGCCTCAAGGGTAAAACTGAATAACAGCGGATTGTATGTTCGTTTTTTTTCTTACTCAAATTGGAAGCATTTCCATATTGATGGGATTATTCTGTAAAACAGACAGAGACCTCTAGAGCGTATGTGACTCAACATTTCTGACAGTCGTACGAGCACATGTAGCTACTCACACAAGAAAAGCAGAGCATCACAAACACGAGCCAAATTCAAATAGCAGGCAGTAGTTGAAAGGTATGAAGGAGGCTAGAACTGGTGAGGGCAGGATAAAAAGAGCAGACATGGAGAGAGGAACGAAGTGGCTGAGGGAAATGGCAAAGTAAATAGCGTGGATGGCAGAGAGAGCATGGGGACGGAGAGCACACGGGTTGCCAAGTGAGTGGGTTTGGCAGTGCATCAGTGCTCTCAAGTCCACTCTATCTGGGATGAAAGCATAGTATATCGCTGACATCTCAAAAACTCCTGACTCTTTTCATGTTTATTAGCTTGTTGAGCTGAAGACTCATTTTCCTGTGTACAATATGGAAGAGAATATTTGTTGGGCATCTTTAAATGGCTACCGTGTGAGGATCTGTCTCATTCAGCATCTGCCTTCACATTTAATTCACCATATTCAAACAACCATTTCCCCTGATGTCATGCTCATGGTGGGAGGCTCAAATGTTGTTGCTGTTATATGCTGTTATAATGTTATACTGATTTGCCCCCCAGGCTTTATAAATAAAGGGTAATCACCAATCTTTTCACATCACTTCTTATATTGATCAGTGGTCAGAAAGACTATTAAGTACAAGTAAAAAAACATATATTTGATAACACACTATCTACAGTCAAACATTAACATAAGCCACTTAAAGACACAGAGACAAGAATACTACCATTGGCTAGGCTAACACTGTGCTAACTGAAAATGTTACCGTTTTGTAGCATTAAACAATACGATAAGAAAAGTTTACATTCCTAGCCAACACAAAGATATAAATGGATAGTGAAATTCCACAGGGAAATTGCCTGACTCAAGAAAAACCCCAACATATTTGATACCTCATTCCCATGAGACAACAGTTTGAGATTTGCTTTTGCTTATGTCTTACGCCTACTACTTAATATACAGCAAACACTGACTTAGTTTATGATAGCTACCAAAATACAGTAAGATAACTGTCAATTTCTAGTCATCTCATAGTCCCAATTTAAGTAATGTTAGCTAGGAGGTGTTGTTTGCTATAATTAGCTGTTTTGAAATGTTAGGTAACAAGTCATCAGATATCCAGTTTCACTTTGCCCAATCTCCTCCAGTTTTCCACTGTTTATTGTGTTTTACTTACTGAAAACTTGAAAAGCAATGAAACAATTTCAGTAATTGTCAGATAACCTACATAATAACAATTTACAACTTGATATAAATACAGCAATACAATATTTTACGTTAGCATTTCAGCTTTACTTCCCTTGAGCGAGTTTGTTAATGCAACAATGTCAAAGAATCTACATTTCACCACGCCTGTTATTTATCATTACAAACAAATTACCGTATGTGAGGTTAAAGCATTTGTAGTTACCATTAAATAAAATTAGCTGGCATAGCACTGACAAGTTAAGGTCTCAGAAATATGTTCAACTTAAGCAAAAAAAAAACCTCTTAAAACCCAATAAAGCCATTCCGGAGACAAATCGTCTACTTGACTTACTGTTTAGTATGTACTAAGTATCATTTTAAATTGTTACGAGGAATTCAAGTCTGGTTCTACAGTAAGGAGGAAAATATTGTGGAACATTGTAGCTAATCTAGCATGACAGCTTGTCAGTTTCATGCTCCAAGACAGAACCCAGAAAAGCTGCAAATCATCCCTTTTTTTTTTACCCCCCTCCTGCTCCTCCATCTTCATCCCCTCTTCCCACCCTTCTTATTCCTTGTGTTTTTTGTGTCTCGGTTAGTCCTTTAACAAAAAACCTGCAGTTTATTTTTTAGCGATTCAATCCTTACAGCTTCCATATCACTCACAAGAGGGAAATCATGCACAGCAAACCCCCCCCCCCCCCGATCTCTCCTATTTGCTTCTGTTGGCTACATTCTTTTGTCTAATCTTTTCTCTATGTATCAGTAATTCACCTGCTGCTTCAAGAAGGTTTTGAGGAGGTACACGTTTTTTGGATTATTGCTGATGTGCTATGAGAATACTTGTAATCTTTATTAGATTTGTCCAACGATATTCCCTGCTTGACTGCGGTTTTAAAACGCAAGGTTCATGTTCGGCCTTTGTGGAAATCTGAGAATGGAAAATTGATCTAAATAATTTAGAGTCAACTTCTTTTCACAGATTTTACAAATCAGGATTTAACTTAAAGCCTACATGATTTTTTTTTAATGCACTAACACTTCCATAACTGTGACTTAAATTCTTCTTTACAAATGTCACTCCATTAAACTTCATTAACTCAGCAGTCTTTATTTAAATGTGTAGTATTGTGTGACAGATGTCTTATTAGAATTTCAGTTAATTCAGTTCTTTATAAAAGTCAGATCACTCTTTGTACTGTCTCTTGTCACTGTTGCTATGGATACCTAATCAGCATACCAGAGGTGGGTGGGTGTATGAATAATTACTATTACAATACACACACATTTAGAAAGACACACACACACACACATCTCACCCACAAAGTTCCCTACATACACAGAATCTGGTTACACTGTCAGTATCCCAGGGTGCCTCTGATTAGTTCAGCAATGCAACTTCCTGTGTGGCCTGCAGCTCAAGAACGAGGATGATGTTACTACGGAGAGAGGTGAGGGCTGGGCGGATTGAGGCGAGGGGGGTCAGGGGAAGAAACTGATAAAGACAAGGTTTGGGTATGAATGTGTGTGTATGTGTGTGTGTGTGTGTGTGTGTGTGTGTCTGTGTGTGTATGTGTGTATAAGCCCCTGAGGCCTGACATGGGTTTGAGAGGCACAGCATGGGCTCTGTCCTGCGCCCCCCTATCCCGACATACACATATACCCCCCCCCCACCATACTCACTCACACACACATATATGGAGGGCAACCCAGTCTGATTTCCTGCTATTACGCCCCATTAAAGTAGCTGTCAGTCCAAAGCCAGATGAGAGGCTGACACAGATGAGGAAATATCTCCAGAGGTTTGAAACCAGCCCAGAGGATCTGGACTCACAGTGGTGTTTAGCCTTGTTTAAATCTGGCCTAAACCCAAAATACAGTTTATATTTACAGAGGTAACCTTTGTTCAGGCCCCTGCACTGCAGCAAAGCTGCACTGTTACTGCCAGAGCCTCTAAATATTTTTTCTTTACCAGTGTGACGTCCAAGGATATCAAATATTATTATGCAAAGGAGAATTTTTCTCTCATGAGTGTAACCATTTTTAGGAAAAAAATTACAGCCACGGTCAACAGTTTGACCTTCAATATGGCCTGACTATCAAATGTAATTCCTTATCACATTGCTTGTCACTCATCTCTTCACACAGTAAGTACAGTTATCCCACAGCCAGGAGAGAAACTTGAATAAATGCAGTGTTATTGTACAGGCTTTGGACATTCAAAGTTACAAATTCTTTATCTTGTTAAGGTGGCTGAAAGAGTAGCACATGAATGCAGCAGAAACAAGTACTTTACCAATGAAAGAAAATGTGAGGATTGTAATGTGTGATTTAAATCTAACTTTCACATGATTTTAGGCTTAGTTTTTTAGTCACGGCTACTCTGCTTAAATAGTCAGTTTTAGAATGATTTATTTAGCTGTAAGCTGCACCCATTTATTTTCTCCATTATAACAGATGTAGGGAACAGGATTACCTTATTTATGTGGTGTAACAAATAACTAAGATGTTGGAGCATCATCCCAGGTAACAGGTATAGGCTATATCTCATTGGCTAAGATAATTTTGTTTAAACCAAGGCTAGCTGTAGCTCAAGAGCTAATTTATGACTAGCCTTTCTGTATTCTTGTTTTCACATATTGTTTTGAATAATTGTGAATTTCTGTTTTTATGGATTTTAATATAATAAAAACTAATGTCAAAGGTCTGATTCAGGCCTTAACTCAATCAGAACTACATATTTTTGTTATTGTTTTTTGGCTTTAGGTGGCAATGGGCTAATTCACAAATGTTAGAAGTACAATGCAGCCATTAAAGCCTCAAGAGTTTGAGTTTGAAGCTGTTCCACTTCAAGTTTATTTTAATCGATTTGAGCTACGGTTCACAGACACTGAACCCCTCTGCACAGAGATTAATATAAAACGGCTGTTTGAATGTGTGTACTCTGTCTTTACTGTATGCTAATCATTTTCATCCCTATCCTAATGTTAACACTTGTATTGCATTGTATTGCTTTGCATTCACAACTACTCTATTTCACATAATTACAATGCAGGATTTCACTGATGAGTGTATTATCTGTAACAGCTTCATCGCTGCCACTCATGACCATTTGTCTAACACTCGGACATATTTTGAATCCTCTTTGCATATTCAATAGCGGCTCACAGTCCTGGGAGCAGAGCTGAGGGTGACAGGGGTTAACGGTGAAGAAGCATTTAAATGGGAAGGGTCAGGTAAAATATTATTATGATGTGGCCGGGCAAACACAAATCTCCATTTTGTGAAATGCAAAATGATTGGCAGCTTCTGGACATGCATAAATAAACAGAGATCTCAGTGTATGTTTATCTGTGTTTCACTGTGTGTACGTTCTTTTGAGTTTTAAAAGGAGGCAATGTTTGCAGTGCTTCCTTGCTAATATTGGCATGTAAATCATATTCATGCTTTCATATTTAGCTGTGTGTCTATGTTTAAGTGTGTACATAACTGTTTTAGTGTGTGTTTTAAGTTTGGATAAGAGTCTCATTCAGATCAGAAACATGCTGACCAGGCACTCGGGGAGGTCTAATTGCTGGTCTGGAGGCCTGAGGGTCTGGGGTGGAGGACGACTAATTGCTGGTGATTATAAACCTCAGAGCGGTGGACTGGTCTCAGGTTTCGATCCGATACACACCAAAGCTCCAAGCACTCACACACAAACTGATGTGCAAAACATGGGTCTATACAACATATGCAGCACCTTCAGGCTACGGCACAGAATTTTACTAAATACTGTTGCTGGTGTGAACCCCATTTAACCTCAGATACCACACACACATGCACACAAGCACAAACACACACAGTCAAAAATGAAAGTGAATTAGAATCTATGAGTTAAAATAAATCTTACAACCAAGACTAATTCCTCCTCAGCAGTAGAAAAAAGAAACAGCTACAGTACATTCATTGTAAATTGTTAACCCTGTTCTCTCTTGATAGATAGATAGATAGATAGATGGATAGATAGATAGATAGATAGATAGATAGATAGATAGATAGATAGATAGATAGATAGAGTGTGACTTGTGTTTAATTTATTATAAAACAGATTGCCTGCTTAAATGCCTCACAGTAGTTATAAAGTAGTAGTTATAAAGAACATCACATGATTATTTCTCTTTGCTTTGTTTGAATCTCAGACAATTAAAATCAACTTTGTGATAGGCCTATGTTTTTATTTGACAGCAACCGTTCACTTTGCCACATTTAGGAGATAATAAAGCACAACGACGTCAAGTACAATGAAGTAACATGTATGCTATTATAAATGTGGCAATGCTTCTTTGTTGTGAGTTTTGCACTTCTTGCATTGTTGCCTACATGGACAAACTAAACTATAGGCAACGTCTTGACTGACCTTATAGATTTCTGCATAAGCAGTCTATAGTGTCCCTGTCGTTATAATAAAATCGCCACTGTGTGCTTTCTATTGCGTGGAGAACTGCCTAATGTGTTTGCGTGCGTCTCGTGCTTGTGTGTGCATGTGCGTGTGTTGGGTGTGAGTTACACTCTTATAAGACGGAAAGTGTAGGCCTTTCATTTTGTGGCCAAAAAAAGATCAGGTCAAGGGTCTGGCACGATCAACATATAAACCGGAAAAAGACATATCAATGCGCCTCTTAAAATCTCCGTGAATCCCCGTTAATAAAAAAAACACAGTAGGCAGGGCTATAGTAGAAGTCCACAGTCTTTGCCACCTTCTTAAGATTAACTAAAGAATTTCCTAAACAGCCTACGTTTTCTTTTTGTAGCATGTTTTAAGTTTTGCATAGTCATAACAAAACCTCTTTCAGCCAGACGTACAGGGTGCACTAAAGACTTTGTTACAGACTTTGAGGATTTTTCAAAAGGTCTTTCAAGAGCACATTTAACCCGCATCCATCTCAAAAGAAGAGAGAGAGAGAGAGAGAGAGAATGAGAGAGAGAGTTTGTGTATGTGTGCAAGTTTGAAAGAGAGCGAGCGAGTGAGATAGGGAGTAAGAGATGGGGGAGATAGGGAGACGAGGGAGGGTTGTGTGTGCAGAGTGGACGTGGTATTTTGAAAATAGGGTCATAAACTTACCCTACCTGAAATAATCCATTTTACAGAAGATCTCTTTGTTTTTGATGTAGCAGCTGCTGTGCTGACGTAGTGACGTCCTGCAGACGGAACACTCCAGACAGCGCACGTGCCAGATCAGGTTGTTCACCTGCGAAGAGGCGACAGATATGTCATCACACACACTGATGATGTATCACTGCAGCAGGGACTAAAAGCGTGTCTGTGTTGCTCTGATGAGTTTAGATACTGTTTCTCTTTTTTGCAGCTTATCTGCGATGCCCATTTTGGCCTCTATGAGTTTATATTGGAGTAAATATATTTTTGATTTTTTTGTAAGGCTATAGGCCAACACGTCTACATCTTATTATAGGTTTATAGCCTAGTTTTAGGATCGACGGTTTTATATTGTTGCACACTGATTCGGCTATAGTCCACTGACATCATTCCGTGCTATATTTTTTTGATACATTATAATAAAGCCTATAGACCTAAAACATATCGCTCAGCTGACTTCGAGCCCTTGAACATTGACTCTTCAGCATTGTTTATCTTTAGTATGCTATTTTACAACAATTAGCAATAACGGAAAACAGAGCATAAATGTCAGTCATTGGAAATAAATGTTCAATATGTTAGAACAACTGATAAAATTATTGAGACAAATTTAAATGTTTACAGAAGCAAATTTTAGTATATAGCATAGGCCTAGCCTGTAGGCTATGCGATTGAAATAAGCCGCATTATTTGTGCTCATGTTTAGGCTACTGTGATATATATTCAACCGAAAATCTAGTCTCAGCTTATTCATAATACACACACACAAGTTGAAGTGGAACTTAAAATATTTCTATTGCTAAATAAACAACTAGTATTTAAGGTGGCTACAGTTGACATAACACACTATAGAGAATAATTCATTTTATGAAAAGGGAACTAGTAGGCTACTACTAGATTGACTTTTTTAAGGTTAATATGGCACAAAGGTGAGATTTTAATTTAACATCAATTTTATGTATTTTTATTATTTATTATCGACAACATTTTAAATGTTGTGTTTTTCAGTCAGTTAAAACGAAATAAAAAGATCGTTCCATATGAATAGAAGTTTTAGATCATATCATCAGAGGTCTTTCAATAGGCTACACACGTCAACAAAAATAAATAGATTTATTTAATTGACAATTCTAAAAATATTCAAATATCTGTTATATTCTGAATACGGTTTTAAAATTATATTGGCCTATTCAAATGAAATAGTCTAACTGTCATAGTATTTCTTGGCCGACAGAAAAAAAATGTTTTCCTTACGTTATCTGTTCCTCCGTCAGATTATCAACTAATGATCTTCACTTCCTGACAAACACACCCATTAGCAATACTAAAGACTGCTGGAAGCACGCGGGCGCACGCGACAAGACGCGTATTTGGCCTACACGGGGGCTTTAAAACTGAGAACCAAAACATCCTGGTTGTGTCTGCGGGCTCCAAAACAGCTCTGCTGCTTTTATTTTGTTATCTCAAATATGACAATTCCGCAAACATTTAGGACTAATTAACTGATTGATTCAGGAACTATAATTAATTCATTATAGGCCTATAATATATTTATATTAATTATAAAATAAGTTAAAGTATACGTGTGTAGCTATTTGTGTAGTCCAACTGTGCTCTATTTGGTAGGTTTATTTATTTATAGGTTAGGTGATATTTCTTCCCCTTTTCGTATTTTTTACTTTGTTGTTTTTTTCATCCTCACATAGAGATTAAATTCAAAGATAATGCCAGGCTTCTTGTGTATGGCTATTCAACAACACAGTAGAACAGTCCCAAACCTAGTAGGTCTCCCAGAGACTAAACACTAAGATCTTCTCATGAATGTTAAGTTAAAAAAGATGGCCATAAAATTATTATTTTTTTTTTAACAAGCCCACACCCCTCCACAGTTTTCTCTGCCTCTCACCTTCAGCAGGTATCTGTCCAGGATCTCCTGCCCACAGCTGGCGCACACGTTCTTCCCGGTGGAGGGCACCGAGCTGGTGGTGGAGATGGGCGAGCACACGGAGGGGGTGGACGGGGTGCTGGGAGACGAGCGTGTGTCCTCCCGCTCCATGTTGGACCGCTGCGATTCTCCGTCCGAATGAGACTGCAAGAGATCATCGACACAACACAATATTACTGAACACTCTTCAACCCACAGTTTGCACATGACCACTATTTTCAGTATGTTATGTTATTTGTAAAAACGCGTGCATAATTCCCACATATGTAAAGCTCTATCGGCTATTAACATCAGTTCTAACTTGCACTGAAAACTGAAGCTATATTCAAAGCAAAAATAAGCAATAAAGGTCTCACCATTGGCGTGTGTTTCGAGTCCACACTGCAGCGCGAGCCTCCCGGTGTGCCCTGATGCTCCGTACAGATCACCTATAAGACAACGATCAGTGAACGACAGGTCTTCTTCACTTTCCCCGTCTCATCGTCAGCTGAGAAATCCTCGGGACACATTTGCAGACAGCTCTCCAAGGCTACTCCTATTTAAAGTAGGCTAGTCCTGACAATAAACCCCGGTTAAAACTGTTAAAGGGCCCCCGCAACAAAAGGCACATTTTAATGAAGCTATTTCAATTTGGATTGATTTTTCCCTTCCCCTTAACCCATGCCTCTCACAATAATAGTATTTTCTCCGCAATCCAGGACACGAGAGTGGAGGGGGGAAAAACTACCTGTAATTACAAATAGCTCGAAACGCTGCGGATAAGAGGGACCCAGAGTGTCAATTTCAACTGTCAATCAGAAAAAGGCAACGGGTCACCCAAAGAATTGCAAATTTGATTTTTAATGGCTGTAATTAAAATCCAATTCTTCTCAGGCGAATTGGCAGCGCTCGAGAGGGCTCGCGGACCGCAAATCACGCTATTCATAACAGAGTGGCGCGTGCCTCTTCACAGCGGCTGGCGCGTGCAGCTGATCTCAGTACACAAGCGATGATTCTTGTGACATCACAGAGAGACAAAACAAAACTCACACACAACGCTGCGGGCTGCAAATAAAGTGCTCGTGTTTGATACGGAAAATGGATCAAAGGTTTTTTTTTTAAAAGACAAAGGAAAAAATGTTACATTCAAATTGGCTCACGCTTACCCTATAAAAAAAGACCTGTGTAAAAACATTAGCAGTTCAGCATCACCACACACACAAATACATCTGTCTAATTCACACACCAAAGGCTCAGCGAGCCTCAATATGCTACGTCTCCAAATTTAAACTTTTACGCACAGTCGAACTCACAGCCTTTTCTGTACCTGTTTCGTGGGAATTCCTTCGGATAGAATCTTATTTCCCTCTGAAAGAGGGGACAAAACTTCATTTTTCCAGTACATGAACCCCTGCAGTCTCACAGCGTACAGTGTCTCCAAACTCGGTGCGTGGATTCAGGAGAAGACTCGGCGATGGGCGTCTGAACTTGTAGCATCCGTACTATGCGTGCAGGGTTCGGGTAACTGGCTCACAGGGTCGTTTTGAACGCAAAATGCTATTTCTCTGTAAGCGATGTTGTGACTGCCACTAAAAGAAAGTGGATAAGATCTGAATCTTTGCAGAGTGCAGGAGCTGCTTGCTGCTCCAGAGAGCCTTATTTAGAACAGAAAGATTTCTTCCTTTCTCCCGTGTCCCCCCTCTATCCACTTTAGGGAAAGAGTCTGACTACAGGAAATGAATCAGATTGAGGGGTTGGCAGTTTTTACTCCAAGGCTCCGTTGGTGCAGGAGAGAACGCAAAGTCGAAGAGAGCAGAGGAGCGGAGTGACTGTGCAGAGCTTTAGTGAAAGTTTGCGCGGCTCTCTGGCCTGCCTCACAGTTAAAGAAGGGGGAGGGTGAACAGTTTCATATGCGTGAGAAGGGTGGACACACTTTGGAACAGTTATGACAGAAACTCAGTCAAACTCTGCAACTCTGTTCGATATCCCACACATTTATAGCGTCTGCCAGAGGAGAAAATACCAAATGCAAATTATAGTTACTCATATAATTGTCATAGGCTATATTTGCTACTACAAATATACAACTAGACCTGGATCGACTGCAACATAACGGTTAACATGCTCGGCATATAATTAGACATTTTTATATGCAGCGTCTCCATAGGCTGCAGCACATGTAGGTTTATGATGGATATTCTCACACCAAAAACGAACACGATACCATAGGCGTATTTAAAAATAAATGAATAAAATATATAATATAAAATTAAATAAAAATGTTTAAAGCCATCTTCCGGATTCGACCCATTAATCACTTAATATAAAGTTAATTCATTTCACTTTTAACTGCTTTTGTTTTCGTTCTAACAATGGTTATCAAACATGTAAATCAAGGTTAACGACGTAATAAAAATGTCGCTATTGTGATTGGCAGGGCAGAAAAAATTATAAAGACAATAATTCAACAAAATAATTGAAATTCCGATGTATCACTTTTTGTAAACGTCATGGTTGTAGGCTACTCTGATCTAGGCCTATAAATAGGACTTTTATTTTGACACAAATGGGCCATGCCTATCGGCCTAACCAAAACTGACATAACGATTGTGAGAAAACGGAAAAGAGCCTCTTTTGTAGGATATTTATGCAAACAAAAGATGAGTTGATGCTGATGAATAAAAATGCTCACGCGGAGTTATTTAACAAAGAGGAAGTCTGATAATTACAGGAAATGTGTGAGCGCGCGCCCCGGTTTTGATCAGCGTGTCAATCACGGCAGGATCGCACAATCAACCGTGCATTTTTGTATCAGGAAATAACCCATCCAATACACCCGACCTGGAAAAAAATAAATATATTCATCATTACAGATTTAAAAAAATAGTAAAAAAATATTTAATAATTCAAAAGTACATTTTAACCTTTAATCAATCTATTAAATACACACATTATAAACAAATCAATTGTTTCATCTCTCTTTCAGGGATAGTCTGTAGCCCAGAGATCTGCTGTGCAATACACACACGCACACACACTCGTGCACACACACACTTAAGAAAGGGCTTGCTATATCAAGAGGTAGGATTGGATTTAATGTTCAAATCATCTCCTGCTGCATGTTCATCTCGCCTAATGTAAGAGTTGTTCTTTCAAACTTTTGAACCCTTAGCTCTGCAGAGGCCCTTTGGCTGATAATAAAATGGTCTATCAGAAAACAATTTCACTGTCTTTCCTGCCGTCAAAAATATTGTCTATATGTGCTCATATTGCATGTTAAGCCTGTAGGAAAACAAAGATCAAAGTTGTGCTCCAGCATGAAACCCATAAGAGCGAATAATACACTTAATTAAAAAACAATCAATTTAAAAGTATATTCAAGGGCTGGATATAATATTTAAATACTAGTAATAAGACATTCCAGATGAACCATGACTTAGGGGGTTAGGGTTAGTTGTTTCAGCACTGATGGTTCTAGGAATATCCCAGTACTAACCTTGGGAATTCTGTGATACTTTAGAGCTGTTTGGTAGATTTGCTGCTAGTGAGTAACTTCTCTGTTTAATAAGATGCAGATGATTCACCATTATTTCTGTGAAACATTTAAACCGCATCACCAAATCCTGTGGGACGAGTCGCTAACATTTTGATTCATGTATCTAAATCCTGCACTTAAAAAGAGGATGTCAAGAAGCTACATAAGCTCATATAACAACACGCAAAAGACGTCATATTTCATTGTCTTTAATAATAATAGAGACTGTGGCAAAGGAAATACCAAAAACTCTTCACACCACATTAATTCAGTAAAAAGATCAGTCGTATAAAAAATTGGATCTGAGACAAAAAAAAGGGAAAAAAAACACAAAATACTGCAACTTACAGTAGTTGTCGCTGAGAGGCTTGTGGCTTATTGTATAATCTCCATGAGTACCAACCTGTTATAAATCTATGTTTTAATTCCTCTTTGTCTTAGTCTTGGAAAAACAACGTATTTCCACATTTATATTTTGTAAACGGAAAGTAAAACCATGTCAAAAACAGAGCGATCATTTAGACTATATAAACTATGAAGACATGTCTTTCTTCGCATCGTGTGACTCTTGGCTGTTGGATTCCCCTTGAAATAAATCTCTGCATAAGTGAGGAAGCAGAAAGATTTATGCGGGATTAAACCTGCATGGCAGTCGGGATCGGCTGAATGATAACTGCAAAACAAAAACAAAAAGAAACCACTTAAAATTCTTGTCCATGATTGCTTCAATTACCTCCAGAAGAGTCCTGTGTTTCAAAGTATCAAGAAGAACTTCAAAATGTTTATTCCCATACAGCATGTGTATAGTCTTTATAGCATCTAGTGTAGAGTCTGTTTATGTGTAGGTGGGAGATGAGGTGTGTAGAGACGGAGGGAGGGGATTCTCCAGAAATGATGGGTCATCTCCTAAACTTGCGGAAGGGTCTGCTCTGATTATTGTGGTGGGATTTAGAGTACGGCTCCCAGCGCTTCCTCTCCGGCGGTTTGTTGTGAACGTACGCTGACGGGCCTGAGTAGTCATCGTCTGGATTCTCCTCCATCATCTGCAGCTTGGCCTCGATGGCGCGGATCTTTGCACTCGTACTGAAGAAACAGAAGAAGAAGAAAAAGAGAGCGAGGTTGAGGGGGAAATACTAGTGTTGGTGCTGAGGGTGTGCTGGACAGATCTCGGCTGTGGCCTCCAGAAGAGGAGGTATTAGCACTTTAAGTAACAGGAGGGTGCAGATGCTAGGGAAAAGAGAGATTACCTGTTGTGCTGCATGAGAAATAGTGGGAAAATGGCATTTAAATGGTAGAACAGGATTTGAAGAAGCAAGCAAGAGAAGTGGAGTAAAGATTACAGCGCAGGTGACTGAGGGAAGGAGCGAGTTCGTAGGAAGAGAGGAAGCCTCGAGGGCTAGAAAGTGTTTATATTTTCTTTCTTGTGCTGTGTGGTCAGAGTGCCTCTGAACATTACTCAACACCGAAAAGTGTGGATATCTCCCAGAGAGGATTTCTGGCAGCCGAGTTGTTACACACATTTGACTGTCCATGAAAGAGTTGAAACTGGGAGCACAAAAAGGCCCAATAGTGAAATAACCGTCTCTATAAGAGTGTTTGCATGTGAATGCGGGCCACAAAAATGAAACTTAAGAATATTGTGCTTTAATGGAACTTTATCAATTCAACACAGGCGGAGTTTGAACAATAGTTTCAGTCCAGTATTGCTCAGGGGAACTTTGTGGTAAGAGCAACAAGACCACAGGCCCTCGTGTAATAACTTCAGGGTAAAGATGGAGTTCAATGGAGGATGTCTCAAGGCTTATTAAAGAGTCAGAACGACCAAAACAAATGAGTATGTAAATGGTTTCTTCCAATCATTTTTTTAAGGGTGCAAGTGTTTGACACTCAACTTTGGAAGATGGGTTGAAAGGGGGGGGGGGTTTCCAATCTACAAAAAGCAGTTTGGTAGAATTATACAGGGTGCTTTACAACTTGTTGACATTTAATAAGTGATCTAGTGGTTAGCAGGCTTACATGATAGATGTTCAAGAAGGTCGCTCTGTAAGTGTTTTTAAAATGTAAGGCCATTGGTTTCACTTTTATTTATCAAGTTCACTCATTCATTGGCCTGAAAAATCATTCCAAAGTGTAAAAACAAAGACTCAATGGTAAGACTTGGCAGGGATATATTGTGGACAGACTCTGAGAAATACAGCAAATCTGTAAAAGATATATCTCAATAACCAAAAGGTGGTGCTGATGTATGTTTGGTACAAACCTGAGGTGGTTTGCGGCTACGGCTCCTTCCTCCGCAGCGCCGCTGCACGAAGGTTCAAGGCTCGGGGGCATTGTCTTCTCATTACGGAAACCTTCGAACCTCTGGAGATGAGACATGTGGCCGAAAACAAAATGACCCACACAAATGGTGATGGAAACATGAATGGGCAGACGGATGGAGAGAGACAAGGGGGTAAAAACACAGGCCGAGGCAAAGACACAAGAAAGTCCAGGAAAGCACAAAAGAAAATTGAGCATTTAAAAGTGAACAGGACAACATGACAAGAAAAGGAAGGCAGAAAAAAAAGTCATGTCAACCAGACGTCTATAAACAATCTGACCATCTTAATAAACACTGAAAGCAGTGTTTTGGAGTGTAAACTCCGGTTTCCTCCCACAAACATCCAACATAATCAAAGATTTTTCTTTGTGTATAATCAAACAGACAGCAACCGAGCAGGTCTGTGCGTCCAGCTCATAATTGCCCCCCTAAGGCACCCTGAGAGAGCAGCTGAGGAGCAACAACCAACGTCTGCACTCATTCCTTTCAAAAACCACCTTCCAAACATCTCCACCAGCCAACACAGAACTCTTGAAAACCTGTGGGGAAAGAAAAAAAAAGACAAAAACAAAAACCAAAGGTCACATACAGCACAAGAATAGCATGAGACAGCCCAGCACTGTGGATGCAGCGCTAATAGCTGCTTGCAGGGATAAGGTGACATGATATGAGGAGGTGTAAGTGGCACTGAATCAACTTGGTTAAGAGCTACTCAGATGTGCAAAAGAACACGCATGGTCTCACATACTGTGCCAAGAAATAAATAACATGTATAGCCAAGAATAGGTCGAAAACAATGGCCGCTCCACCAGCCAGAACCCTTCCCTTCCAGCTATTTCTAAAGGCATGTTGCTGGAATGCATATAGATCTACATGGAGTCAATCAGTCCATTCTGAAACTGCAAAAGGTGAAAGTTATGTTTAAATGTCTCTGGAATTTGGTTCGATCTCGAAAAAAGTTCGAAACTTTTTTGGGATTGCATTAATATTCAATATGTAACAATACGCAGCATTTTCAGCTAAATTATGGGTCTACAATGAGTTTATGTGAATAAAGGGTTGTTGAAAATGTGAGTTTTGCTTCATTTGATGAACCGTGGCTTACCAGCAAATTGATAAACACACATCATTACAGTAAAGAATTAGGAAATGATTGCCTAACTGTTCCTTGGAAGGTTATGAATGTTGATGAAGAGTTACGGGGAAACAATTAAATACATGTTCATCAGCATAGTTTCCTCTTCTTCAAAGCAAACTAATAAAGTCAAGATGTAAGGCTGGAAGTGAGACAGCAACTTCCACGCCGACTGTTTCTGACTCACTTCTCCCGGCACGTCATGTACAGGTTGTAAACGATATATCAAGATGAAACAAATGCTAGAGGGAAACTCCACTGTGGAGAGGAGGCATTCATTTTTTCCCAAATTTAGCTTGAGGTTCAGTTATCTTGCCCAGAAACAGCTAATACTGTGAGCTAATAATAAAGTCTGCACTTATTCTTTTTAACGTCTAAACCAGTGGTACTCAACTGGTGGGTTGGGACCCTAAAGTGGGCCGCAGAGCTGTTTTTAAGTGGGTCGCGAACATGTGACTGGAAACAAAAACGTCTCAAAAAGTCTATATGAAGTCCGAACTGCACTATTTTTCATTCAATAAATCTGATTGGTTGAAAAAATATATGCAATATGGGCCACGGTTTTCATGAAGGAGTTAGCGGTGGATCCTTAAGAGTATATTTGAAAACTTATGAAGGGCTGTAGCTCAGTGACGCATCAGACTATCAAAGTACAGGATTGACTTTCAATAACAGCATTAATAATAGACATGAACTGAGCTCATTGATGAGTGTTAGGGAAGGGCTGCAGAACGTGTTGACAGACATTGTGAGGGAAGTAGTTACAGCCTTTTTGCAACTGAGTCACAGTTGACACAAACAGACTGGTATTGTCAGAACATTTAGGATATTAAAGGAGCAATACGTTAGTCTGACATGTAGCGTTTGAAATGAATACTGCAGTCCAAATTCAAAACATTAGAGAGAGAGCTGTCTCCCTCTGACCACTCCTTCCTAGGGACGATTTGCACGTGGTAGCTTCAGTGTTTAGCCAGATATGCATTCAGACTTTAAAACATTCTGCATTCTAACCTCTCTCCATTTTTCAAAATCATCTCCAATATTTATCCTAGTTTAACCACGTTTCTGCTCGTGGAGCTCCTTAGAAACATGCAGAGGCTTTTTAGGTCGGGTAGAATCAATTTGCGACACCTGTTGCCTTGCCGTGATAACCGTTCTCATATCTGGTAAACCAAGGGGTGTCCAAAACGGCCTTAAGGGGGTGCCTTAAAACCTCCTTCCTTCTCTGGTCCAATCAAAAAGAGATCATTCCAGACAGGAATTGAAACTTAGAAGGAGCACATACTGGATGCTTCATTGTTGTCAGAGAAGCCAGCACTTCAACAAAGCCCCCTAAAGTCTGATGATATAGTAAGGTCATGTTGTCATTTCATTCAGTAGATATCTTACATATTGCTCCTTTAACAACTTACAATTCTGGTTTATGATGGTATAAATAACAAAAGCTATTTCTAGTAGGAATTATGTATTAAGCCAAGTTGGATGGAATCCGTGAGCAGATTTATCCTACAACATGTTGTCTTAAGAGGCAGCAGCATTGACCTTGACCTCTCTCTTCTACTGAGTGTGAGTGTGTGTGTGTGTGTGTGTGTGTGTGTGTGTGTGTAGGGCGTGATATGTCTTTATACAGGATTTCCTTTCACCCAATGCCAGCAGGCTGTCTATTGTTAAGAGACAGGCCTAGGTACTGCTGGGATTTCACTGATCTCTGTAAACTAACTCCTGCAATAGCCATCAGGATGTTTTAAGATTTTGAGTTTTATGAAACTGAGATTGATACTCACCCTCACCTGTGCGTGCGCCCAGCGCACCACCAGCTTCTTGGACAAAGCTAGCTTCCCATTTAAACACTGAATGGCCCTCTCTGCCTCCTGCAGACAGCCACACACAGAGAGGAAAAGTGGAAAAGATGTTTTACAATTATGATTCAAAATCTGCTTTCATGATTGCAAAAGAGTCATTAAATAATTAGTCCTGAGAAAAGAGAGATGGCAAAAACAATAAAAGATGATGATGTGCCTCTCTGCCTCCAGACAGACCATATGAGATGCCTGTGTGTGCAAGTGCTTGTGCGTGAGGTGTCTGTGTGTGACTGAGAGTGTGTGCAAGTGTGTGTCTGTGTTGGTGTGTGTGTGTCTGTGTTATGTGATTGAAAGGCAAAGGGAGAAAATTTAGTTTTGTCTAATCAAGTGAATAAGTGGCTTTGATACTAACTAATATTAATGAAGTACTTTGTCTTTGTGTGTGTGTGTGTGTGTGTGTGTGTGTGTGTGTGTGTGTGTGTGTGTGTGTGTGTGTGTGTCTAAGTTGGTGTGAGTGTGGATGATAAACCCACACTTCCTCTGTACAACTCTTTTGGGAGGGCTTCATATCCCTCTGATAGACACTAGCTGTGAAACTAGATGCTTATCACGATCCCCCTAGGCTCACTCCTAAGCAAACACAGCCCGCTGAACCTGTGAGCTGAGCGGCTCCTTTAAGTGCTTTTTTTAGAAACACGGTCCACTCCAGTCACATACAGGCAGGTCCTCCTGACTGCTCCAAGGTGTCTGATAAAGCTGTCTTAGGCCATATGAGTATGTGGAGTAGTGTCATATTAACTTGGTTAGCTAAGAGACACCAATATATAACCTGATTTTAAAATGATATTTCTGTATGATCCAGTATTTAAAGAGGTCATATTATGCCCTTTTTGGGGTTCGTATATTTCATCTATGTTCACAATAGCTAAAGTTTGAAAAAAGTGTCTGTTTTCATGTACTGCCGCTCCATGCACCGGCTCGCTTCTGACTCTCTCTCTAAGGCTCTGAAGTGCCCACGTTCAGAGTCCCCACGTGTGCCAAGTCTGATCTGATTGGTCGGCCTGTCGGCTCTGCCGTAATTGGTCAGTCGCTCAGCACGGTTCTCGGAAATGTCCCGCCCCTTTTACCATATTGGGAATGCAGCCACTTTGGCTCCGTCCGAGGGGAGCAAAAACATTAGCACCTTAGCACTACTGTGCTACCGCAGGCTACGGCACATCGTGGGCGTGCTACAGAAGTTAACGGGCGTGCAACATGAGCTGCTGGGCTTGCCACAACGAGCCAATGGCTTAGATCAGTGATATCACACTGACAAGACGTCACACTGGCAAAAACATTTTGAGGGGGCTAGAACCGAGCGTTACATGCAGATAATGCTGCAGCTAACAGGAGGACGTAGGAGAAGCCGGTTCCGCGGACTTTGAATTTTTGCACATAGATGTGCCTAAACATGCACAGGATACATGGAAAACACACTAAAGAGCATATAAAACCAGAAAAAGCATAATATGACCCCTTTAATATACAACCAATGACAGAGAGACTTAGATTTGATTCATCTTAGAGCAAATTGCTTCTACTGACTAAATAATTGATGCACATTTACTTTGAAAAAGACGCTTAACAGTATGCATGACTTCTCAGTGCTTTACACGTCTGACTTGGTGCAATTTCCAAATTCAAAATAAAAATGACATCCAATCAGTTCAAATCAAATTCTCCTACAATACAAACTGTACACTTTTATTTTGCATGTACCTCTCGGGTGTTGAAGTTTACAAAGCAGTAGCCTCGAGGTTGTCCCTCCAAAGGCCCAGACTTATGAAACAGGAAGTCAAACTGTTTCACATTGCCAAACTTCTCCAACAACTTCACCAGGTGATACCTAAAGAGAGAGAGGGAGAGGGAGAGAGAGAGACAGAGAGAGAGAGAGATCATGTTAAACATAGACCAAAACCCATTAAGCATACGATTGGAAAGACTTCCTAAGTGGAAACTTCATGACATTTGGAGCATCATAACAGAGGGGAAATTGAAATGGCGCTTTAAAATGTCATACATATTTTACTTTTTAGCAGGGACCAATCGCTTGTGAGGATTTTTGCGTCAAGGCGAAAACAGTATACACACTTTCTGACATGTTGAATATTAAAAATCCTTTTGGAAAGAAGGATATATTAAAACTCTTAAGTACATTTTTAACTTGAAAAGAACCTTTAAACAAGGATCATAAAAGAAAAATCACTTCTTTGTTTTTTAGTCAGGACCTCAGAGTTATTTAATTCAGTTTAGTTTGACTAGTTTAGTTAAACCTGGGAAAAAAAAAATGTAGCGTGATTCTATGGAACAAAATAAAAAAGCTCTGTGATAAAGTTCATTAAAAAATAGAACAAAGGAGGAAGAAGGGAGGGTGGAAAGAAAAGAAAGATGCAAATGACTACTGTAAGAAATATTTAGTAAAATGTACAACATTCTCCTACATTTCCATGAACATAGTGCATCAATGCCCATTATTATAATTGCAGTCTGTGAATCTGTCAAGAGTGGCTAATGAGAACGACAGCTTTCTCTCTGTGACACCTTTATAGCAGCGGGCCAGCAGCTGGAGCCGCGCGGTGACAGTAAATCTCTCACTGAGACAATACGGAGGATACAGTAGCAGGACAATGAGGGAATAAAAAAGAGGAAGTATCGACCCCCCCCCCCTCCTCCTCCGAGCACCGTGCTCCACAAAAACAACATCCACTCGCTGTGCAGAGCTGCATGGGACTGCTGGACTCTGTATGAACATAAATATTTTCTCATTAAAAAGCTATGCAGGGCTGTGAGGATTTTTGTGTCTGTGACTTACTCTTAGCTGCCATGGGAAACATATCCCTGTTATAGTATGGAAAAGAGAAACTATTACAGGCTCCCCTGTACTCTGCATACATTACTTTAATCCTGTACTCAGGTGCTGTTTGAATGTGTCTGAAGCATGAACTGTCATATCTGTTGAACAGGGACTGATTTAGATGTGCAGTGTACTTGTTTCACTTTGTGCAGAATCAATACCTGTTTCAGGCATTTTCCTTCATTTGATTGGCTTTGACCGGCGACTATTTTCACATACCAACATGTCTTAAATATAAAGAGTCTATTAAGCAATAAAAAAACAAAACCTAAAAAGCAGTAACAATAGAAACCAACACACACCTTCCTGTGTTTTTGTTTCTGTGCCTTTAACTTGTGTGACTGTCCAGGCCTCACTGTGACCCCAGGGGTTTTGTATAAATGCTCAACAGGAATTAATGCTTCAGACTCTAATTGTTTGGATGCATGTTATTTTTAATCCAGGAGCAGTTTGCGTGTGTGTGTGTGTGTGTGTCACAGCAGAGGTACATTTATGTGTATAAATGGGACTCAATGGGGGGTATGGAGGGTGAAGAGTGTGTGACTCTTAGATACAGGTTGTACTAATGTCTTCCACCATTGTATGACTCCCTGGAGGGCTTTAGGCCAAAGAGAATTTCTGCTTTTCCCAGACAACACCCTGCAAGACCCCATGTAACAGTGACTCCTCTAAACCAGGTGCATAAACAAAAAAAACAAAAAAACAAAAAAAAAAGCATCTAAAAACATATTGCATTAATTGCATTCTCACCTTTTCTACATTTTATTATTTTAAGTAATTGCATACAGCATATCTGTGTTCACGTATATATATTTAGAGTTTCAATGGGCAACACTCTAAGAACATTTTTGGATGCTGGAGAGCTGAGCCACAATGGACCGCTCCTCCTGGGGCTGTAAAAAGTGCCGGAGGAAGAGGAGGAGGAGAGGAGGGCTGAGGGAAGGGAGGGAAAGGTGGGGAGAGGGAGAGCAGAGTTCAGAGAGGGGATGTTGGCAAAAGAAGATGAGGAGGTGAGAAGCCGGGTACAAGAGAGACAAGAGCGAAGAGGCAAAGAAGAGGAAGGAAGGAAAAGGGGGGAAATGTGAGTTTAGTCCAGAATATAAGAGAAAAAAGTTTGGTGGAGAAAAGTGCAGGTCAGAGGGAAAAACTTTAGAGAGAAGGGGGGGGGGGGGGGTGTTTGTTTTAAGATTTCCTAAGAACAAGTCCTGCAGGGAGCTCAGGGTTATGAGTTCTAATGCAAATCTTGACAATTTCCAGGTACGCAACTTAAAACGTGCAAAGGGCCAGAGAGACAACAAAGAGGTAGAGGGTGATGGATAACCTCCATTTAGAAATTCTCTCTCTGAGAAGCCAAAAGCTCAAAAACATAAATAGGTGGTGATAGATGATGATCATGTGGTAATAGGGCTTCTTCTCTCTGCACCGGGCAGGGAAAGATGAAAGAATCAAACACGATAGTATAACGAATTCTCCCTCTGGGAAGATCATTTCAATGGAGTTCAAAGAATATGACTATTTAGTGGACGCCGTCGCCAATGCCTTCATCTTCGCTGAGTGGGAGGGACACACAGACCTCTTGCTACAGAGCTGCTACGCACACAGCAGACGACGTAGAAGTTAGCAAAACAGAGATCAAAGAGTTCATTTTTCAAAATCAAGTACTCTGAATGGATTGTTGCACATGTTCCCAAGCTGTTATGAACTTTACAGGATTTTTTTTAATATCCTTTTCGTGGGACTTGAGATTTGTCATTAAAATAACATCGAACAAGATCGCTTTATTTAATTATCAGCCGTCTTAAAATCAGTGCACACTACATCTAAGATCTAGTTTAATATTTTATTAGCACTTGAGTATAATTGACTGTTATCTTCAGTCACGGTGTTCAATGCCTTTTCTGTACACGCTGCTCCAAACCAATTGCCCCATGAAGGATTAATAATTGAATTAAATCAACCAATAAAGAGCAGAACTGTTACTATCAAAGTTTTCTCCTGATCAAATAAAGCCAAACATGCAATATTTAAAATGTGCTGTTACATCACATTAAACCTGCAGATTAACACCGCTATATACTGAATATCTAAATGAATGAACCGTTTGTACCTCAAATTAGATTTTAAAAAATCTTCAAAGAAAAGAAGCATCACATTACACTGTAAGAAAATAAATGAATCAATCAATAACTTTCTGTACAAACATTTTCTATTCACTTTTCAATTTTTAAAATAGGTTTGTTGCGTTCTGTCATTCAGACTCATGTTCCCATTATCAGCACCTTGCATTTCGGAGTTTTGGCTTGGCTTACCCGGACAAACAAAAAGGACGGAGGGAGGCACTACGTATGCTACACGGGAGCTAATTAATCTCCCCAATCAGCACCAGGGGCCATGGGCATTTCTCCTGTTTTCCCCTCAATGCTGTGAGGTGGTGGGCTATTTAAGGAGAAGTAGAGCAGAGCAGGGAGAGGGGAAGGAAACGCCTGTCTAGACGCCCACCAGAGCTGCAGCCCGTACATTCTCCAGCAGCCCCCAACAGGCACAAAAACACACTCCTAACCCCCCCACCCCAAAAAGTACCTCTACATCACATTATATGAAAGTGTGCTGCTCTCTGTGCGTAAGGTTAGAGTTTTGCACAAATGCAACAAAGCAATGACGTTTGCATCTACCTCTGATATTGTGTTAAGCAAGACAAAATAATAATATACACAGACACCTCTGTGTGTTGAAGCCTGCACCACGAGCAGCTGCAAACCAAACACCAACTTTACACTTAAACATTCACACACACACACACACACACACACACACACACACAGGTTCAGGTTGACACAGAGAGAGTAAACAGGGCAGGTGAGTGAGGAATGATGGCTGCTCCTTAGCACAGCAGGTCTCCACGCCTCGCTGCCTCTCTTTCACACACCCGGCCCTGTCTGCTCAGTCTCAGCCTGCGACATACACACACTACACACACAGTTCATCAATCATACATGCACGCACAATGCATTGCCTCTCTATGAGCTAGAGACAGGCAAGTTAAAAAGCAATGCTTCTGGTTCATAACATGGACGAGTACATCAACCTAGAATCAAAAACTAACAGCTGTTCTTGCAATACATTTGAAAAAAAGACCTTGTTTCCAAAACAGGTTGGCTGGTTCTAATTTTAAAAGTGTATATGTTCTCTTTTGTAGTGAAATATATATATATATATTTTTGATTTAAATTCAATTCAATCCTTAAAATTGTGATTTGGTATGCACTGCATGTATACTCTCTTACTGGTAGAATTTGTATTATCTGAGGCCAATGTGTCAAAAGTTGGCACAGGCTGACCAAGATTGATCTTTTTTTAACATTTTCAAACCTTTTATGATTTAAAATCTGTTAAAAAGCAGAAGCTGTACACATGAGCACCTTTGAAAAAAAGTATGGGCCTATTACTCACTCTGTGATTTTGGGATCAATGTTGCCTATCCATAATCGGTTTCCATCATGGGCCGCACTCTCTGAAATGATGGAGGCATTTTCCACTGTCCCTGCGGCAGACGACATGTGTACTCTGTCGGGGAAAGACATAAAAAACAGAGAATACATAGAAAAGGCGGGGATAAGTTAACATTTTTCACTTAAGTCTACTCTTTGCAGTCGTTCAGGAAGGTCACTTGTTAATTAGAGGACTAGTTCAAAAACAAAGAGTCAAAGCACCTTTGACCATGTCGATCAAAACTAAGTATTTTATAAAGATTAAGGCATAATTCATTCACTGTTATTGTCTGAATAGGATTTCATAACTGTAACTAATCAACTGGCTGCTCAGTGTAAATAGTTACTTGTATTTAGACAGTCCTTACATTAACTCATGACAACAGTACAGTGCAGAATTATTTGTTGAAAAGAGACACTTTCTATTGTGATCCAAGTCATTTTAATCAGCATAACAAGACTTTGTTTACAATACATGTTAGCTACGCATACAAAGCATGTACATACATTGTCAATAGGATAGGATAAAACTTTATTGATCCCCAGAGGGGAAATTGGGCGTTACAGCAGCACAGACAAAAAGCTCAAAATACACATTAAACAGAATAGGTAAGATAAATTAAAATAAAAACAGGGGGTATATACAGTACAAAATGAATGATGAAGTTAACTGGGGGAATTGAGAATTGAGACAGTATTTGCAGAGAATGACAAGTTAAAGTGACAAGTGATTAAAGTGACTTGGTATGATAATAGCAGCAAGCAATGTAAACAGCAGAGAAGAGAGGCAGTGTTTACCACAGTACTGCAGAGTGCAGTTATATAATATAATGTAGTATAATATAATATAATATAGTGCAATATAATGAAATGTTATATGATATAGAGTAGTATAATATAATATAATATAATATAGTGTAATATAATGAAATGTTATATAATATAGAGCAGTATAATAATAGTAGCTATCTTTCGTTTACTTTGTCTTTACAGTTCAAATATCAAGTTTATTCAGTAGTCATTTTGAAAAGAATCCGTAAATGATGTAAGAAAGTGAATAAACTTTTCATAATAAAGTCAGGAAACACTGTGAAGTCCCACATGAAGACAACATGACTTCCTCTTCCCATGATCAAAGCTAACGTTAGCTTAGCTCCCCGCAGCTGATCGATTCAACCACTGATCTCGCTTTTTGTTCCATTTCTTCGATTAGTGTAATTTTTAAACATCATTTCTGATGAGTCAGAGTGGTGAGGCGTTTATCTTAGAAACGAAATGTTTCCCCTGACACAGTGAATAGTTAGTTTTACAGGAGAACATGACTGCTAGCTGTGTGTGGTAGCGTTTGATAACATCACTTTACCTCCTCGATGGGACAAACTTCCTTTTGAAAGCAGCTGACTTCTTCGACCTTAGCACGACATGATGGATCCCACTTTCGGCGTGATTCAATTACGTCAAAGCGTAACACGAATCATCTCAATCTAACTTTGTGCTTCCTAGTAAAAAACAAAAAAAACGGAGTGTGTCAGCTAGCTCAGAAGGATAAACAGTCGCCTTGCTACAGTCTAACAACAAAGGCGCTCGGCGATGCTGTAATACGTTTGACAGCAGACGGAGGCGGAAGGAGGCGCTCGGTTTAATGTTCGGCATCTCTCGGGGATCGCGGCCGCGCAAGCTCCGTCGCTTTAAACTGGAGCCCCGCCCACTCGGGTTACGCTGTTTGACATTTCAAGCGTACGACTGGATTGGGCGCTTTTTTGATGACGACAAATGTGGCTTCTGTAAAAGCTAACATGCTTCTGTGAGGACTGCAAAACCTGACAGTAAGTATGCCGTGTTTGTTGGTTGTATGTGACATTATGTGTTGTTTTTTTTTGTTGTTTTTTTACTGTTTTCAGCTGCAGCGTTATATTAGACAACTACGTAGTTACGGTTCATGGTAGTTTTGTTTTGGTGCTTTAAGTACGCTTCAATAACACCGACCTTCACAGAGCTTTACCAAAAATGCAATGTGTCTTTAAGATTTAAAACATGTTTTGTACGTAGTATGTTCATACAATACAGTATTACTGCAGCAGCATCTCTCAAATGTCTCAAATTTTTAGTCTAGAGTCAAGTTTTCAACACTCAGGTTACATCAACCTGACATGAATAACATCAGAGGTGAAAACAACTTTCATATCGTCAATTACAAGAATGTTATTATTATTATTGTTCTGGGATCAAGTCAGTCAAGCAAGCATTTGATAACTGTTATTTGTGTAATCGTGATACTTAAATAGTAAGGCGTGATCTCGTATTAAAATATTACATTAACAGATACTCAAAATGTATTTTATCTTATAATAAAGCCATGATCAATATGTTTCGGTTAAGCTTCTAAAATATGACATTAAACTACTTTCTACTTTTATAGCTTCGTATTTTAAGAAGCATTGGGGAGAGCAAATATGTGCCCCACTTTCTAGCATTAATTTAACATAATAATAGGAAATGTAAATTTGTTGCTATATAAAGTCATTTCCAGGTAAAAATCCAGTTCTGAAAATTTTGTTTAACCAAGCATAAAAATAATACAGCAGAGGCTTTTGGATAAGTGTGCAGAGGCGTGATCACGAGGGCTCACCAGCTGGCTTCTGCCACTTGAAGGAGAAGAGGTGTGTCTACAGCTGCTGTACTGTGTGAAATCCACAGGATGTCAGGCTACAGTATCCCACTGAACACCTGTGCTTCACTTTTTCTGCTCGACTTCCTCTCTAAAGACATCCGTCAGCGTCCCATATCTGAGTGTATCTGCTCTGCCACAGTGCGCTGTATCCTATCAGCTTGTCAGGAAACTTGCCAGTCGTGGATGCATGTTATGGGTTTGTATTGTACCCGGTGGTGCAACGTGTAGCCTAAATATTACCTGTGGAACATGTTTGGGTTTTGGTTACAACCGTTGTTGGATTAAGAAAGGATGGAGTTTTTTTGCATTGTGGTTGCAACCGTTGAGTACATTTGGATCAGTGTCGTATCTGTGATCTTTGGGCTGTAAATAAACTCAGGAGGACTTTACGCTGTATACTTACCACTTTACAATTAATTTGATGCATTTTTAGGGAGGATTCTGACACATTTGCAAACAAAAACTGAAAAATGTGTGTTTTTCATGGCATAATATGTCGCCTACATATAGACATTTTAAGCAGAAATGCATTTTGGATAGTTTTTCTGTTGTTTTTTTTTTTTTTAAATGCCAAAGTGTATTTAATCCAGCAGTGTGGTTTGTATCTGCTCACAGGTAACAGCAGAGGATGTCAGTCATGCCTAAGTACACTGAGAGCTGTTCACAGCCACTGACTGTGAAAGGCAGGCTTCAGTGTGTGTTTGTGTCTGTGGGTTCCCAAATCTCACAGTTTGTCTGCGCTTGCGTGTGTAAGCTTAGGTTCACTGACAGAGTTCACACTCGGGAGAAGTTGTGCGAGGTGGGAGGTAGTGTGTCAATAGAGAGGGAGCGGTTGCTTTTTATATTGTTGTGTAACGTTTTTGAAAGGAAGGTTCGACATCAGGAATTCCCAAACGATGCGTGGGTTGACTGAAGAGTTTGTTTTGGTCTGCATCTTTTGATCCTATGAGAAAGAGAACTTACGTATTGTATGTAGCTGCACATAAAGTATCCTGGAGAATTCAGATCTAGGGATGTGTAATAAGGCTTCTTATTTCCCCTTATTTCTCTGTGGTTGTTGTTTTTTGAGGAAAATGCACAAATGTTTCTCTTCTTAATGTGACAATTTTCATTGTGTTCTCTTTATATATTGAAAATTGATAGTCATGGTGATTTGGAGAATATTCTGGATAAAACAAAACATCTGGAGACATGAGGTTTGGCATCAAGGAAATTGTGTTGGGCCTCTTCCACTGGTTTTAAAATGTTAGTACACGAAACAAAAGGGTTATTGACAATGTAAAGAAAAGGTGGAACTGACTGGTTTAGTTTAATTTATTTGTCATTGCAGCAAATAAACAACAAAAGTTGTCAAGGAAACAGTATATGATGGTGCTGTAATACCTTAGAAGAAGATGTAGGTCTACCTCCTACTGGCTGATATGAGTTATTGCTTCATTTCCATAAAATTGACTGACTGGGTTTTCAACCGATCTGAGAGCAATTTGTGATTCCTTCTCCAATATGAATCAAATCCTTTGAAACTCCATATTTCTATTAACTCTCTCGTTTCCCCCTTTTGTCTCAACAGACATGGCTTTAAATCAGCTGAACCTGCTGCGACCACTGCTGTGTCAGACCCTGGTACGACAGGTCCGATCTCCCCTCCTCGCCCCTTCAAGGTTTAGCAGACTACCTCTGAACCCCGGCACCCCCTGCTACCCACCTGCAGCGTGCTCCCGACTCTATGCCACCAAGAAGTCCAAAGGTGAGTGAGGAGATTTAAAAAAAAAAAAACTGGAGTTCACATGAGTACATCCTGTGCAGCTCTGTTGGCATGAATATAAGCTACATGATTAGATATTATTTGTCTTAGATACAAGCCTCCTCTCTTTCCTCTCTTCGTCTTCCAAGCCAAGGCAAAGGGCCAGTCGGCTAAGGTGAATATTAATTCCGCTCTGGTGGAAGACATCATCAGTCTTGATGAAGTGAGGCAGGACATGACGGCTGTTCTCAGTGCGCTCAAAGATGACTTCACACGCAACCTCAGCATCAGGACCTCGGCAGGTATTTAACTTATCTGTTTCTTTTTGGACTCGCTTTCATGTTGTCTGCCTGACTGTCTACATACACACTCTCTTTAATACACAAATATTACTTCAGAGTAAAACAGTTCCAAAATAAAGGTTTACAAAGAATGAAAACATAAAACTTCAAATTTGTTGTATAAGTCGCTTTAAAGAAGACAAAAAAAACCCATAGAAGTTAACATACAGCTAATAACCATCTAACAATGCCAGATATTCTCTGATGTGATATTAGCATGTAAACTACGGTTTACATGGATCTTCTTTTTTATTATAATGAGTTATAATGCCCAAACAAAACAACATTTGAAAACCTTAATCCAAATTTCTATCGATTATAGAGGGAAATGTGAAACGTGTTCATTAAATGTTCAAAAGAAAAATTGTGGGGGCACCAGTGGCCAAGTGGTCAGGGCGTGCGCTCCATGTACAGAGGCTGCAGTCCTTGAAGCGGGCGGCCCGAGTTCAAATCTGACATGTGGCCCATTTCGCATATGTCATTCCCCACTCGCTCTGTCCCTGGTTTCCATCTCTATTCATTCTCCTATCTCTACAATTAAGGCATGAAAAGCCCCAAAATAAATCTTATAATTATTATTATCCATCAATGTCCTCTGTCTTTGCTTAAATGTGTTGGGTCATACTTTCCCCCAAGCTACATTAAAAAAAAAGCATCTTCCAAGCTACATTTTTTTTAATTTTATTTTTTTAAATGAATACAAAGTAATGATTGTTGTGCCTTACCCAGAGTCAACTGATATTTTCCGATGCTTTTAGCTCTCTACAGTTTTTTTTCTTTGCTGTACCTTTGCTCTAGCACAGAGTTAACATTCTTATATGTGGGTCCGGCTGGTTGATTTCAGTAATGTTTGCACATCACTGGTACATATTTTGGGATGTTAAAAGTCGATACTTTCCTCTGTGCAGCTACCTGATAAAGTGCCTAAGGGCTTCGAGAGAGCCTGAGTGTGACTTTACCTTGACCCCAGGTTGACCTCTGTTTCCCCAACTACATCCAGGTCATGACACTTTGCCTCCGGGTCCTAACAAATGGGAGCGGTACTCAGGGGAGTCAGAGGTGGGGGGGGACTGCTTTTCCTCCCTCTCAGATAAAAGCGTGCTTTCTCTGATATTTGATCTGCAGCATGTACACTTTTCATGTCTGAAACTTTTAAGTTCTTTCTTATAAATACCCGCAATCTTTATTACTTTTCCATATTGATTTTTCCACTAATTCTTCATCTTCATTTTCTTTTTCACAAGTCATCATTCAGTAATTTCTCAGTCTGAGTCATTTTCTGTCTACGGACCCTCCCTTGTATTCCTCCATAACTTACACTACTCTTTTGTTTTTCCAATTAATTCCAGCTTCATATTTTGGCCTGCGTTTGTCACATGCTTTCATATTCAAATTTCTTATCGTCCTACAGGGAAACATTTGTTCACAGGGAAAAAAAAGAGTTCTTCCCTCCCTCCAGCTCTCATGTCCTTCTTTTTCTTTGGTCAGTTTTTGTCCTTCCCTCCATCCTGTCATCTGCCTGTTTTCTCCCTCCATCCCTCCATCCTCCTCTCTTCTGTCCAGCTGCACAGTAATCCAGGGAGGCAGCGGGACTTAGAGCTGACAGGAGAGATGAGATGGTGGAATGAAATTACGTCAGTTGTCCGAATGTATGTGTGTGTTTGTTCCACAAACCTCCCATCTGGCTCTCATTAAGCTTATGAGTACATATGTGTGGATATGGCTGTATGGACTGTAGTATGTTGCAATTTGTGTGTGTTTGTGTGCGCCGACTGTGGAGCAGAAAGTCAAAGATCTAGAAAAATGTGGTTCATTTCATCAACATCACATCTTTGTCCATTACACTTTAAGACCGGGTGGACACCAACCAAAGCACTGGAAAAAGAATCCAAGAAAGACCTCAAAATATTCTCTAATTCCAAGTTGAAGATGAAGGCAAATAGTTTCACATTCTGGAAAATAAGGCTATTAGCTTTCTTGCTGAACTTTAGATGAGAACACTGATATAAATCTCATGTCTTACTGTTCACTATAAAGCTACAGCCAGCAACTTGTTAGCTTAGCCTAAGTCTGAAAGAAAGAAGGAAACGGCTAACCTGGATCTGTCTAAAGCAAACCAGATCTTCACATTTAAAGATAATTAATACTTTTTTTTCAACCAAGCAGCAAGTTTTGGTTTTTGTTTAGGCTCAGCCAGACTGCTCTTGGTGTCCTGCTCCAGCAGCAGTAGCCGGCAGCTGTTTATTTCAAAAGCATTAATGACCAACTGTATGCAACCTATCCAGCTCCAAACTGCAGACAGACAAAGCAGAGTCAACAAACATGGTGACCGTAGTAGAGAAGTAGCATATATGCCTCAGATAAAGGTGGAGACAAAAACAGAGTAAATGATAGACTTGGATTTACCAGGTGGCCAGAAACACAACTTAAAATGAACGCTAAGGTCGCTCTTTGAATGCTGAATGTGCACATTAGTAACCATATGTGTTTGAAAAAGAAAAATCAACGCATCAGTTTAAAGGTGTTGAAATGTCAAGGTTGTTTTTGTTTTGTTAAACACATTCAAGCTCTGATGCACATCAAACAACTGCACAAAAGTCAACGGTGCCTGTCATATTTCCAGCTTAAACTGGTCAGCTTTTACCGTACAGTATGTGGACAGACTGGACCAACCACCAATGATGACACACTGATGATTCAGTGTGATGATGAAGCTAACCAAACACATTTACCCACATTTCTGCTGATCATGGCAAGTGTTTGTATCCAAAGTGGTAAAAATGTCATAAACAATGACATAAGCAATAGAATTGATTATGTTTTTCACTTATCTGAGTCTGGTGGATAAAGATGACAATAACTCTGCATCGATTAGAGTACATTATTTTAGATCTGCAGATGATATGGCTTATTTAATGTTAGTGACTTATACTGAAAAACAACTTGTTTTTAGATGATACAATTGTGCAAGTGGAGATGAATGATTATAGTGTATATTTGTGTGATATGAATGAGATCCCTCCTCAGTGTTATTTTCAATATTGGTCTGGTGGACCTGGTTCTTCGGCCATTGAAATCATTTGACAAATTGATGGCGTAGGGAAAATTACACCATTGGCTCACCTTCCCTTCAACCCCACACACACCATCAGCACAGCCCCCCTATGGGTGAGCAGGGAGTGGGTGATGTAAGGCAGAGGTGGGGAAGAAGGAAACAACTGCGTCTGAGGTTAGCCAGATGGAGGAGCGGGGGGGGAGGGAGAGAGAAGTGGGGGGACAGAAGTCCACTCATGTTGGCATATTACCTTTTGTTTCTCTAAGTGTTGACAGTGGAGAGAGGAAAGAGATCATGGAAATTCTTAACAATGGGTTTCTTTTCTTTTTTACTTACTCTTACAATTTGCATCTATCTGTCATTTTATATGTAAATCAGTCCATCTGGGAAACTGACTTTCCCTTTAAATTTAGTCTATGTTGAACAACATTCTATACCAATATTCTGACATTCACCTTTTTTTAAAAAAAAAAAAAAAAAAAAAAAATTGACACTTTGGCCAACAGTAGCTTAGGGACTTGGGTTGGGAACCGGTGGGTCGCCGGTTCAAGTCTCTTTGCAGACCAAAAATATGGGAATTGGTCTGGCAGCTGGAGAGGTGCCAGGTATCTTTCTGAGTACTGCCGACGTGCCCTTGAGCAAGGCACTGAACCCCAAACGTCTCTGGCTGTCCCTGCATAGCAGCTTGTAGCAGCCTCCCTCTGACTTCTCTCCATTAATACATGTCCAAAGGTCCTGTTTGTTCATGTGTTTATTTTGGCCTATGTGTGAGAAGCATGTCTCTAAATAACAAAGTGTAAACCAGAATTTCCCTCAGGGATTAATAAAGTTAAACAACAAATTAAAAAAAAAAAACGTAATTGGGTTTAAGGTATTTCCGAGTAAAGATTCCAGACAGAACTTCAGACTAGATATAAAATGTCAAAAACAGTGGCTACGAGATGATATCTTTAGAATTGTAGACGTTAAAATGAGAAAAACTTAAAATGATACCTATAAATAAAACATTTAACTTGAATTTATAACAAATAAAATCTGATATCCACAAAATGCATTCTGTTATTCATTATTTCAGCATACAAATGCAAAATCAAATCTGTATCGCAAACAAAAAGTGCCGATGTAACAATGCACAGAATCAGTATGAGTGCACTGCACATGGCCACATGCTGCTTTAAATCAAATATGCCTGAACATATGAATAATGAAGAAATGAAACCATGACATGTATCTGTGTTTGTTTAGGAGCTCTGGATCACATTGTGGTGACAACTCAAGATGGGAAGTTCCCTCTCAACCAGCTGGGTCAGATCTCTATGAAATCACCTCAGGTCATTATGGTCAACATGAGCAGCTTCCCAGAGGTAAGTCGGACACACACACACACACACACACGCACGCACAAAGCTAAAGCAACAAGAACACACACATCCAGATTCTTCCGATGTCTGTTTGTCTAATTCATACAAACACACAGTAACTGAAAGCTCTATAAAAATAATACACAGACAGACAGATGGACGGTCCTCGTAGAAAGTCGAGTGATCCAGACCAGAACACCAAGCCCACGTCCCTGTGAAAATGAAACCCGAGCCGCCCTCTCTCAGATGCTAATTGATTGATCACTCGCTGAGCCCTTTGTTCTGGGCTGGAAGATAGTAACATGAACTCTGAGATGTGGTTATGTCCGTGTGTGAGCTGTCACAGAAAAGGAAATTACCTCATTTTACCCCCAGGTTAGGAAGGAATGGATTATTTTTCTTTTTTTTTTTTCTCTCCCTTTTCTTTCCCTGAACTCCCTCTTAGATAATACAAGGCTGTACTAATCAGAGCTGCAGAAAGAAATTGTGTCCATTGGGGGAACCCATTTTATTAGTGGTTGGACTCTCAGGTGGTCTGGAAAACTTAAATGTGCTTTTTCTTTTAGCATTAAACAGGATGATATAAAGTCCTATACCTGCAGACAGTCTTGTCTGATGGTGTAGTATTCTTTGGTCTTGTTTACCTTGAAGCAGATAGGCTGCTAAATCTTCTTTTTTGCATGTCTCTCCCTTACAATTCTCTTTAGGTACAATTGTAAGCAAAGTTTAAATCTTTTGTTGTTGTTGGTTAGGAGGATAAATACCACCCCATGAGCATACATGTATTACTTTGCATGCATGTTAATGTAAACGTGTAACATAAACATGCTAAACTTAAATAAGAAATCACAGTGAGAAATCATAGACAACAAGACGAGGAATCACATGGTGTCCCACCTTACAGCTGAAATAACTGCAGAGAAAGGGTTAAGGAATGATGCCACATAACAAGGGATGCAGACATATAGAGTGTTTCAACCAGTGTAGATCAAAGTTAGGTGTAGTGCTGGTTGTGCTCCAGCCTAAAGGTTAATGTCTGTATTTAACTTGCTCACAGTAACAATGCTAACATGCTGAGGTTAAGTAGGTATCGTGTTTGAGCACTTCCGTATATTAGTATAGATTTGTATTTGCGATCATTTGCTTGATTACATTGAACACAAGCTGCAGATTGAGTAGTGACTAGAGCGTCTGTCACACATGCACAAGAAGTTGAAGAGAACCAATGAGTGAATGCAACAGGAACTGTTCACCACTATGAGGTGGGCAGATTGATGACATCACTACTGGTGTTGAGTGGAGTGCTGCTGCTCTTTCCCTCTTGTTTTCCACTGTTGTTTGTATTGTGGAAAGGGTCCTTAGGAATGCTGTAGTGCTACTAACACAAAAGAAGTCACCAAATAAGGAAGACTTCTCCTCCTTCACGTACTGCCCAGCTGACCCGCCTTAATCAAATGGAGTATTTCAAGTTCTGAGGATGCCTCACGGCCCACAGTAACGCTTACATCAAGATACAGCGATAATTCATAAATTGCTAGACAACCATATGTTTATAAATCACGATATCTGATTAACTGAAGAATATAAACAGCCCTTAAAAAGATAATATGCAGGACTAATGTTCACCTCTTATCACCTCAACCTTTTAACTTTCTTTCACCACTGTCTGATATTATCATGGCTGTTTTCTTCTTTATCCGCGATGAAAATTGTTCTTTGTTCTGTTCATGTTACCCTCGTTCAAGTCGTGCTGCGATGAGTGAAAGTGGCAGGGAAATCTGTTTAAAGTTGAAATTCGATTTTTTTTTTTTTGTACCAGCAATTTGATAATTGTGAGTCAGGACAACAGTTTACAGCCGTATCAATGTTTTGTCCCACCCATACATGAGATAAGTCAAATGAGTCATCCTCAGGGGACCAAGAAACACCTGTGCCTCACTTTTTGGCAGTCTTTCCAAAAATTGCCCAATAATTTTTTGCTGTGGACTCTAAGCACGGATGACATTCAAAAGGAGTGTTTTCTTTAAGAATAAAGCACCTGTCCGTCACCACAATCAAACAAAAAAAAGTTTTTACAGCTATGCTCCACCACCTCCTGTTTTCATACCGCTCACCGTTTTTGAACCTGGGACATTTTGGTTTCACGTCTTTGTTCCCCTTTGTGCTAATATCTCCAAACAACATGCAAATGTACATATTTATCAGCATCTGGACCAACGGACCACACACACTCTGACAGACACTCTCACACACACACACACACACACACACGCTATCCTGTGCCCTAAGTTACCCATGTCCCACACAGAGGTGAGGCGTCAGTACCCAGAGCTAATAGGCTTATAATGATGCCTATCCATTACCAGGCACTCCAGAGGCCCTGCCATTGTTTTCCATTCATTCATTAAGAGCAGCCTGGGAAGAAACAGTGGAACCAACAACAGCTAGCAGCATGCTTAGATCAGGAGGCAATTTAATGTGTGTTTTAGGATGCGTGTGTGTGTACGTGCATGTTAAAGCATCCCACCACAAGTGTTTTCTTCACTCACACGTAACACACACACACACACAAGCATTCCTCTTTTCTTTGAACCGAGCCGTCAAGCGTTTGATGTGAAACTTCGGTGTAATTTCTCTTCCTCTCAGACATTTTAACCAGATCCCGCGCTGCCTCCACAGAAAAAAAAAAAAAATCGGCTTTGTTTTTCCTGAACCACCGGATAGTCAGTCAGAGAGAGAGAGGGAGAGAGAGAGAGGGAGAGAGAGAGAGAGAGAGAGAGGGGGGAAATAGTGATGAATTTGATGCTGAGAACAATCAAACATAGGTATTTGCTGAATCTATCACCCAACACTCAAAGGGAGAAACCAGAGGGCCTGTGCACCGGATGACTTTTAAGAAAGGAAAAGAAAGGAAACCTCATGAATTAATCTAATGCGCACAAATAAATTCCTTTAATCTCGCTGCCATACTCATTCCCCCAGCGGGAAAAAGGCCAGAAGGAGCTGTCAGGAAAGAGGAGTAGGGTAGAAAGGGGTCAAAAAAAAATGTAATGCTCTTTTTTTTTTTTTTTTTTTTTCCTCACATGCACATTAGCAGACTTCGAGAACCTCAGCTGAGGGAATTGTCATGTGGTTGCAGAATTGGTTTTCAGGAGTGTGACTTTATTTTGGTTTGTAAAAAATTCCCCGTTTTCTGTGTGCACTTCAAAACTCCCGTGTTGTAATGTGTTATGTGCTAGATTGTGTGAAGTTTTTAATCTTTCACATGATATCCAAACACTGTTTTAACCCCCCCGTGAGTCACTTGCAAGCATATTTTCCTACCAACCTGCAAACAAATACAAATAAACAGAGTAGACTTCTTTCAAAAGAAGCCTATGTTGTGTGACTGACACAATCTTCATCTGATCATGCCTCATGTTGTTTCGAGATAAAGTCTAGAGTTGACATGCACAGCTGCCTCTCCAGTCATTTGTCTGTAACTGACGCTCGATCGCTTGTTGCCTCACAAAACACACGATGCTCTTATTTTGATTTCCCTCTGATTCTCTTCATCCCTGTAAAAAAGGCGACAGCTGGTGTTGTTGTTATTTTCCAACTCTCTCAATAAGACAACAGCTGAGAGTGTTTTCTGCAGGTGTTTTCATTGCTAGTCTTTATTTTATGAGACTATCAAGAACAGTGTGTTAAGAACAGTGTAGTTATTTGTAATGTTCACTTCAGTCACACCACATAATGAAGCTGCTCTGTAATTAACAAAGAGCAAAAACCTGCTTTTAAAGAATGGAACTTGTGCAAACTATTGCACTTGTAAGTGTGTGTATTTGTGTGTGTACCCATGCATCACACACAAGCACAAGCAGACTCTCCTGTGAGGTCACCATGGGTCGACGCCCTGCCCTGCAACCTCTCAGTCCTCTCCCACAGGACCACGCACTGACAGTGGCCCGGGGCATTTCCACACTGCATGGGCTTCCCCAGACACACACACACACACTCCCCACCCAAACACACGCACACACTAGATACACACTACAACATCGTAATGATTGCCAGCTGGAGCTTTGCCACTACCTGTAGTTGTAGCACTGCTTTTCTCAGTTTTTGTAACTTGTGTGTGTGTGTGTGTGTGTGTGTGTGTGTGTGTGTGTGTGTGTGTGTGTGTGTGTGTGTGTGTGTGTGTGTGTGTGTGTGTGTGTGTGTGTGTGTGTGTGTGTGTGTGTGTGTGTGTGTGTGTGTGTGTGTGTGTGTGTGTGTGTGTGTGTGTGTGTGTGTGTGTGTGTGTGTGTGTGTGTGTGTGTGTGTGTGTGTGTGTGTGTGTGTGTGTGTGGGTGTGCGCGTGTGCGTGTGCGTGTGTGCGTGCCCCCAGGCCACAGTGGCTGCCACCCGCGCCCTCAGAGAGAGTAGCATGAACCTTAACCCTGAGGTAGACGGGACCATCATCAAGGTACCAGTTCCCAAGTGAGTATCTTTCTGACACCCTCCCCCTACACACACACACACACACACACACTTCAGAATACACACACTCATACACACATATTCACATACACAAATAGCCTCCAGCGCAGAAAAGTTTTACCTGCTTTAAGCGCTTTTATTGCCATCTATGATTTATTTATTTTCCATTAATACTGCTTTAAATTTTACCTAAGTATTTATTTCTTTATTATTTGAATCAATGGGTTTATGTATGACCACTTTTAAACAGTAAGAGAGAGTTGGTATTTCGTTTTATGGGTTAAAAAGATTAAAAAAAGATAATGAGATTGTAAATACATTTAGTTCAATAAAAAATACTTAACCTTAGTTAGCCTCATTAGTGGTTTTGGATTTCTCCCCCTTGATAAATCCACTCGTCTGAGTTGTTACTGACAGATTTATGGACATTTATTTGTAGCTGTATAGAAACACTCAACGTGATGATGTGAGGGTCGGGTCACGTCCTCTCTCTCTCTCTCTCTCTCTCTCTCTCTCTCTCTCTCTTTTTTATTTCTTTACCTCTCTCACTCACTTTCTCTCTCTTTATCTCTGCCAACTCAAACAACACACAAAACTATCCATCACTCACTCAGTTAAGCACGGTGTAAATGCATGAAAGTCTGCCTGTGTTTACGTGCATGCATGGGTGTGTGCATGTGTGTGTGCGTGTGTGTGTGTGCATGTGTGTGTGTGTGTGTGTGTGTGCAGTGGAGCAGCAGGTGTTAGTCTGGCAGAGGAGGGAGACAAGAGTCAGACTGCTTTCCCCCCGCAATCAGTCTCGGCACGCTCCGAGGCTCCATTTGCATTTCCAAAGAGAAGGCTCTCCTTGATTGGCCTTGGAATCAGTAATTAGGCCGTATTGTTTGTGGTAAATAGACGCTGCACTTGGATTGTTTGCAAATAGTCCCTGAGGCAAAAAACAACGGAAAAGAGGCCAATTAAGGACAAAAGAAGGGAGAGTGAAATGGGAAGAAGGATTTTTCTTAGTGATTAACAAATGCAAAGTGAATGCAAAGTTTTTCAGATGACGGATGTTTCAGCTCTGCTCTCACACCTTGAGGAAGTGATTGTTGCTCGATGACTGTCGCTAAAATGATTAGACTCCAGGCCTACGAGCTCTTCACAGTCTCATTTGCACAAGTGAGGACAAGTTAAAAAAAAAAAACATTTTGTGTCTGTAAAGTCACATGTTTCAGTGTAAAACGCTCAAAACACAGCCTTTCTTTCAAACTCTGCTCAGATGCAGCAGATTGAAGGTATATGGACAGTGTATCTTGGATTACATTATTTCCTAGACGTCTGGTGTCATGTACTGTACGAGATTGTCTCTTGATATTATTTATTACCCTGATTTAAGAGAAGCTTCTAACCTACAGCATAGGCATCATTCAACCTTAGTTGTTTTCTCTCTTGTGTATTCTTCTGTGTGATCTATCTTCGTCTGTCTTTTCCTGCAGAGTTACACGTGAACACAGAGAAAACCTCACCAAGCTGGCAAAGCAGTTGAGCAACAAGGCTAAAGACTCGCTGAGGAAAGTGAGAACAAACGCTGTCACACAGGCAAAAAGAGCGAAGGAAGGACACTCAGAGGACACAATACGACTCGTAGAAAAACAGGTAGGAGAAGGAGCTAAGAAAAGGGATAACTCTGCTCTTCCATATAGAGACAGATGTGCCCAATGAGTGTCAGAAACCTCCTAATGGAGCTTACTTATGATTGCTGTCTTTGTATTAAAACTACTGAAACAACTGCCCACAATTTCCTAAGGCAGAGGTTCCCAAACATTTCAGCTTGGGACCCCAAAACAACTAGAGACTGCTAGAGACTGGGGATCCCCACTGTCCCTTTTTTAGTAATTAATTTTAATAAAGGTCTAGAAGCAGAACTCAAGTAATCTCAATGCATAAAATGTAGGACTGAGAGGACATATAAATATAATAAAAAGACACACAGGTGATATCTGTGTTTTTATTCATAGCCGCAAAGGACACCTACATTGTTGCAGTTATTTGCAAACTTTCATTTTTACATCTCCCTTATATTTCAGCACAAATCTTCACTAACGACTAAGTTTTATTTGGTTAAGGCATCTTGTGATCTCTCTCTCAGTGTCTTATGACCCCCCAGGGGGTCCCGACCCCAATTTGGGAACCACTTTCCTAAAGTATTCAATTCAATTCAAACAACTTTATTAATCCCTCTTGGGGGAAAATTGGTGTGGAGCAGCCCGTACACATGAGAAACAAACAAAGACAAGTTGACGTACAAACAACAGATTACACAAGGAGTTAAAACATGGACAGGACTTAAAGGAGACACTAATATTAGACAGATTGATTAGAGGTCAGCCAGACTGAATACAAATGTGCCACGTTTATACAATAAACGTGGCACATTTGCACCGAAGTGGGAAATCACCATCAGTCCGGTCATGTGTTGGAACCATAGACTGTAAATATTAATGGACGAAGCCTGAGTGACGTCACCCATCTGTTACGGCAGGGGGCTCCGGAGGCTCATCGGCCACAGCCGCCATGCTGGAAATGCTGTCTCAACCTAAAGTTCAGTCAACCTAACGACAGGCTGGAGCTGAGGCGGGTTTGAAGCACTATGACAAGCCGTTACATCGTGCCGACCTGTCAATCATGTCAGCTACGCGCCTAACTATGAATAACACATATCGTACATAAAATCAAAACGGAGCCTTTAAAAAATAAACCTCGTACAGTGTTTGCCCATGATGACAATAACTAATCATTTAGTTTTTTATACCTGGCTGTAAACATGTTCATTTCTGTTGTCAAAACTGCCAGAGGTGGCTGCTTGGTTGGAGCACAGCAGCTACATGATGTCTTTCTTTGCTTGATACAAAAGAGGGAGGAACAAAATAAGCCCTAAATGTATATTCAAACATTTTTCTCTCTCCCTCTCCACAGATTCAGCAGATGTCGGACAACATTGCAGCTGACATCGACAAACAGGTCGCAGCCAAGACCAAAGAGCTGTTAGGTTGATTGTGAAGATGAAAAGAAATGCACAGGTTTCATTTTCAATACGGTGTCATAAGATAGACATAAAGTGATATACTGTGAAAACAATAGACGGTGACTCAATCACTTTTGAGAGGTGTTTTTTTGAATCAGGTTCAGTTTGAAAGCTTCCCACAAAGCAACAAGACTCTGTCCAGTTGTGAACATTTTGGCTCTACTGGTTTCTGGTCACATTACTGGTGAAGGTCTCCTTTTTCCTGCTGCTAGATGTCTGTGTTTAACCATCAGCACATAAACAGAAATGGGCTACGGAAACAACACTAACAACAACAAACTGACAGCCAGCTCTTCTCTTCAACTCAGCCCTACTCTTCCTGTCTTCAAACAAACAACCAATGAGCAACAAATGAACTTTTAATGGGATTTGCGGGCCTCCTCCTAATCAAACCTCCTGCCACAAGGGCTGTCTGTTTACATAAAACAAGCGCACCCGTCTGTGTGTAAACTGGCTGCGGGTTTGTCTCGGTGGCAGGAGCGCAGAAGAGAGCGTGTTCCAGAGTTGTAGGATGTGATTAGCGTGTTGCCAAACATTTGTTTCACATTGGTGCAAAATCTGTTCAAATAATGCATTTAAGAGGGGAAAAAAAAGACCTTTAACTTCTGATGTCTGTGAGCAGCATTATTGATGGACTCCATTGAAGAAGAAATGCTTTGTATGCGTGTGTGCGTCATCTTTCTCTCTTTTCTTTTCTTTTTCTCCACTTTGAGTTTGAAGTCAGACCCCCCCCCCCCCTTCTCCATTACTTGGAGTGATAATGGACTTTTCCTGTGTATGGACCTCTAGGCCCCTGCTTCAATTGTCCATCAGGAAAAGAGGCTTTTAAATGTTGTACTCTTGGCCCTCTTTGTCTTTAAATAGCTGCACTTTAAAGCCCCCCTCAGAATTAGTAAAACAAGTTACTCAAAGTGCATCAATATGAGAAGTGTTTCAATAGGGAACCTATCCAGCTACACACACACACACACTCACACACACATGACTCTGCCTTCATCTATCTGTTGTTTACACCAGCGAGAGGCTTCCCGTACCATTATGTGGTCACTGTCTTCATCTTTGTCATGAGTTGTTTTTGCTTCCTCTGCTACTGGTCGCAGGCAGCCCACACTGCAGACGGGTTTAATTTTGAAACTTTTTTGCCCACACACTTGGTCTTTTAGTCACCCGGTCATTTGATGATTGCAGCACTTTTGCAACTTTGAAAACTTCTAATTATGTTTACGAAAAAATGCTGTCCCGACTGCTTTAACATTAAGAGAATGAATCGAGGAACAGTGACGCTGCAGATCCAGAAGTGTTTTTGTTATCTTTGGTGTTAGCTGGTAGTTCCACACTGCAGATTGTGGCTTTATTACATTTGCCTTGGCCCTCTGTTTGCTGTAATGGCCCAAACAGAGCGGAGCCATTGGATAAACAAGAGTTTAGCAGAGGAGTGGCTGGGTCAGGACAGAGGAGGGGCCGGGTGGAAATGGCAGGTTTTTGTGGTGATTCGAGGTCCATATGTCAGCAATTTGAGGGCATTGTGTACCTTGGCCTAAAACAGAGGCTTCATGATCGATGGAGGGGTGAAAATCTCCCCAGTCCCTGGCGCAGAACACAGGCGAGCACGAGGAAATTGCTTTCAGCTGATAGCTTCATTTCGGTTGACATTTATCAAGTGAATTACCCCTGTTCCTTTTGAATGTTTACTACTACTACTAGCAACGCCTTGTGACATATGTGTGTGTGTCTGTGTGTGTGTGACTGCATTTGTATGCAAGTGCAACAGCTCTCTCTTTGTGTAAGTTCTGTTGTGTCTTTTGGCTGTTCCTCACATAAATATACAACTATGCATTGGTTCAGTAAGCGTTTGAGATGATAGTCTTTTATTCATTCCCTATCCTTTCACAGAAGGATAACCGGTGTGGAACATACAGTCGTAACCTCAAGTTGTATTTTTACTCAAAAGCATCATTGCCTCATACTCACATGACACAGATGATAAAGACGAGTTGAATGAAGACTTTTCACAACTTAAATTTCACTCTTTGTAATAAGCTGGTCAACGTCACATTCACAGGATATCAGTCCAGTCTGAAATTGCACTGTAACAGTAGCTCATGTAACATGAAGATCACTGACTCAGTGAAGCCAGAACAGCAGTAAAATCAAAGTTTTCCACACCTAGGTTGTGTCTGAAAGTATTCCATAATGCCCCCCCCCCCTCCTCTTCTCTATTAAGGAAGTTCTATATAGAGGATTATATTGCTCATGAGCTCTTTGGCATAATGGAAGATATTTGAAGAAACTATCAGGGTAATTAATGTTTCTGTACAGTTGATTACTACATTACCTTTTTCCAGTACAAAGCATTATGGTATTAAGTGCTGGCCAAGTCACCATCCTTTGTGCACTGCTTTCCATGTACACTGTCCACGATGAAGGGTATTGCATTTCAAACTTAACATACCAACAGCACAATAAAATGTCCAACACACCATGAAGTACTGATTTTATGGGCTCGTGTGTAGTGAGTTATAAGCATAGACTCTATGAAACATCAGTGAGGTCACTCATTGGTTTCTGAAGTGATGTGATGAGGCCCCAGAGATTTCGGTCAACAGAATTGGAAATGCTGACTCTAGTAAACTTCCTGCTTATCAGAAGCGGGTTAAGGGTTAAAAACATTAACATGGTTTCTGAAACACACCTACAGTATCCTACTCATCTAAAGCTCATCATCAAGCTGTAATGTTTCAAACAATGAAAATAACACAAATAGAGCCAACAGTTTAGAGAGTTGAACCAGATTGAACTAAAGTGAAGCCTAGCTTGCTACAACGCCCCCACCTGTCTGTTAAATCAACTCATTATATAACTCTTATTAAGTCTTAATATAATCCAAACAGATGATATATAGAAAATTAAACAACCTGTACAGCTTTTATCAATAAATAGACAGGTTGTTGGTTTTTGTACCAAGCTGTAAACATGTTTATATTTGCTGTAATTTGGAATTTTAATATGCGCTCTATTGGGGATTCCTTGGTGTTTGAAACAGGCTCAAGTGGAGAATCTGGGAACTGTAGTTTTATTTTTTTACTTCCACTTTGGCTTGATTTATGAAGGCAATGCTGATCGTCCTATAATGTGCATTTGAGCTCAATTGATCATTTTAAGTAAAAAATAAATTAAATAAAATAGATTTAAAATTGTAATTTTCTGTTTCAAAAATTTGATTAAGGATTTTTTTTTAGGGTACTGTAAAGTTTCCTTATCCAGTCCAATTGTATTCCTTTTTGAGATAGCACAGACATGGAAGAGAAAGAATCAAAAGCCCTGAAGTGTTGCTCATTTCACTCTCTCCATCCCCTCTCAGCTTTTCTTATTCTACGTCTCAATGTCCCTACTTTAATGCAGATGTCTTTATTGCATTATTCATATCTTTAAGAGAGAGAGGGATCTGTACTATGGTCTAATGCTAGTTTGCAAAAAAAAAAAAAAAACCTACAAAATATTGCAAAGCCTCTTTGTGTTTGAAATAGGAAAAAGGATGTCTATATGATGGCACTCTGTGTTCGATTACACGTTGAACTTCGATGTGTGGTACACCCGCAGCGGCTGAACCTCTGAGGAGTCTACAGAGCCGAGCAACGACAGAGCTGACCACTTCAGCGTCAACTGAATTGGATAGATCCTTCCCTCAGACACACACCTCTTATTCCCTCCTCTCTCTCTCTCTCTCTGTCTCTCTCTCTCTCTCTCGCTTTATCCCTCCCTCTCTCCCTCCCTCTCTCTCTCTTCTCATCACCTCTGGAGTGTTAAGAGCGTCAGTGTGACAGAAGCCATCCTGAAGATCTCATCAAGGATCCAATCAAAGTGAATACCAAATGCCCTCTCCTCTTGCGATTTGATGATGGGGAGAAACGACACTGAGAGAGCCTGAGATGGAAAAAAAATCTCTGCATATGCAAATTGAACTAAAGATTTAAATGGATTTGATGCTCATAGGAGTATCTCTGACCCTCACATGGATGCAGGAGAAGAATATGTGCAGATTAGCCTATTAATATTTATAGATGTAATTGGCGGAGCTGTGCGGCATGCAGACGTTGTTGTAGCTGGTGTAATGCAGACCACGTTTAGGCCTAGTCCAGGTGGGTGCTCTTACCGCCTGTAACAGGGAAATGGGCGGCCATTTTTAGTGGAAGCTGGATTTCCTAATAATCAGGTAAACTAATACCGGGTGGTGAGAGTGTTTCCTTCCATTCACAGAATTGCTCCTGTCTGGTCTGCGAGCCATTATAACTCAATGGAACGTGTGCTCCCCCCCCCACGTGCGAGAAGAGAGAAGACCACGCGGGCCCCTTTGGGGACCCACTAGAAGGCTCCCGCACACCTCCTGCTCCTCAAATGTGAACAAAGCGTTCCTCAGTCTAAAGTGGTTAAACTGTCATTTCAAATCGTCTGGACATCGTGATTACCGGCATGGGAGGAATTATATATTTAGCTTTATGTCCGTCGCCATTTCCTCCCCCCGCCCTGATCTGAAGTGACTAGCTAGTAGTGCCCTCGATGTTACTATCTCTGAGGAGTTGAAACCTTCCCCCAGGAGACGAGTGTAATCAAGGGCTGCCAGCAGGAGAGAGGGGAGGGAGGGAGGTGGGTGGTGGATGATGTTTGAGACCTGTATGGATGGGATGGTGGAAAGAATGACAATAGACCCAATATACAATTTCATCTTAACATCAAAAGCCTCAGAAATGACTGAAGGGCTCAGAAAGGTCCAGAAAATTAGTTAAAAAAAAGATCTGTCATTACCTGTTTATTTCAATCTTCAACATTTGTACACTGGCTTTTATGTATTCTGCAGATTCTCTTCATATTTCTTACGATAAGGCATGCCCTGCATTGTAAAAAAAAATCATTTTTGACATAAATAACTTCACTGTAACAACACTTGACTTTTTCCCGAATAGGCTACAGGTAGTCAAATGTATTGTACTACTTCTGCAACAGGTGAATTTTCAGATAAATGAAAAATGAATCAGCCCCAGCTAAAATCTCTTTATGAAGTAATTTTTATTCTTGTATGACTTAGAGGACATGGTCATTTTTTTTAATAGAGGTTATAAACTTGTTTCTAATATAATCAAAGTAAACTTTTTTTTTTTTTTACAGAATTATAATAATAACTGAAAAAATATTAAAATAAAATAACACCTGATTCTATCACGTTCATGCATTCAGTCAGTCTTTGCTGAAGGTTTTTGGCACTTGTCTTAAATATAATCTTAGAGGCTGTATTGCAGACAAACATTATTATTATTTTGAGATAATTGCCGTGCAATTAAAACAAAGCAATAAAAAATAATCCAGCACAAAGTAAAAGAATGTTTGAATGCACAGCTGGAAATACACTTCTTTAAGGTTACTTCATAGACATCATACAACATTTAAAAAAAAAACATTCTAATTCATTCAACTATAGCTACCCCTCCTGACCCCCCAGCCTCCAGGATCTCATCCATCCTGAAGACACTCATTCATCCTCAATAACGTCACTGCTTACTCATAAATAAAAGTGACTGTTAAGAAAGCAGATGAACGCAGCCAATGGATTGGACAGGAAGCCAGTTAATCTGCAATCCAATCCTGCCCAAGTCGAGTGAAACCCGGCTCAGCTCGGCCGAGCGAGGCCTGGGAGGAAGGAAGTGAAGGACTCAGGAAACAGTGTTCAGAGCTTTCACCAGTTATATCCATCACGGTGCACGCTGATGGCAGCATGTTAGTTAATGTGTGTGTGTGTGTGTGTCCCTGTTTCACCAGTCATATCCATCACACTACTCTGTCTCCAGGCCCGGGCAGGAGAGCTGGAGTGTCATTAGAGGGGCTGGGCTGCAGGCTGCTGCGCCGCACTTTAACTAAACATCTTTTCTATAAAATAAATGCTTCCAGGTTAGAGCGGGTCCCGGAGAGCCTAGGTCGCCTCGCTTTTGCTGCCACTCATCTGATCCCAATTACCAGACAGACTGGGTAAGAGCCCGCAGAGAATACATGGATACACACTGTAGATGTGTGTTAGACACAACCTAAGTGTACCATCCTTTTGGCTTAAATCAACAAATTGTCTAGCACACATGTGCCATATGCTTTCTGTAACTGTGCAAAAAGTAAAGAAGAGATCAACCAAATTTAGAAAAATGTAGGACAGTAAGATTCTGGTTTATGGAATTAATGTTTTCATTTTCATTCAGGCTCTGTAGTTTGGTCGTATGAGAGAAAAGGTTTTGGTTTAGTGTCTGGCTTTAAGTCATTTAAATGGGATATAATGCTTTACTAAGATTTATTGGCATTTGGAATCTAACCACAAAACCACCTTGAAATCCATCGAACTGTTCAGTTGTAGCACAGAAAAATGTACTCCAATAGAAATGCATTAATGCACCAACTTTCTACTGTATTAGAATTAACTAAAGCAAACAGGCCGGGAAAGGAAGATGTATGCATTTTCATGGCATTTTGAAGGTCTTCACAAAAAGTTTTAGAGCCTGAATTTGTCTCCAGTGATCCTTCAGTTTCAGTGCAAGTTGTCAGATCATAGTTAGCAAACTCTGTATCTGTATCATGTCCTTTCATGTTTCTTGTAACATGTGAATATCTTTTGTTTTACTGTGTCAAATGACAAAGTAGTCATGCTAAGTTATAATAATGAAATGTCCCGATGTTCAAAGGGGCATGATGATGTAAATAAAACAAAACATTTCTATTTGCAGGTCTAGTACACGTTGAAGGAGGGTAGTTATACGAACACCAGGTAGGAGCAGAGAAATGTAAAAAGACAAGCCCACACATTTACTCGATGCAATAAAAAGTTGAATAATCACAATGCTTTGACCAAACGTTCTTTGTCAAGTGATAGTGTATAGTGAGACCATTTGTTTGAAACATTTTCTTTTTCTTTTTCATGCTGCAGGTCAGGTACACATGCTTTCAAAACTGGAGATTTTCAAGGTCCAATTTGTGTTTCTTTCTGATACAAATTTCGGATACCTGAATCCACCACACTGAGAGTCAAGTTGAATTGCAGTGGTATGAAAATATTCATATAATTATTCAACAGACCTAGACTCTACCTCAGGTGTATAGCAACACTAATACAAACTGAAGCTTCATGCTGTATGCAGTGTTATTTTTCTTGTGAACAACGTTGCAGACATTTTGCTAGCTCAGACTAACCTTGATTGTCCACTACACACTTTTTTTTTGGCTGTTATCAAATGAAAAATTACTTTAAATCCATTCATCTCTGCATGCAGCTCTTTACAGTTTAGTTGTCGCTGGTAGCTGTACTAAATCTATGGTCATAAAAACCATCAAACTTGCTAAGTAAGCTGCTGTTTTTCAGGAGTTAAAAAAAAATTGTGGTGAAAGAAGTTGATTTTTCCAAGTTTGATAAACTATGGTTGTGGTTTGCTGCAATTTATGCACTCTCAAGAAAAGTTCAAATACTGGTAATATCAGAACAACTGTTTGTTTCTGTCTGCAGGAGGAGCAGATGTTGTAACATTATCCAATTAGTGAAATACTCTATAGTTATAATGTAGTGAGAACTCATAACCAAACAGTTTTATATAAGCCGGGACTTTAAATATCTCAAATGTAAGATATTGCCCTCTTTGCAGCGCAACTCCAAACCTGATCTTGTAAGAGAGAAAGAGTCGATCACGGTGATATATACACGCTTGTTCATGTGTGTGTTTTTTGTGTGCACATTTACATCCATACGTTATTGCATAATTGTTTCCTGATGCTCTTCCTCTTCCCCAGAATATTAATTACCAAATGATGAAACTGCTGCTTTGGTCTGGAGGGTTGAGGTTGGAGGAGGAAATGGGGGCTGCGCATGTAGGAGGGCATCCTTTTTGATGGGGTTAACTCTCATTTTGAGTGCTGTGTGTGTGTGTGTGTGTGTGTGTGTGTGTATGTGCAAGCGTGTGTGTGTATGTTTGTGTTGAAGGGGGTAGCATCAGCTTTCTTGAAGAGTTAAATTTCATGGACATAATTTTTTCTTAGATTGAACAGATGCTAGAGGATATTTAGCTATAGCCTAGCTGTATTTTAGGCACAAAATCACAATTGAAAACATTTTTTTTTATCTCCAAAGAAAACCCTTTTCAGACAAACTCAAATTTATTTACAGCCAAAATAAGAAGTAAATCATTTTTTTTAATCCCTCGAGCAAACATAGAGTAGATTGATCTATTTCTATTGTGAATATTAAAGTCTTACATCAGACTTTATCCATGAGGAAAAACTCACTGTGATCCCAACCACAGAGCTTACAATATTAGAGATGAAATACAATAAGTAACACTAACACAGACATTGTAGACCTTTATATCAGATAAAGAATAGACAGTGAATGTAAATCAATGTTTAGAATCACTAAGTCAGTTCATCATGTGAAATACTTTTTTTTAATTCAAAGAGAAAAAAAGCGAGGGAAAAAAAAGCTTTTGCATGTGTTTTACGTCTATCGTTTTTATCTCTGTGACCCTTGTGTTCTGCAATTTCCCACCAGGGTGAACATCATTTCATGGATTCATGTGAAGTCAACATCAGAAACCTCTGGCGCTCACACTCAGGCTGCATTGGAAGGAGTATGGTGCCACCTAGTGATACTATACAGTAATGCAGGTAGGTGAGGTAACTACTCCATGAACCATCTGTAATACCTGAAATAGTGGTTTTATAGATTCTTAAATAAGATTAGCTATTAATTAAAGAATATGACCAAATCAATAAGACGACCCTGCCTTTTAAAGTTATTCATTCAAAGAATACAAATGTGTTGAAGAGGTATACATGTTTAAGTCATTTCTACTTTTAAAGTGTAGATTATGTTTGTACTAAAGCCAAAATGAACCTTTTTAAAAATTAAAATGAACACGTTGATGAAAAAAGGAGGTTCATTTTCACTGACAGAGGAAAAAATCCTTCAAAAGTGTATCGTGAAAAAAACAATTCTTAAAGGGTTTTAAAGAGTAAACATAGAGAATGTGAACTTCATGCAGTTGCTTCTTGCTTCATAGTCCTCAGTGTGTATATTTCAGAAAAACATATTTTCCAAGATATCACAACACATTTGGTAATCCCCATGATTCTTAAATTCTTGGTCCTAAATCTTTGTCCTAAATGAACTAATCTCATACAGTTCCTTTTCTCACATAAATGCCGACAGACAGTCTTCTTAGAGTGACTGTGTGCGTATAATAGGAACTTTGAGTTTACAGGAAAAAACAAGAGGGCACGGTTGAGTTCATCACAGCTGAGATGGCAGATTAACAGATGTCTTCAGATACTTTCTGAGCCTTGCTAAGCAAAGCAGAAAACGTGAGTGTTATAAACATGCTCAAAATAAACATGCTCAGTCAGTGCTACTGTTGAAGATTTAAGACAGGGAAGTTGTCAATAAAGCAACTGCAGATCACTCCCTTTTGACACTAAACACACAGTGTGAGCAAGAAGAAGTAATAAAGAAGAAGATTGTTTATTAATCCCACAAGTGGAAATGTCTTTATATGAGGTTTTTTTTCAATTCTAGTGTTTTTGTTTGTTTTCGCACAGCCATTCCCTTTTGAATGCTTCTGCAATGTTACTTTAATAGCTAATATACTATAAAAGACCTCATATCAATACATAAGAGTACATTTATTTTATTTCTGATTTAATTTCTGACCTATTTATTACCTTATTTATTTATTGAATTAGCACAATAGCTTAATTTCATTTGTTGTCCTCATGCAGGCTCTTACAAGAAACATAAAACAAATATTACAATTAAAGAACAACTCAAAGAATGGTCCACAAGACGCCTAGAGTTCACATTTTCCCACCAAAATTGTAAAGTTTGTGACATTACAAATAAAAGACCCATGTATAATAAGCTGGTTAAAATGCAGAATGAGCCAGATGCAACAGGAAACGGGCATCAGAGGAGAATGCAGATGTTAGCTATATGTCTGGTTTGTATTTAGCAAATGTTTTAGTTTTCTTTTAAAGGCAAGTTGTCACAATCGTTTAATCTTTTAGCGAGGAAGTTCCTGGTAAGAATTCCTGTCAGACAGAACTGTGTAGAGTTTTGTCTTCTCCCTGTGCATGTGTGATTTTACTCCGGATACTCCAACTTCCTCACACAGTCCAAAGAAATGCTCCTAAGGTTGATTAGTGACTATAAAATTGGCCATCGGTGAGAATGTGAGTCTGGCTGGTTGTCTGTCTCTATATGTCAGCCCTGTGGTTGACTGGCAAACAGTCCAGGGTGTACCCAGCCTCTCGATCAATGACAGCTCAGATTGGCTCCAAGCCCCCCTGCAGTAAAAAGCGGTATAGAAAATGATAGTCACCTCACCTTTTTTTGTTTACTTTGTTGTAGGATTTTTTTATTTTTTTTTTGGTTTTCCCATACAATTTTCAAGTTTGATGGCCAGATTTTCAAAACATATTGTAGCTGAAGCTCCTACATATATGAATATAAAAGGAGTATGAGGTGTTTGAGCATCTGCAGCATCATCCTCAAATAAAAGGACAGTGGAAGAATCTATAAGCACAACATTGACCTTTCCTCACCAGATAAAGTCTTTGTTAGCTAACACTTACCTTTACAAACATCAGCTAGACATAGAGCACCACTGACATCCATTTGGTGTTCATGTTCTGTTTGTTTTTTGTTTTTTTTTCATTTTTAGCTCTGTTTTTGGTCTCCACCAAGTGAAATTGTAAATTACACCCAATTTGTCTATCTGCTGTTTGGTGCCAAAGAAGCAGAGGATTTTCTGGCACAACTTCACCAACTACCAAGGTGCATGAAGAGTGAAAGGCTTGAAGAGGTCAAAAAGCTCCAGCAACAACCTTTGCAGTCGGAAGATTAAGAAACCGCAACTTTATTAACAAATTGACCGACGCATTTCGGCTTGTGGCCTTCATCAGGGTCATCAAGAATACATCCCCTATTTCAGCCAATAGGGTGCATGCAAAGTTGGGCTGGTTAGGTTGATTGCCTGTTTAGTGCCAGACATAATGTGTTCAGTGGGTTTATCACTGCTTGAATATCAGAAAATGAGTGACTCAAGTTGCTGCTGGCCACAAAACAAAGCTCTTCTGAACACTGAAAAAGTTTCCTGACTAAAGTGTTCCCTTTCAAGCCCCTGCCATTTTATTTTGTTTTAATTTGAACCTTTATTTAACCAGGAAGTCCCAGTGAGATTAAAGGAAAAAAACAAGGTAGCACATTAGAAGACAACATAACACAACACAACAATAAAAAAGGAACATAAACAACACAACATGGGGAAATCACAAACATATTATAAAACAGTATTCAAACACACAAGTGGCTTTCCATGACAAAAAAACCACATGCCATCGCCACCTTCTTAATGATGCTCTTAAATCTGTTTAGTGATTTCAATGTTTTTTATTTCGTCTCTTTTTTTGAAGATGATTCCATGCAGTGCATTATAAGAAGAGACAGTTTTTCTCTGCTCTATCAGCACACTCTTGGTACTTTGAAGAGCAACAAATTTGATGCTCGTTGGCTGGTAACCAGTCAGACATGCCATGCTCCCCTGTGTGGGTAACATCACCTCTCAGCTCTGAATGTAAATAAAACCCTTAATGCAAACGGAAATGACTAAATCATGACTCACACATGCTGACTGACTGAAAAGCTTTCTCATGAAATGTACAATGCTACAATTACTTGTTAACAAAGAAAAAAAAAATTTGTCTTTTTAATCAGAGGTTACTGGAATGAGCCGGTCATCTTGCCAGGAATATCCTCAGAGTCACTTCCCTTTTTTAAGTCACAGCACCCCGATTCATTCAGAATCTAGAGAATGGACCTGAGGATGAACTTTCTTTTTCTCTCAGACTGACACATAGCAGAAACAGAAACAACTGCAATCACTTGTAAAACATTCCAACTATCAGAAGAAACGTTTCTAATGTGTAACGACTCTTCTAGTTGAATGAAAAGTACAAAGTTGAGGATGATCAGAGATTATACCTACAAGATTCTTCAACCTTACAGTATGTAATGTGGGAAAAGATGTTCTGTCACAGCTGTTCAGTAGAGAATAGAAATTTCATTTATTTCAGAAAATTCATTTATTGTGCATGTCTCATATATTGATACAACTAGTTCTGCAGCATATTTGGGCATCTAAACAATCTGACCCCACAGTAAAAGAAACTATGTACAAAAGTGTCTACATCATGTTTGCCTGAAATGTAAGGAGGGCGCCATGTATTTTTCTCCTTGTGAATTCGGTGCTAAACATTTTCATTTTGGAGCTCCAACACCCGTCCTGTCCCCACTATTTCCCTGAGCGTGTCACAGTGTCCCACGCAGGTCGTGACCAGCACCCTACATCCTCCTCTTTCTCTCAGAAACATCCTCAAGGACTCATCAAAACTCTGGTTCCCTTCTGTGTATCCGTCCAACAACAGCAGAGCCTCGCTGGAATGACTCAACAAAGTCCTCAGCTCGTCTTCTGTTGTTGTCTTCTCAGTGAGAGAGAGTTGAGAGGTTATTTCCTGATACAAGTCCCCCTTCACTCCGCTGCAGTCTATATAAAGGATAAGTCCAACAGCACTGAGGTCAAGGAGGTTAGGGAAGGCATGTTTGGGTCCTTCAGTCCAAGAGGAGACCAGGATGTGTGCTAAAGTCGTCTTCCCGCTCCGTGGCGGTCCCTCGAGAAGGAGAGTCTCTCCAGCTTCTGGGAGTAAAGCTTGAAGGTTCACAGGCTGGCCCTCACTGACAGAACAAAAAGAGCAAGGAGCAAAATTAGTCTTAATACAAAGCCCTGAATATTACAACACAAAAGTTTCAATTCTTAATCCCCAGCCATGTCAGAATAGGCAACAAAATGCCACAATATCAATTCAATTCAATGAAGCTGCTTCTTTTTATGTGCTAGCGAGCTGCAGGATTGACTTTGGTGAACTCTGACTGCAGCAAATTTACACTGTTGAAAATGTCAAGCCATCCAGACAGAGCTGAAATGTATATCCTCAATCCTTTTAATAAAAATGTAGACGTGCGTAAAAGATAAAGAGGGTCCAATAAATGTATGACTCACTTGTTTTGCAGCCTGTGAGGAAGCACCTCCACACCGGAAGCTTCCCGGTACTGTCTTGGCATTTCAGTGAAGGAGGGTTCTGAGTAATGGGCTTTCAAGAACACCCCCAGTTTTTCCTCTGTACTGCCTGCAAAGCACAGAGGAGATGAGTGTGTTCATATCCACATCAATCAATCTGTATCATCATCGTCTACATAATGTAAAAGAAATCCTTGGTAACGTAGTAGAGGCACAGAGTGTGCACATTGATATTATGAAAATATAGAGTTATGTAGTTCAGTAGTCTAGTGCTGTTACAAATAAAAACAACTCTCTAAAAGTGAAATTCCTGAAATTTTGTTACTAAACAACTCTGGACATATTTCACACTATCTTTTTAACAAACAACAAATTAATATATCTCCTAAAACTATCAGGTTTTCCTTCACAGCCTCTGCAAATAAAGGATATATAATCATGTCAAGCGCTGAAACGATCAGTTGATTGACCGCTGGGTTTTTAAAATAATTAAAACACAACTTTTTGATAAATTCATCAATAAAATAAGTTTTCAAGCAAAAAAAAAAAATGAATACACACCAACTAAAGCAGCTAGTAGTAAACATTTGTTTCTTTTCCATAAATGTAATTATCAGTATTCTGTACGTATTTGGATCATAGACTGTTGGTTTGACAAACAAGACTTTTGAACACACCTCACAATTATTGGCAGATTAAAAATGAAAACAGGCCCTTCTTATCTCTCTCATCTCATCTATGAAATGACAATTAGAAATCATACAAGCAGTACATGTTAGCACCATGAGACTCTCTTACCTTCAATAAATATAGTTATCTCCTCGTCCTCTTTTTCTATTTGCAGGCCTGGTTAAAAAAAAGAAAGAAAAGCATGTTGGTAAGCAATTAAATCACCCACACACCTCAGTTTGAAACTAAGTAATCCAATAAAAAACTGACATATTTTATTATTATTTTAACCTTTAACTGCAGGCCTCTCTTTACTGAAAAGCACAATATTTTTTTTAAATAACAGTTTTATGACTACATCGGAACACAAAGTTAAGTCAGTGTAGAGAGAAGACTTTCTATGTATGAAAACAAGCATAATTTATTCACAGATTAATTAATGCATTATCAACAGTGACCATTTTTGTAGCAGATTTTGTTTGCTCTCACAGTTGACTGTTTATGTTGCACATATCAGAACAGTCACTACTCTGTGAGTATAAATGAAGTGCATACAGGGTGATGTACTTATTTGAAGTAAATCTTTTGGATTTGTTTAGACTTACAAAAAGCAGTTGAAACTGTCCTGCATGATCTATTGACCAAAAGGTTCCTGGCGCTGCTATTTCTACACCCTGTGGAGAGAAGAACATGCTATTAATCATGTTGGTTAAGTACTTTTTTATTCAATTCAGGGTCGAATTTTTGGTTGATACTGTTTAATAAAGAGGCATTCTTGTATTTCTTTTAAAATCACAAGGTAAGCTTTCTATAGGTGGATGGTAATATATTGCATTGAATGTTTTGGCTTTAATTCTATTTATTGGATTTTGCGTTCCTCCTTATTTATTCATTTTTATTTTATTTATAACATTCTCCTCTTATTAAATCAGATCTTCATTGAGTTTGTAAAAACTTTGTGGGAAGATCTGAGAACAAAAATGTTTCTAAAAGAAGACTGAGTACAAGTGATTGGTAGGGTTATTGTATTTATTTCCAAGTGAAATATTTTTGGCCCTGCACTCTTAGAATTGAGACATTATGTTTCGTTAGAACTGTTTTGAAATTGTTGTCTCATACCAACTTTAAAAAAGTAACCCATGATGTTTTTTCCAGATCTGAAACTTAAGTCCGACTTCTTATCATTTTGACACAATCAAAGCTCAAGAAACGTGCTGTTGGCTTGCTGCTGATATGATGGAGGTGTTTTTTATACTGAGAAACTTTCATTCATTAACAAAAAACCTCAAATTCCCCTGTGAAAGAACCAAGACAACGCTTGGTGTTTCCAAACCTGTTGTGATACACCTCAGGTCCCTAAAAGCTAACTCATGCTCACTGAGTCACATGCCCACAAAAGATTCCCGCTCAGCAAAACAGACAACATTATCGCGCCAAATCAGACACTTACATTCTATATCAGTTCACAAGCACTTCCTCTTTTACTTCAAAATGACGTGACTCAACATGTGTCACATGTCGCATGACAGGTTTACAGCTGAAATGACACACCGTTTTTTTTACTCATGTGCCTGACATTTTTCTGTCAATTTGTCCCCAAAAATGTAGACTGCTAAATTGCTGTGGCTTAGAGCTGACTCTATCCGATCTGAAATGGTGCTTGTGATAAAAGTTCAGTTTTAGTTGGTTGATTAAAGTTCAGTTTGTTCTTTCAAGAAGTTCTGTCCTAAAAAGCTGCACTATTGTAGTGACTTCTGTTGAAAGGATAATGAAAGTAAATAAATACGTCAGTTTAATTTCCTATAATGTATGCTACACAATAGTGGATTATCCCCTTTTATTTCCTGCCTGTATCTGTGCACATCCTGATGGGAAATCCATCCCTTCAGTGACACCGCCTAACTGCACTGTCATTAACTGTAATAATGACCAAAGACCAAAAACTCCCCAAAAACTGCTTATTCGATTGATGATTCTACAAGTCAACACTGGGGACAGTAGCATGTTTTATCAATGCCATTTCTACCCATAAAGAAATACTTTCATTTGCCTTCTTGTGTGACTAGCTTGTTTGCCTTAGCTTGTGAAGGACACAGTCTGAATAAAAGGATCTACTAGATTTGTTAGAGGTGCAAAACAGCAACATTGACCAGATTAGTCTAAAAAAAAAAAAAAATTGGAAGACATGAACTTGAACAGAGTTGGTCAGGGATTCAACAACATGTTGTGCATGCCGTTTGTAAAGATCACTGCCTTTATGATATGACGGGGTTTATATACACGTCAGTGCTGATCCTGAACATCTGCAACACAACAGTAACCTCAAAGCCTGTTGTGCACTGTCTCTCTGCATTTTGTTCAACACATAAGCTTTAAATTAATTCACTGACTGGAGTCTGGGCTTAAAGAACATCACAATATATACTGTACATAACAAAAATGTTTGTAATATACATTTCATACCGTATCTTTAACATTAACATTAAATGTTAGTTAAATGTCTGAAATTTAAAACCAAATTATGTGTAATGCTGTGGTTGTTGTAGGCAAATTTGTCAATGGCTGAAAATGGAAAGAATTCAGCGAAAAAAGAAAAAGGGTTATTGAGCAGTTGAGCAAATAGTTACCTTTGTGACGTTGGTACATGAGAACTGCAACCGTTATGGCAACCATGGTTACTCCAATGCACATTATAATGATGAGAGCGTTGTTCTCTTCATGAAGAACAGGCATTTCATCTGTAATAAAAAGAAGGATAAGTGTTTATAGCCGGAGTATCAAACCATGTCAAGTGTTGGCTCAACGGGAGTAACACCAATGCTTTAAATGTTTGACCGCAATGGAAATAACCAAATAAACCAAATAATGCTGCAAACTTCCCCTTAGTGGTAAAGATTTTACAACAGTACAGCTAAAATGACTGCTTATTGGTTTCCTAAAAGCTAATAAGGCTTTTTTGTTGCTGCATGTCAATGTTTTTTAAAACTCTTTTAACACACCCTGTTTTTTTATCTCTTGACATCTGCTGAACTGTCACACCTCCTAAGCATTACAGTACTTTGCCATGTTTTGCTCATAAAGTCAGAGAGAATATGGAACGTTTTTTGCACACATGAAAGTGGAAAGTTGAGCCACCTACATACATATACCAAGGAAGCCTCTTGTTTCCACATGATAAAAAGGGATGACGTAAAAGTTCTCCTAAACGCTCAACCACAACAAACACCACCTACAGCTCCCCTGAACTGCAGGCTAACACTTTGGTACTCTGGAATCATTTGTTGGTGTGACAAACGCCCTTTTTGTTAGTAACCACATTTAATGTGGTTTGAGAGAAGATATCTCCATCAAAAAGAGACATAACAGGAAACCATAGTAGGTGGAGATGACTACACAATGTGATATGTGCTTTTTAGACGACAATACCCACGTCTTCACCATGTTCGCTTGTTATTGGATTCTTTAACTTTTTTTTTTTTAAGTCAACGTGCTGAGAAGAAATTGGAAAATATGACACTGTCAGCATCTAAAATCGCTGTGATTACATCTTCACGCCCATTTAATGTTGTCTTGTCAAAAAAATAAAATAAAATCATATTTACCTGGAATCAAAAACGTTGCAGAGGAGGCGTCCTTTACAAAGCTACATGTGTAGTTGTTTTGGTGTGATGATTGGACATGAATTTGACTGGTGACTTTAAAGAGCTGGTCTGCTGTTGAGACAGTTGTTGTATTGGCATTGACTCTCTGCATGTTTCCATCCTGCCACATAACAGAGGACTCAGGATATCCCTTAGACTGGCAGGTGAGCAGCACCCCATCCCCCTCTGCAGCCTTCTGGATGTCTTTAGTGATGGCTTTATAAGTAGCTGTAGGGAAGAATCAGAAAGGAAGATTATGATGGAAACGGACAGGTTTTTGCAATGATTTTGTAATTATGATAAAGGGATCTTGCAAAATAGGGAAGATCCAAGACCAAAAAGTCAAAAGCTTTTTTTTTTTTTACAAAATTGAGTGACTTTGGTTTTGGTTTCATTTTCACAAAAAGGAGTAGTGACCAGAAATGAGCAAGCCCCCTTCTCTTAACAAAGTGCCTGAAAGTTTTCACCATCATACTGTTAGGGACAGATTATTACCTTTAACTGACAAAGTTATCGGTTTATAATCGGCTCCTTCAGATGTCTGCACCAAACACTTATACGTCCCAGAGTCATTGATCTTGAGTCTGGAGATCTGTAAGAAGACAAACAAGAGAGAGTAGAAACCTTATTATTCAAATCAAGGACAGTGTTGTATAATCCCCCATTCTGTATCTCAAATGTCTAGTTCTATATAAGACCAGCTGCACTTTAATGTATGATAGTAATGCTTAGGTTAATCTCTTGGTTCACACTTTGTTTTACTCTAAGCAAAGGGGTTGTTTTCTATCTGTTTTGGAAAGTGAATATTTTCCTGAAACAATATTGTGAACACGGATTGTAAATGGAAAAAATATGTCAGTAAACTTTTGCATGTTAGTCCAGTTAATAATCCATCATACACCACGCTGGGGAAGTTTACCCTCAGATAGGAAATTCCAAAGAAAGATGAGGAGATGGAAAGCCTAAACAAGTTTGCCAAACAATTACAGGAAAATTTACAGGAGAAACCCCATCAACAGGAAATTCTATGTAAATGTGTTGTGATCATGTCCCTGCAAGTGTTTACCTGTAACCTGGCCAAGCCATTCTTCAGCTCCTCAGTGAGAAGCTTCACTCTGTCCTTATAGGCCGGATCCTGGGATTCTAAGTGCTCCTTTCCGTTAGCCAGCCAGTACACGTGCTGAGTAGAGGCAGAGTGGATCCGATGCCAGGACACTTTTATGTCAGCAAGAGGGTTTGATAGATTAGGCTGAAACCTGCAGCCCAGCACAACATCTCCTCCAAACTCTGAGTCATACGTGCTTTGTTCTACCTCCACAGTGAACAAGACTGCTCGGAAATAAATACAAGATAAAGTCATGATTATATCAATTCCTAGATAGTCATCAAATGTTTACTTGGTAGAATATATTTACATCAATTCTGCTGAGTAGATATTTTGACCAAGCAGTTATATAAAGACTTGTATATCAATTACAAATAGAACGATTTACTTGTGTGTATTTGCATTTTCTGTTGATTTTATTATACACACATGAAAAAAAGACATTAGGCTACATACCTGTTAGTGATGGCTGAAACATGACTTGCAAAACTAAAAGAAGAGCCCAGTCCATTGAGACCTGAAGTGGAAGCAAAAGGGACTTTTACTGATGTTGAAATAGTTTGGACTGTTACTGTAACATGAGTCATGAGTCATGAGTCTGAAGAAGGCCAGATGTGAATTCCAGAGACATACATTTTTTTAAAAACTATTTACTCAGCCACATACACATTCACAAAATGTTGTCTGGTCACATAGTCTAAGGCAAAGATTTAGTGAGAACAATGCATGAATGAACATTGTTTTGCCTAAGGTGCCTTAAATATTCTCTCTACACTTTCAGTAATCCCGTCCCAGTCAAGCTCTACCTGCAAGGCAATTTTACTTTTACGCTTTTTTACTAAGAGAAAAGTCCAGTAAATAGCAAGTTCATTATTTTCTGTGCTGATTTCCTCTGAAATCGAAATTAAATATGGAGTTCTGCAGAATGCGGTTTGGTTTAGATGTCTTTGATTATTAAACACAGTCTACAGTCTCGCTCACATAGGAATTATCTAAGTATATTATATAGATTAAAAAATGTTATAAAGTATCTTCAAGTGTATTCAAAGCTTGTTGTAAGCGTGTTTACATGCCTATATGTAAGACACTGTATTGTTGTTCCAGCTTCACATGTAAGTTCAAATCGATTAAACATACCTAATAAGAAATAAATACAAGTTTTACGGATAAAAAATGAAAAGGAAATGCATAAATAAATGCAGACATTAAAACGCCTCAAGAGTAGCATCATCTAAAGCAGCCTAGTAACAAGTTAATTCTAGGCAAACAATCAGCCGACAATAACTTGAGTTGATGTTGTGAGAGTTACTCTCCGGACTGTTATATAGGATATCAATCAGTTAAGTATTCTTACCTGCAGGTTATGCAAACGCTGGTTGTATTTTCATATGTTGTTTCCTCCTTCCTTTAACGCCACTGAAGTCTGTGTGCTGCGTGTGCTGCCGCTGTCTTATAGAGATGGGCGTATCTTTCTCTCTCTCTCGCTGTCCAGGGATACCCCACTTCTGTAAACACGTGCCCACGCTATACATGTTTTCTGATGACTCATCAGAACGAGAGTATTGGTACGTTTCCAGTAACCATAAGTCCAAAACATCATGAAACTAACAAACATTTTGTGTTGTTTATTAGAGAGGACACACTCGTGGTCTCAGTGAACTGCATTGTAGGCTACAGTACAAGGAAGTAAAACGTTCCTCTGCGGTAACAAGCAGAGGGAAATCTGACAAAAGCCGTACCGTAATACATCTTTAATGACAGTCTGCTGCATGTGCAACTGGCTATTCAAGCAGGGACGATGAGCTACGTTAAAATGAGGCACGTCACGTCATTTGATTTCTCAGAAGGCTGTCAATCAAGGCTAGAGTTTACAATTCCCCGCGTTACCACACATTTGTAAACCTATTCATTCTTTTTTTTTTTTTTTTTTTTACGTAGGCCTATATAGATAAGTTCAACAATGTGAGCTTTTGTATTACCTGTAATAATAATATTCCCACCATAAATAATAGATATAAATGACCCTCTTTTTTTTTCATATTACATTATCAAATATCCTAATTGTATGCTTCTCGCAGGTGTGGTTTCTTCATCAAGGCCTACTGATGGAAAAAAACAAACACCTGTAGCTAATATGCATTTTTATTTGAGGTATATGGCTTATTTTTATTACTTTAGAGTTGTGATAAGTTCTATTCTTTCAATTGCATAATATCGTATGTACTCTTCTTTTAATTGTAAAGTAAAATCTAGAAGTAGAAAATGAAGATGCTCAAGTAAAGGAAAGGCTATCATCCAATAGGACAAAGAACTTGACTTATTTTGTCTCTTTACCATTTGAAATAAAACACTATTAATGCTATAGTACAGCTAGTGAATTGGAAGTCAGTGCAGGTCAAGCCTTACATCTGCACCATCCCTAAACAAACAGTTAAAACATTCCACTTCAAACAAGTAGGCTACACATTTTCCTGCCAAGGGGAATTTCCAAGAGGTGTACATGTATCTTAAAATTTCACCATTTCCTCAACCAGCTTTGCAGATACCTCTGATATTATCAGTGCTGTTGCCATAAGGGAGTCTATTTTGGCAAAATTGTCATTGCCACTGGCTCATTGTAACCGTATTGTTTGAATAGAATGGAACTTTATTTGTCTACAAAGTGGAAAATTGTCTTTGGCTTCACAAGAACAAGACAGAGAAAACGTTATGACAAACAACACAACATTCAAGCACAGCAGGAAACCAGGAGAACACCTGTAGTCCTCGACAACATCACAGTCAGCATGGTTCGTGAATTTAAAATAATAATTTAGTATAATAATAAGCTAGAGTTTTAAGACATTTCATAAAGTTATAGATTTAAAAACAGTATTTTCATAAAACAATGTGCAGTTAGAGTTGAGGGGGGTCATTTTTTCCTTTATGAATTTAATAATTGAAAACCCTAAAGACATTTGAAATTATAACCTTACTGCCTTTACTCTTGTTACTACTTATTAAGTGTTAAGTCTTTTATGTAACCCAGTAAACTCAACTGCTGCCCGTCTTGGCCAGGACGCGCTTGAAAACGAAATTCTTAATCATAATCAGACCTTTCCTGGTTAAATGAAGGTAAAATAAAAAAAAAAAAAATCTCAAAGATTAAACAGATTACATTTCTATACTTGTGGGAAAGGTTTGATGCACATGATCCTGGCTGTACAGACATATTTTTAATGTTTGGATATGTTCCCTAGCATTTACACACATGCAGTACACTGTGATGTGAGGCTTGTATAGGCCTACTGTACAGTATACTTTGATGGAGTTGCACGATTACTTTTTTCCCAGCGAATTTGTGAACCAGGTGTTCTTAAAGGCTAAGTGTGAAAGTAGCTTGTGAAATACATAGCTTGGCTTGATATGGTTATCAGTAGCGTGAATATTTTCACTTTGACCTAACAAGTCAGAACGAAGCAATAAAGAAATGAAAACTCTTTCACTAAGTTATATTTGTACTGTAGCTTCCCACATAAGAACCCTCATTTATCCATCATATCAATTTATCCTGTGCACAGTGCTTGTGCAAATTCCAGGTCAAAGCATTTACATCAAATTTATACAGACATTAAAAATTGTACTTTAGAATCAGTTCAAGTCAGGCCATAAATTATTTAGTTTTTTTTCTCTTAAACCCCTGAAATTTGAAGCCTACTCTTGGAGTTTTGTATTATTCATAGGCTAATCTTCAGAAATGACTAACTACTCTGATATATACACATTTGATTTTAATTGCAAACAAGCACCTAACTGAGAAAAAAAAAAGTATTTACCTCAAGCTACCCTATCAAACCTATGAGTGACCTGCAACCACCAGAGGGAGCCATTTCCCATCGAATTGCAGCAAGGCCAGTGTGCATGTGCGCATTGACTGGTGACAAACACCATACTTCTTCAATACTTCTTCAACAAACGCACGTTTTGTAAACTCCATAGCTCTCAAACCCACATTTTGTGACGCAGAGCAGAGGCATATTAATGTTTGCGACCTCCTATTTTTATATTTTTACGTTTTATTTCGAAAGTTGGACCGGAAGTTGTTTGTTTTTTTGCAGTGACGTCACAAGTTATTTGACAGATCCGTAGTGAGGAAGTGAGCAGTCCTTAAGGGTTCACACACTCGTTTGTTTTGATAGACACATGTCCTTGAACACTCGTTAGTCCTGCTGATGATCAATATTCTGACATTTTACCGTCTTCAAAGTACATTAGGTATGTAAAACTTTTAATGTTAGTAAGTCAAGCTACCACTCAAGGTCACAATCTGAGCTAATCAGTTGAAGCATGATAAGTTATTATAGGAAAGTTATATTTACTGCCCTATAGCTAACCAAATTCACCCAAAGGAAAGCCCACAGAGAGCCATACCGCTGGTCGTTTAACGCTTGCTAATGTTATTTATTGTTAGTTGCTTGCAGTAGCAACATTTGTGACTGAAACATTGAAATGAATCGACTCAGCTGCTGTAGCTGACAGCTGTATGTTAAACTTGATTGTAACAGTAGAAGTGCACTGTTGAAGACTGTTTTCATGCCGGGTTTCCAATGAGAGTTAGGCCTAGTGGACGTAAGATTTATACTGATGTTCTGTCTTGTCTTTCTACTCAAGTTCATTTTGAGTTATTGTGTCTCCAGGTCAGCGACAACAACGCCAACATGGGGTTTCTACTGTCTAAATCCATGGATGCCAACTTTAAACAGCAGCAAGAATTTATGCTCCATAATGCACGGCTGCAGGTTAGTAACGATGCGGACACTCACACCATATCAGAAAGGTCATTGCTGAGGAATCTAATTTTCTATGTTCTAATATCCTACTTCCTGCACCTGCATCCTTGTGTTACCTGTGCCAGATGGGACATGAAATTCAGTTTTGCCATTTGTGCTTAAAGTTCATGTCCAAGATCTAAAGGGTCCTGATTAGTGTCTCTTTTTTTTTTTTTTTTTTTAACATATTGGACCTTGCTTACAAATAAATCTTTATAGTTAAATTACGACTTTGAAAACATGGCTCCAGGAAATACTCCAGTTGATCAGTCAGAGAACTCTAATAGATATCTGGCAGATGGGTTAAAAAAAACAAGAACCACCCCTCAGCTTTTATGTTTATTGATCCTATATATTTTACTTGTTGGCCTGGGCTTCTTTCTTTCTTTTTGAATCACAAACAAGCTTCTCTTCTCTCATCTCATCCCTTCTATTTTGAGACCAAAGATTTTATTGCGCATATTACTTTTTTTGTTAAGTAAACATAGGATTTCCATTTTTTTCGTCTCCTCTTTGAGGCCAATCTTTTGTAATTTATTCATGCTTGCAAGTAGCTGAGCAGCAGGTGGGATGTGTGACTGTCATAACACCAATAACATTATCCGACTTATGCCCAAAGGTATGTTGTGTTTTCCGCGCCCTTATTTTCTCCTGTTCCCCCAGCTGTACAAGTGGTAGATGATGACCAATCTTACTCATTGATGGCAAAGGTTTGGTATTTGGGTTTTAGGGCACCCTTATTTAGGCCATGACTTTGACTCATGAGGTACATGTTCAAACATTGCTGTTGTGGATTAACTTTGATTTATTCACTGAGCTAAATGCAGAATATTTTGATATTTATTAACCATCCATCAATTTTTATTTTACCTTCATTTTACAGGGAAAATATTCTCATTAAGCTAAAAGGTCACTTTTTTAAAGAAAATCCTGGCCAAGACAGCATAAAAAACGTTCCAGACAGAGACCAAAGACAGACATTAAACAAATACGACTTCAATCAACAAATCAGAAATATTAAAGCAGGTTAACATCCATTATCTACACGGCGGGGTACACCCTGGACAGGTCATCAGTCAATCTCAGGGCTGACATGTAGAGATAGACAAACACTCAAGCTCACACGCACAGGCAATTATAGAGTCACCAATTTATCTAAGGAGAATTTCTTTGGACATTGGGAGGAAGCCAGAGAACTTGTGGGGAATTCAAGCATGCACAGGGATTCCAAAGATGACTTCTTTTCTGTGTTGTCTGTCCCATCTCTCATAGCTTGTTGATTACTAATAAAGTCTTTGGATGTGGCGTGTGAACCTCAGAGTACATATTAAACATTTCTTGCAAATGTTCATGAGTCATACAAATACATCCATATTCTTGGGTTTATTTGTATTACTCATGTTTTGAGGTGTTTGTATGGACGACTGTTATGTCTGCTTAGAATATGGTTGCCCCTCTCCCCCCACACACACCTTAAATGGTTTGTCTTCTAATATTTGACTGCTGAAAGAATTGAAAATAAAGCAAATAATACATTATAGAAGGACTTAATTTTGTACTTTTCCAAAAGAAATGTAATATAAAGAGTACACACATTTTCAGAAAACCCATAGTAGTACATTTGAACGTAGGGTAATTCAAAAAACAGTGGCTCATCAGATATAGTTTGAAAAATAAAAACAATAAAATATACAAAAATAAAGATGGTTAAAGTTTCTTACTTTTGTACACACCATTTACATGACAGATTAAGAAAGTGACTGATTAAGACAGTGACTTCACAGATTAAGAAAGCAATAAGGTCTTTCTGTCTAGAAACAATTACAACGGGAAAATCCTGTAGTTTTAAGTTACACTTCGAGAACAGCTTGAACGAATCACCAAATTTGAGATGTTAGAAACCCTTGGATGCGTTAGCTAGTCTGCATTGGGGTGCCTATCATATAATGCCTTGTTTGTAATAAGTAATTGTGAAATCTGCTCACACTTAATTCTTGTTATGATTGAAGCAAGAAGTTATAAATGCATTAACAACTTTCTTGTTATGTAGGAGTGACATATATTTTTAATACTAAACCATGGGCATGATTTACTAATATAAAAATGAAGGACAATAACATTTTACACTTCATGGTTTTGTTCACTACAAGTCTTGTACAGAGCGGAAAGTTAAATGGCTAAAGCACTGGGATCAGGTGGACAAATTAAAGGGACCAAGAATGGTACCCTGAGGAACCCCATAATCTAATTGGACATGAATTAATTACAGATTGTTTCAATCCATTAACCCATTAATCCATTAATATCATATTGAAAGATCAGGATTTTGTAATTTCTGCATTTACAATACCTTCAGAGTGTAATCTGAAGATATATTTTTTTAAAGTGCAGCAAGATAAAAAACAAAATGGTTAAGAAGTAATGCTGAAGAACTAAAACTGTGTTTGGTATTGTAGGTTCCCCCCTCCTTCTACATTTTTGTTACATCTCCTTCATTCCCTTTGCTCAGTATGTAGACCGTGATGATTTGGGTGTATCAGTTCAGCATGTATTGTCCTGCTCTGGTAGCTTTTATAAAAGGTCAGTGACTTTCCCGCTTACGTTTCACCTCCTCTCTCACTTTCTCACTTTCAGGAAGGACTCGCCGTGGCTCATTTCTTTCTTTCACTTTTTCTTTGCTGCTTTTTCTAGTCACACTCTCAATTTTAGTTGTGCAGTCTTCCGCTGCTTGTCCAAGCTTACCTCCAGATCTATTTGTCATCCCTTGTGATGTTTCTACAGAGACATGATGTTGTCTACTTTAAAAGTACACAGAGAGCTTCATTTAACCCTATATTGCTTTGTCAGTTTTATAAATAACTCGTTCCATCAAAAACTGGTATGAAAAAAAGGTGTAAATAGACCATAACAGTTTAAAATAATAAACAACTTACAGATATTAAAAAATTGGCTCCTGAGCATTACAAATCTCAGAAAGAATTTGCAACCTACTCAGAATGTTACAGGTCAGTGTTTTTGCCAGAGATGCACCGATTGCAATATCTGGCTGACTGATTTCAGATTTTTTAATTGACTGACCTGCTGATAAAAATTTTGGACAATTCTGGTTTTCTTTCTTTAAAGCTCTGTAATTGACAGCAACACCAGTCGTTCCATCAGAGCACCGTTATTTATGTCAATGAGGGTACCGACTGAAATGTGTGCTTTACAACAACTGATTAAAAATTCTAGACCAGAAAGAGTAAGAAGAATCATGTTTGTATGATTTAGGTAGAAATTTAATTTCAATTAGCACAAAACTTTTTAGGACTAAAAATGTTTGGCATTTGTCTGGCAATAACATACCAAAAAAAGAGCCTCTGATTGAGTCCACATTTAGTGATTTGGATGTTCAATGTGTTTGTGTTCACAGCCGTGCAGTTAGAAGTGGATTTGGTAGATGTGTGGGTTTGTGGATTTGATGAGTTTGTTCCTGTTGTTGACTATGAGTGTGCTGAAGTAGCAGATGTAGCAACTTGTCTGAGGCTTTGATAAAAGGGGAGTGGTAGGTGGGGTGCAACAGAGAGGGTGTTCGGTTTCCGGATGGTGGAGAGCATCTGTTGGCAGAGTTTATGATTGGTGTTTATTATTGGGGTGATCTGGAAAGCTGAGTTGAATCTCCAGGAGGATTGTCGCATATTTAAAACTTAAGTCCCTGTATGAGTTGTGCATGTCAGCTTTTCTTGCTTCTTTCTAAGGATGTAAGTCCTTAGCAGCAGGAAGGAAGGAGGATAAAAACTGTAGTTATTTGTTTCATTTATTACATAAGAATTCTAATAATAATGAGAATATGAATAGTACCAGTAATTACTGCATTTGTAGCATTTTTTAACAAAAGATCCAAAGTGGTTTACAATTAAATGAGTAAAAAAAGGTATTTGAATAAATACAAGATACCTGTGCCCAGTCAAAGGAAAAGCGCTCAGTAAAGATATCCCCCATCCCCATGAAATATGAAAAATAATCAGTTAGAAGAGTCTGAAGAGAGAACGTTAGAAAGGGAACAGAGAAGGCCGTTAAGGCTACAGCTACAAAGCAAGAGCAAAACAGAAAGTCAGTGTTTTAATGATGGATGGGACATTTAACTGCAGCTCTTTTGATATTTGAAAAAAACAACAACAACAAAAACTGATAAAATAATCGAGAAAACTTGCAGATATTTTTGATGTTCCAGACTCTCACATGAAAGGATCTGCTGATTTTCTGGTCATCTGTCACTGCATTAAATATCTCGAAGTTTTGGACATTTTCGTTAAATACAGAAAGAAATGTAAGGATGTCTGCATTAAACCTGGAATATGCCTGCATTAAGCCATTTTCAAAACTTTTTTAAAAAACTCACTGCATTGCTCAACACATTCTCTTAAAGAGACTTATTTCATGTTAGGGATACTGTTGTTTTCCCTTAAAGGAAGCAGGTAATTTTTATATTTTCAGTTTATTGAAACCAAACATCAAGTATCTCTGGTGTGCTTCCTCTTTCAGATAAGAGCAGGGATGACATCACGAGGTGACGTCTCTCTCTTTCTCTGACTGTGTCACTAGAAACCCCTCATTAAACATTTCCCTGAGGACGTATCTGCTCGATACATGAATGAATAATTTCCCCTGAAGTCCCTGGGTGAGAGTCTATTCGGAACGTGTTTAAATCTTTGACTCATTAACAACACCCGCTGATTTTTATTGGTGGTCTAACTTTGAGTGTGCTTTTGTTCTCTAATTATTCTCAGCTGACCCCACATTTAGAGAACAAACACTGTTGTTTCCTCTCGTGTTTTCTTTGTCGACTTTAGTATGAGCGTGAGAAATACTTCTTAAGGGATTGTGGGTTTATTCTTCCTGAAAATGTCCACAGTTAGAGTCAGCACAGTTACAGTAAGGCATCCCAAAGTTTCATGACAGAGTAAAAATATCGACTTAGAGAATACAGAACCTGTTATGATTAGGTGATGACTACAGATGCCTTCTCTTTATTGGTGTAACCTAGTTTTGTAAGAAAGGGATTTCTTAGAAGGTACATATTTTATTTGAAAGACATTAAAGGTAGAATAAGACTGAAACTACCTCTGCTTTTTATACGTTTGTTTTTTTTGGCAAAAATCTGAAGATATTGAATGAACTCATAATAAGACACATTAAAGATAAATCTGGATATAAGAAGTGTAATGTGAACAGGGATGTAATTAAATGTAGCAACCTCTGTGTAACTCAATGTCATATAGATTCATAATGTAACTGAATCTGATGGTAAGTAAAGCTGTGACGTTCAGCTCTTAAACCAGTTTTATAAAAACATAAAGTACAACAAACTCATTGTATATAGATGTATGTTATACTTTTGAAAACTGTATGAATAAACAAAAATCATTCTACCGTTTGAACCCCAACAAGTATCACAGCACGCCTTAAAAACAGGTTTGGTCGGAATTAAAGGTTGATTGCTTTGTTAGTACAAGTGCCATTTACTGTTCTTTTAACAGCTATTGACTTCAGAGCCAGGTGATTACTGTTAAACCCCGGCTGAGCCGGTCTCCTCATTTCACATGTTCATTTTCCTCTACGTCGGAACTTTACTGAAAGCCAAGGATTGAGTCATCAAAGAGCCCCACATGATGTGTCTTGTGTTATTATCCACAATAGCTATTTGATTACTGCTCTAACTATTTCTGGTTTTAGATTTTACCAGCTGAACTGTAGTAAGATTCTTTGCAAACAAACAAATATGTAGCACAATTAAAGAGTTCTGTACAGTTTTATATAAATTATGACCTTTTTCAAGCTGGGGTCCGTGTTTAACGGACAAGACAGTGAGACAAGTTAACATTTTATCAAAGTGAGGAGGATCAGTGGAGCAAAATGAACTCTACAAACGTTGGTTGGCAAACTGGGACATCAGGAAAAATAAACATTTAGATGGATGGATAGATGGATGGAGCAAAAATCATCAAATTAAACTAATCGCTGTTGATTGCTGAAATACAAATTGTGTTTGCTGGTGAACATTATCACTCCTGAGTCTCATGGATAATGGCCACTTTTCTGTCACCAAACAGCTGCTGTCTGGAAACTAACGCGTCAATACTGCGGGAGGGCGGACTCATCATCCATGTTCCCATTTGTCTGATATCAAGTTAAACACATTTCGTGTTGGGAGTTGGTCAGACTGAAGCCAACTCCCTTATTAAACAAAGTAAATGAATTATGACTCATTCAGGCTCCCATACCAAACAGCCTATCAGTGAAATCTCTCTTCATTCTGTGCTCTCTACACGCTTACATGTAGAAAATGAATTATTTAAAGGCAGATGTTTTGCAGAGTTGCTGCCAGGCTCACATCAAAATTTCTTTCTAATTCTTGCCGTTACGTGTATACAAGTGTATACACTGTAGGTGCAGATGATCATAAGCCTCTGATGCTGCTTCAAATGGACATGCATCGATTGGATCTGCTAATATAATATATTTGATTCCCCACCAAAGAAATCATCCTGTGTCTTCTTGTTCAAACAGCAGCTTAAATGGCAATAAATTACTGTATTGGCTAACTACTGGTCACAGCAGCAACGAAGAACTTATCTTATATAAACTATAAAGCATTAAAGACGTGGTGGGCTCCTTCAAAGACAGGGTTGGTCATTTTCTTCAGATACACTTTTTAAGATTTTGGCTGAAATTGTCTTTCCTGACAGAAATGAATAAGTCATGTGCTCCGTAAAAGGAACAAAGAAACTGTAAGTGAGGGGCGTGGCTTTTGGGGGAGCACAGAGGGGAGTGGGTGGGTGTGTAGACGGAGCACTGAAGGAATGCTACTTTCAAAATCTTGCTAGTTTTCAAAAATGACCAACCCTGCCTTTTAATGTAATGTTGGTCAATGCTAACTAAATGTCCTCTTTTCCTACCACATGAAATAAGTCAGATTCTTTTGAATATATTTTAAAGTTCAAATCATTTTAACTATCAAAACACAAAATAATGGAGTGGGTTTCATGTTAATAATGGGGGTTTCTCTGTCAGAGAACAAAGGTCTTAAGGAGGGGCCACTGGCGAAGCTACTGCTAATGCTAGCTCGGCTTGTTTTTGGTTTAGGATTCTCTCTGTGAACAGAGCCAGGCTTAAGATTAGAATCATTTAAAGAGCATACATGTTTATGAGAGGACAACTGTTAAAAGATCATGTACAATCTCTCCATATCATACTGATATACAGTATGAGGGGAACTTTTAGTATGCCAGTATCAAAGACAAGGTATCAGGAATCAGTCAGTAGCCAAACATGGGATCTGAGCATGTTGTAAAATGCACTGTACAGTTATTCATAGTTAAAGTGAAATACTTGCAACTACTGTGGTGACTTATGTAGAGGTTTGGCATATAGGGTACTATACCAGAATTTAAACATAGATATGATACTCGTAAAACTCTAAAAATAATGATACCTACTTAGATACCACGGCAACAATAATAGAAGTCCTGGGCTAATAATGGGTATTTTTTTGTTTTAAGTAACAAAAATTGCAAGCGCACACTAAATCACATACAAATTTAAGAAACACTTTGGTATTGAACGTTGCAAACATATTTGTGCATTTTAGACAGTGTTCTCTCTCTCTCTCTCTCTCTCTCTCACTTACAGTAGCTCGTGGTTAAAATATAAGTTTTCACTACTACCAATTATTAAATTATCTGACATTGTATTGTTTTACAAAACTTGGTATTGAAACATTTTTATAAAACAAATCTTGACAGTTTCAGTTTGCCAGAACTCATTCACTGGTTTTCAATACAGACATTGAAGTGGCCTTTCATCTCACTTTAGCCTCAGCTCGACACAGTGTTCATTATTGTTCGTGACCCTGCACAGAATAAAAATCAAAAATCAAAATGTTTGCCTCTGACATGTAATAATTTTTTTTTATAATGGAGTCACTTATTTGGTGCTGTGGACCTTTTTTGTTAAGGATTGCATCATCAGTTGGGTAGCACCACTTTCCTGTTAAGTGGCAATAAAAGCTCATCTTTGACATGTTCATTTAATGAGAATAAAGGCTTTTAAATGAGAATGTCACTCAGTCAGATCAATGGAAGCTCTCTGTGCATGTGAGTGAGTGTCAGACAGGAAACAGCAGACAAAAAGACTAATCAGCATGGACGCCTTGTGGTTCCTCTGACCCTCTCTTGTTCCATCTCACTGTCTGTCCGTCTGTTTACACTTGCTGTCATTTTAATTGCATGACATTGTCAGATTTGACTCTCCCCAGACCTATCCATTAGACATGTTGAGAATATACTGTTAACTGGAATAATGTAAACTGATAATGTTTTCAACTGGAGCTTTGGGATATTTGTGTATGCTTCGGGTTGAAACACCATTTTCAGATATAAACTTGTTCCATAAGCATATCAAATTTTAAAAACATGTTCTCCGTTAGATTTTCTTTATCATTATTGTTGGTCCTCTCTGGTTGTTTCACTTGAAGATACTAGAGCCCGACCGATTAATCAGCCAGCCGATATTAGCTTATCCAGGCTCTTTCTTTTTTTTGTTTTCTCTGTTAGAAGAGTTTTTCTTTCTTTCAGCCTGTTGAATGTTGAAGTTGTAAAAAGGAGCTTCTCTGTGTCTGTCCTTGTTGCAGAGCAGACTTTGGTTGCCTCGTCTTGTACCCTCTATCGTCTTAGTCACTACTTCACTCATCAACTTATGTGTTCGATCCCAGCCGTCACCGACCCTCCCTCCGATTACGATGTACTATCGGTGTCGGCTAATTTTTTCACAGATATAAGCCGATATAACTAAATTTATTCACCAGTCAAATAGCCTTTCATTTCGGTGTCATTGTTTTAAACTAGCAGTTCTCTTTTACCAGTAGAGTGTGCTATAAGGATCACAACAAGCATTGTCTCTGTCCAGCGGTGAAGCTCGTACATGTGCGGTTACTTTCCAGTTGCGTAATCTTGTGCATTTGAGCAACCATTGCAATAAATGTGTTTTTAGATATATATGTGTATATATATATATATATATGTGTGTGTGTGTGGCCTTCATCAGGGTCATCTCATATTTTTTCTTAGTCAAATTTATCGAAATGATTTCTATTGATTGTTTCATATTAAAAAGTTACAGTTTGAATTCCTAATTCCTCTGCACTCATTCAAAACTTACAAGCTTATATTCATATTTTGGGATTTAAATGGTTAAGATCTTTATATATAAAGTAAACAAAATCTGTAGACACTTTCCTTTGAAGTATTATGCAGTAAAAACATCTCCATATTTGGTCGTAAAGGTTTGATATCCGTGTGTGTGTGTGTGTGTGTGTGTGTGTGTGTGTGTGTGTGTGTGTGTGTGTGTGTGTGTGTGTGTGTGTGTGTGTGTGTGTGTGTGTGTGTGTGTGTGTGTGTGTGTGTGTGTGTGTGTGTGTGTGTGTGTGTGTGTGTGTGTGTGTGTGTCCGTGTGTGTGTCCGTGTGTGTGTGTGTCCGTGTGTAGATGGAGCGTCAGATGCTGATGCAGAACCAGATGAGAGAGCGACAGATGGCCATGCAGATCGCCTGGTCAAGAGAGTTTCTCAAATACTTTGGCACTTTCTTTACGGTGGCTGCAGTTGGACTCACTGCAGGGTAAGTTTGGTATGCAACAACTGCTTTAACAGTTATTTTATCTCCTACAACGGTAAACTCCCCCACTTACACCTTTCGCGCCGTTATCAGTCGCAACATGATACAATGTTTGCCACACGCACACACACTCAGGCTCAGGGCTCAGTGCGCATGTGTGTGTGGATGAGGAGACTGAGTGAGGGGAGCGAGTGAGTGAGGGGAGAGAGTAAGAGTACGAGGTGAGTGTGTGTGTGTGTGTTTGCCCCATACACACACACACACACACACACACACACACACACACACACACACACACACACACACACACACACACACACACACACACACACACACACTTGAGTCCCCACAGTTCGCCAAGTCGGGTGACGAGGCTTTTATAGGTTTGGTGACGTGGGGCTGCACTCCTATGTCATACTGTACTCCACACAGCTGTTAGACTTTTTCAAACAGAAGGGCAGACACTACGCACATTTCTAACACAATATTTCAAATTTCAATACTTTGTACTCAAATGTCGAGATTAGGACTTGAATTGATCCATAACACTACTTAATACTCAAATACAGAGGTTTATAGTTGAAAAAAGTGGTTTTAGGGCTTAGTTACTCTTTAAGTAATCATTTCGGTTGTCAGGAAACCAGAATTTGAAAGTTAAAATGATAGCAGTCCCAGTCACCCGATATTGGGTAATATCTTTTATTTAATCCCCAGATCTGCAGAAAAACTCAGACACACTGTCTGAATGTCTTAAAAGCACAAATACTCTAAAGCTTTGGTTCTTTTTGATCCTATGTGTTGTTAAAATAACGGATATTGTATTAAATTGAAACACGAGGTTTAGGGCTGTCGGATGGCCTGCTGTAGCAGTTTTATCACACGTCCCATGAACAGAATCTCTGGTCCTCGAAAGCAGGTGGCCCAGATTCAACAATCAAAGTGAAGGCATATGTTTTTAGTTTTAATCACATTTTGTCCTGATGATTTTTTTTCCAGTGCCATTAAAAGAAAGAAACCCGCCCTATTGGCTCCCATCATTCCTCTGGGCTTCGTATTTGCCTTCCAGATGGACAGTGCCTATGGGGATCTTATTTATCGTATGAGAGGTAAGATGATAATGCTGTTATCTCTGTTATCCTCATCAAGCTTTCAACTTGGCTAGAAATAATCAGCTCTATGTTTGCAGTACATAAACACATTATACACAATGTTTTTATCATTACCTCACCTACTTAAACACCTACTGTTTATACTAAAACTACATACAAGTAGACCAAGTCTTCCCTTGTCACTCTCTTGTGTGTCCTTTAGTGACCAAATAACCACAAAAAGCTACAAATGTTTTTTTTCTAGCTTTCCTTGTTGTGCTATTTATGTTTTAATATTATGTTTCTCAGCACAAACATTTTGACTGTGTGACATGACAAAGGTTTTTTTTGGTTTAACTAAGCCATATTTACACCCAATTATTCTCCAGATTTTTTCAGACTCTAAACTAAAAAAACTACAATCAAATAAATACACTCACACTCACCCACATTCCTGAACCTCCTTTGTTTCCTCTGCCAGTAGTGCTCATCTGGAAAGTCACAAACCCAATATTTGATGTTAACAAGCCACAGCAACATAAACAGATTAAAATAACACAACCCCGCTGTATGTAAAGTAAAGGATGAAAATAGTTGTTTTTTTAGACACATTGTTGACACAACGCATTGATTTCCCCCCCCCCTCCTCATTGCACCTTCAGGGGAAGCTGAGAGTATCATGATGTCTGAACACAACCGCCTGGACCTTCCTCACGGGACTCCTACTTTCGATAGCATAGAGAAGGCTCGCCGCGCAAAAAGCAGCCTCGCCGCCTTCTTGGAAAAATGACCTGAAAGAAAAAATGATAATTTTCCAGTGGATGCCTTCACCCGTTCTGCTTTTGCTTAATCATGAAAAAATCGACTGCCTTGTTTTGAACTTCATGGAGTCCATGGTTTGCACTAATTCTTTATCATGGATATAATGGATCAAATATAAAGATTGTGTTCTGTTTCTTATTGTCCAGCTGCATCATTGGCCTTTTTTTTCAGCACTGAACTTCTGTTCTCAGTATTTGAAAGAGCAGAATGATTGACACAATCCAAATCCAAATATCAGTTAGCAACTACACTGTCAATGCTGCAGTGTATCATGAAAACAAACCTGTGACCCAGATATTTCCATCAGTTAAATGTAGCCTTCATAACATCACTGACTCAGGCTTTAGAATTATCCCTCATCCAGACTTCATACTAAATCTATTCACTATGTACTACATGCATGTTGTCATAGTAAACCAGTCATAACAAAAATATCACCATACCTTGCTAGGCAAGCTACAATATGTGTGATGTTAAATTTCAGTCAAACTGAAGCATCTATCGATCAAATCTGACACAAAGAAATGAAAAGTGTTCCTAAGATTTTCCCCTTTCTTATTTTTTTACTACCAACATTTTGTTTTCTTGCTGTGTGCAGCTCCTGATCATATATAGAGTCTTTAACAAACTTAAGAATGGTTTTAGCTTGCTCACTGTCTGGATTTAGAATACAGCGTAAGTCTCAACAACTTGAACTCTGCGTGAAACATGCCTTCAGTTTAAAACTAGGGAGGATATATTTGACCTCTAGAGGGCTGAGAGACTCAAAACACACTTACAGTAAACAGTCAATATTCCCATCTTAATTAAACCATATGACTGAAGTTTTAGCACTTTGAACTAATGTTGCCAACTGGCACTGCAGGCAGGCACCAAAGTAACATGAAAATCTGAATTGTGTAAAGTTTTCCATCATCTGTCTCATTAAAATGTAATGTTCACACTTTAAGATGGTTTGCTTAAACTCACTGGATAATCTCAACAGCAGCCGGGTGATCCAATCTTAGTATCACAAATAAAAGTGAATGGACTTTTGATGATGCATTGCAAACATGTCTCCAGAAAGCAGAAGACTACTACCCCTAAAATGTATCACAAAATGTTTGGTATTCCTAAGTAAAAAAAAGCACATTTGTAAAGTTGAATTTGAGTGTTAAGAATCTTATTGCCAACGCTCTCGTTTTCATCGGTGAACGTTTAACTTTTATATTTTTTTGTCAGCGTTGTGATGGGTGAATGTAAAATATTCTGAGGTGCTGATATTTATAAATATAAAGTATATTTACCATCGTTTTAAGTCATGTTTGACATCATGGATAGTACATAAAAATGGAAAATCCAATAAATAAAACAAATATCACAGAGGCTTCCTCCTCCTTGACTCATCTTTTACATAAAGTAGCAGCATGTTTCTTTTTAGTGCCTGAACCACCTTAATTTCTATTCTTCAAAGTGCACAAAACGTCATAACATCCTTCCAATAGTTTGACTGAATAATGTGCACATTCACACTCTACGTAAACATGTCCCTTTACATTACTACAATAGAGAAATAACATGACATACGTCATTGTCATCAATCTAAATGACGTGTGTGAGGAGAAAAAATGGGAAGGGAGGGAGGGAGGGAGGGTCAGTGACGGCTGGGATCGAACACATAAGTTGATGAGTGAAGTAGTGACTAAGACTAGAAAGGGTACAAGACGAGGAAACCAAAGTCTGCTCTGCAACAAGGACAGACACAGAGAAGCTCCTTTTTACAACTTCAACATTCAACAGGCTGAAAGAAAGAAAAACTCTCCTAACAGAGGGAACAAAAAAAGGAAGAGCAGGATTTAAGGCACTGATAAGATCCAAGGTGGAGCTCAGCTGACCCTCCTTTAAAACAAATAAGTAAAAAAATAAAAGGCATTTTTGCAAAAATGCTGTGGAGACTGACTCTTGCCATGGCTGTGGTGTTTGTCAGCGGCATGTGCAACTGTGTGAAGGCGGACATGATGAGCAGGCTGATCCTCCCGAGGGACTACGGTGTGAAACTGTGCGGGAGAGAGTTCATCAGAGCAGTCATTTTCACCTGCGGAGGCTCCCGCTGGAAACGATCCACAGACGGCGACTTAGGTGAGTTAATACTACTGCACTTCACATTTAAACATCAGGCAGCTACAGTGTTAATTCCCCTCCCCCCCTCCCGTTTTAGCGGGCAATTGATTGACCGAGCCTCGTATTTCAGCACCATGGTCAGCTCACGTGTGTATTACTAATGAAAATCTTTCTGTAGGAAATTACCATTCATTATGTCTATGTATACATAATACACATTTGACATCCTGTTTTGTTTATTTTGGACTCTTATTTATCCATTGTCTTACTTTCTCCAGATCCCTTCCAGTGGAAACCCCTCAGTGACGTTGCAGCGGAGGACAGTCATGAAACCTGGCAACTCGGCACAGAGCTTACACCCGACGACCGCTCTCCTCTTCGCTCCTCGTACTCCCTGGCAGACCTTGTGGCTCTCCTAGGAGCCAGACAGCATTCTCTGAGAGACCCAGAGATGCCAGAAAAGTCTCGGCTGTCCACGGTTTTGAACGTTGAAGAGGGGTACCCAGCTGACCAAGTCGACTTGCCCATATCGAGCAGGAGGAAGAGGAACTTTTCTCTGGGTGTCGCAGGGAAGTGCTGCAACCAGGGCTGTACCAAAAATGATATTGGACGCTTGTGCTGAGACGGGGTCTGGGGGGAGGAGAGGTTGGTGTGATGGGCAGCAATGGACAGTAGTGGGAAGATGTACGGGGTTAAAGATGTAGAGCAAGTTCACATCTGCTGTTTAAAAGGCTGTAGTTAGCTAATGCTACTCATGTCTTACTGCATATATCTTGTCATATTTTCTTTTTATTCTTCACTTGTTTGATATTTTGTTAAAAAAAAAAAAGAGATCATGTTCTGTATGGCTGCTTTTGATCATTGAGTTTAATTTGAAATACTTTGTTCAAAATTAAAATGTGTATAGTATTATGTTTCATGTTTCTGTTTTTGAAAAAGGATTTGGTGCATTCATTCCATTCCTGCAGAACAAACATCGTCCATACTTGCACCGGGCAATATCACACAATAATGTCATCGAGGCTGCTGTGAACATATTACTGCCCTTTGTTCACCGCGTTACGCCTCCATGATCGTTTAGTACCCTGAGGACTTTGAAGGAAAAAAATTGATTTTATTGTATTTTCTCTGACATCTCAGATTAACCTCTTTCACCAAAGCTGTGCTGCACAAATGAAAATCTCCTCCTTCAATACTGAAATCTTTTTACACATTCAATTATTATACTCTGTGGTAGACTGGCCTGATCATCATATAAATAAAGCTCAGAGGTAAGCATGGGATTCAGCTACGATTGTTCATGTGACTCGTGAAGTGCAGTGACTCATTCCTTGCTATGCAGTAAGGCAAACATTACATTTATTGATGTCTAAATACAGCCTGACTTTATTAACATAAAACAAGCTGGGCAATTTGTTTTTCTTTTGTGTTTCAATCGAGCTGCTCTCATTCAGGGAGTTTCCTCTCAATAGTGTGGTGTCGATAAAGATCTAAATATTTAAACAACAAAAAGAAAATTCCTTTTGAACCCACTGTTACATTTATTGCCGACAATGTGATGCGACCAATAAACATACACACTCCTTTGTAAACAAACTGCATACATCTTTAAATGAACTCAGGGGAAAGGAAGGACATGAGCAGAAGTCATTAAAGGTTTAAATGATGTAGAAAGAAACTAAAGCAGTATATAAAAAAAAACATTTCCCTTTATAACACTCTTCACATTATCAGTCTGTTTGCAAATAGTATAGATCTTGTAAAAAAAATCACTTTTAAAAAACTCCATGGTGTATTTACAAATGATAAACAGGTTACTTAGTAAAAAGAAGGCAACATCATTTTCAGAGCTGGTTCCTCAAAAACAAGATGCTTATTTCTCACTGATGACTGAGGAGTTATTGTTGAAATGATTCAAATATGTAGTCCTTGGTAAGTTACAAAAATGAAAAAAGGCCACTTTATCAGCGCATGAAACATAAACAAAAGTCCACTGTAATGGCACAAGTCTGACTCCAGAACACGTGTAGAGAAGTTCAGTGGATCCTCTTGTGATGGGTGTGGCGCCTGTGCGTCACGTTAATGCTCCGCCTTTTATTCAGTCTTTAAAATGCCAAGAAAAGAGCACCAGAAGGTGTCCTGCTCAGTTCTCCTCAGAGGTTTCCTTTCACTTGAGCAGTGCCGTTATGTTCACTTCAGGTGAACACTCAGACGGCTGACATTGTGCCCCATGAGGCCACACTGGTTACAAAATACATTTCTTATTTTACAACAATAAAAGTACAAAACCATGAACTGTAGGTGGCTTAGATTCATTTTTGAACCAGTATGACCTTGACACTCAAACATTCAGCACATGTTCATCAAAGCAGAGTGGATCGTATGTTCTTATAAAAGGAACTCATTTTCTGGTCAATGACTGCCATCCAGTTCATTTTGAAACACATTATGTACAATAACACACAACAAATTATAATGATGTAATGTTCTTAAAGGTTTCAGGAGAAACTATCTCAGATGTAGTGTACAAACTAATTACGGTAGCTCATTTGTATATTTAATGTGCCAGTAAATAAAAAAAAGGGTAAACTGCAGAGAAAGAAAGTAGGTATCACCACTGGCTGTTTTCTCGGGATCTCAACTTCTTGATCTCGATATATCACACTCATTTGTCCCATTATAATGGATTGCTATTGTCTACACTAATGGGGTACATTTTTAAAGAAAACAACTTAGAATTTCTCGTTATCACAGGAAATTGGAGTGGATAAAATGTATGGATGCTTAGTATTTCCATAATCATCCTTGTTTCAATATCAGTACATTTTAGACTGACATGCAGCACACACACACACACACACACACACACACACACACACACACACACACACACACACACAAAAAAACAATGTACATCCCACAACTGAGAGCAGCAAAATCAGACTTTGTAAAGATATTCATTGTTCTGTTGTTATCTGAGGACGGACACCTGGACGTCAGCCCCCCCCCCCCCCCCAAGGTCAAAGTTTCAGGGATCAATGTCGCTCATGCTTTCTCGTACAGTCTCCACACTGACGGTTAATGTCTTAAAAGTAGGGCGCAGAATGGGTTCACTGTTCCAGCACTCTGTCATCATGTTGGTAATCTGAAAGAAGCATCAAAAGAAGAAAAAAACAAATGCTGTGTTACATGTAGGCATGGTATTTTAGTTGATGTTTTGAGATATTATTTTTTACAATTTCAGGGTGCTCTATTTGTGCTCTACTAGATTTGACAAGATGTCCTTTTCTGCGTTATCCTTTATTTTCTCCCAATCAGTAGTCCTTTATTATTATTCTCCTGATTAGTCTTTAGCTTGTTAGTACTTTAAAAACATGGCAACACAAGCGTATCTGTAGTTGACTAATCATTCTTCTGGCTTCTGGGACAAAAGGTATTTTGTGCTGAATGTTGGCAGGTCAGTGAAAAAGCGTCTTTTCTGCAGTCTAAGTTAGCCAAAGTTGACCTTCACACAAAATGTAATATGCTCATTTACTTTGCCATCAAAAGTAAATCATGATTTGCTCCCTCTTTTGAGTAGAATGGAATTCAATGTGAAACTGTGCCTTTGTTTATTTTGACCCCTGTACTATAACAATGCTCTGATTATGGTAGCCTCATTTGAACTTCATTTGGTACACTTGCACATTTGTTAAATAAGGCTGAGGATTTATTTTACTTTAGAAACCTGTAGTGAATTAGCTTTGGACCACATGTATGTGTTTCTAAAGAAAGAGTTACTGACCTCCTTTGGACAGTTATCTGGAGCAGGGAGTCTGTATCCCTGTTTGAGCAGGTCGATCAGATGGTATACAATCATCTGACCCTGTTTTTCATTTCCCATCTTGTTCATAAACACCTAAAAAAGAAAGACAGTAGTTTAAAAAACAACACAAAAAGAGAGCCCCATGTAAAGGGGCTTTGGTCCTCGTCCCAGCGGCTGTTAGTCCGGATGCGACCTCTGCCCTTTGCTGCCTGTCGTCCCCTACTCTCTCCTCCCAACCCTTCCTGTCTCTCTTCAGCTGTCTTATCCAATAAAGACAAAAAGGCCCCCAAAAAAACTTTAAAACAAACTATAAAACTTTCCACTATCACCAACAAAAAACCAATGATAAGAGGTGTTTCCTGTTATTGAGGGCTTAATCAACTGATTTCTTTAACAACTTTAAATTAATTATAATTAAGCCGGATTAATTAGATCATTTAGTCAGACTGTTAACAAAGCAATCAGGGCTAAAATAGGAGAGGGCTTACTTGAGAGAAAACTCAAAAATTGTAATTAAAAAAATCTAAAGTAGGTACAAGAAAAAAAGTAAGTGTTGTACCGCTGGTGGGCTGCAGTTCTTGTCGCTGTAAGTGAAGAGTTCAAAGAGGACAACACCAAAACTCCAAACATCTGAAGCCACAGAGAACTTGCTCTCTGTCAGAGATTCCGGCGCATACCTGAAAAACATCAAAACTTAAAGCAAACAAACATATGATGATAGAGTGCACACATCCTTACAAAACATTATTATTAAAGTCAGAACTTCTTTTAAATAACAAGCAGATACAAAGCCATGTCAGAAACAGAAGGCACACCTGGTGTGGATGTAGAAAATCTAAATCTACATTGCCTGTTTGTATCACATGATCTGATCTTTATGTCAGCCACAAAGCACTGCTGCTGAAAAGCTTCACAGTAATTCTTTGTCTTGTTCAACCAACAAAAATGTGAAAATACTTCTCAAACTGTTACGCAGTGTGACTCTCTCACCAGAAGATTGGGCTCTCCCCAGGCTCTCTCACTGTGTAGTACTCTTTGTCCTGGGGCAGCACTTTGGTTAGTCCAAAATCTCCAATTTTCACCCTCGTCTCGCTCTCCACTAGGATGTTTCGAGTGGCCAGATCTCTGTGGATGTATCGCTTTACTGCTAGGTAGTCCATTCCCTAAAGTATGATCACAGGAAGAACCAAATGGTTATGTAAGTAGTCATGTTTTATAAATAATTACTCATTCCCTATCCTTTGGCTTTTGAAAGCAGAAAAATACAAATAAATTGACAATAACTTGATATATATATTTTTTTATTATATAAGTATTCATACCAATACTTCCATAAATAATACTACATATCACAATAAATCCACGTCACAACTTGATAGTATTAGTAGTATTAGTCTTTAGAGTCAGCACAGCCCTCTTTACTACATTACCTTGCAAATCTGTGATGCATAGTGCAGCAGCTTCTTGGAATCAAAGCGGTCCTTGTGTTTGATGAGATAATCTCTGAGGCTGCCGTAGGGGAGATACTCCATGATCAGTCGCAAGTTCCTTCGTCCTGCAGAAATAAAGAAGTTAAGTCTGATACTGAGCAGAGGTAATATGACGTGGGAGCAGTGTGTGTGTGTGTGTGGTGAGTTCTTTATGGTGGAATTACTGAGAAAATCAAGATTTATTTCTGTCATGGGCATGGTCAGTGATGCCCTAGGCAGCAAATTTGTGAAGTGAAAAGACATTATTATGTGTAATAAAATCTGTCTGGGTGCTTAAATAAAGGGACATTTGTTGTTTGAACAAGCCTGTCAAAATAAAACACTTAATGCCTCTAGATCTTCCTTTAGAATTAAGGAAATTACATGACACACTATTTATTGCGATAAAAATGTTGTTTTTTTATTTTTATGTTGCACACATACTGTAGATATCGAGCAAAATGCTCATACCTGCACTGTAGCAGACTCCTTTGTATTGGACGATGTTTTCATGGTGGAGGGATTTGAGGATCTCGATTTCCCGCTCAAAGTCCCGGAGGTGCTCAGCTGTACTGTGCTGCAGCTTCTTCACCGCCACCACCTCCCCAGTGCTGTCCTGCAAAGGGTCGTATCTGCACATCTCCACACTGCCAAAGTTCCCCTGCAGGATAGGGCCACAGAGAAGACGGATTAGAAAGATGCATGAACAACATTTCATTTTCTAACAAAACGAATGGTTTCAATTGAATCACAGTTTTTACTCATACGTATGATTATTTTTGGGGGGATCTGGGAAAGGGCTGATATGACTTTATTTCCTGTGGCACAATAGCAACACAATATTGCGGATTTTGTCCCTCACCATTTTCATTATCATTATATTTTGCAACAAAGCCAGAGCGCTATCGTTCTTGCAGCAAAGGGAGCATTCCACCAGCCTTATATTTAATGACTGATCTTAAACACACCAAGACAAATTTGCTCAGGCTCAATGAGTGGGAAAGACAAACATTGAAGAGAGGGGATCGAGCTATAATCAGAGAAATTAAACTTAATTAACTGATAGTTTTGAAGGCGTTCATGTCCTTAAGCAGAAATTCACAGGCCCACACTTCTGCACAGCCCAGTTGGAACTTGACAGATATCGTGTTAATCCAGCCAAGACCATGCATCATTCTGGCTCTCGGTTTTATGATTCTGTTGCTCAGTCCAGACAGCAGAGGAGAGGGACATCCTGATTTTTATTAACACTTTTGTAAAACTTTGCAATAAGTTTGTGATTCACATGCCTGATCAACTCATGTCCGGGACACCTGTGATGAGTCATAATCATGGACACCTGAGGACATTATCTAGATACAAATCAAATAGAGTGTGCGCATATCTTACTTTTCCCAGCTGCTTGAGAAAGATGAGGTGGCGCTCCTCAAACTGGGCCGGCTCCTGGCTCTCTGAGGCCCATGGAAAGCCAGAGCCTCTCGACCTGTTGGGCACCATATCACTCTCGACCAGCAGCTCATAGTCTGCAACACGAAAAGGTGCAAAGTCATTTCATATAACTGATCTTCACATCTGTGTGACGGACATGGAAACTCTGACTGTGACTCTGTGACTGCTTTTTTATACCCGGTGTGAAGAGGCTGTTAAGATCTCTGATCACTGATCTGAAGGAGGGTCGGTGTGAGGGCTCGTAGTCCATACAGCTGTTAATAAGATTTGCCAGCTCTGTCCATTTAGGAGCAGGCAGCTGATGGCGGTCCTCGTAGAACAAGTTCTTCTGCAGAGGACAGGGAGAAAATCAGAGCTTGCATGTAGAATATGTTTTAGAAATGTACTGGAGCAGAGTCTTCGAAATACAAATTATGTGTTTTTAAAAAACAAACTCCTTTAAATATGTGTTAATTTTAATTGAATGGGTTACTATTTAAAGATTTGTAATTTTTTGAAAGGTGAGAACTCCCATACTACCATTATGTTTGTCAGTTAATATGAAGTATGAGCTAGCAGCTGGCTAGCATGAGAACATGTTTTACATGTATCCCTTTAAAACAGATTATTGTCAGTAACTAAAACATATCATTTATTGTTTGTGTCTCAGACCTTGGAGCAGTCCAAGGTGCTGAGAGGTTTGTCTCCACCACTGCAGATCTCCCAAAGGGTGGTCCCAAAGCCCCACTTGTCTGTGGCTAAACTCAAGTTTTGGGCGTTTTCAATGCACTCAGGTGGCACCCATGGGATACGCTCCATCAGAACTGAAGGACGGACAAAAGAAAAAAAGACGCACAGCGAGAATGAGCTGCATGAATAGAAGGTAAAGATGGACAGCAAGGAGGTACACATTTATTAATACAGCACATCCATCTTGGTGGTCATCATCACAGAGGTGTGACGTCTGTGTCTTCTCACATCAGGTCAGTGCAGGGACCCGCGTTTCTCACCTTCTCTAGGCAGCACGGTGATGCTGATACCCGGGTCACTGAGTTTGATGAAGGGCAGACTGCCCGTCATCCGATCCTCCTCTCTGATCAAAAGAACATTCTTAGCACAAACATTTCCATGAATGAGGTTCTTATTCTCCTGTGTGCAGAAAGAGAAGAAGTATAAGTTAATTAAAAAAAAAAAAAAAAATCAAAAAGCTTAAATTTTAAGTAGTTTGACTATGCTTTCTCTCACCAGATAGTGCATTGCCCAGGCTAGCTGCTTCGCCACTTCCAGCTTCCAGGTGATGTTAACACAGCTTTTATTCTTTTTCAGGTAGGTGTCCAGCGACCCAAATTTACCGTACTCCTGCACCATCATGTCTGCAATGGAGATGAGGGGACAGCTGTTTAAGGAAACATTACAATGGGAAGAAAAATGTTTAAATTTGTGATTTTCTGTGACTCCTTGTTGACTTTAACTGCAGTACCCACGTAGCCCACCAGGGTGTTTTTGTATTCCATGTTTTTCTTTGCTCATCTAGCATTAGAGTCTAAACCTTCCCTTTCTAACTGCCACCGGGGAGGATAGCCATATCATTTCTTGTGGACCATCTCTCTCCAGTTGTATGTAAGTGTGTGTGTGTGTGTGTTGTAAACTTACTGTCATCGCCACACACACACACGCCATAGTTGAGAAGTAAGTGTTTGTGCGAGTGCTGGCTCATCATGCTGGCTGCTTCATAGAAAGACTACAAGGGAGAAAATCAAACAAGAGATTTTAATAGCTTTTCCCCTCTTAACGTTTGGCACCAGGGTAATAAAAAGTTTTTAAAGAATAATGTTTTTTAATTAAGATTGACATTCTCACTCACTCAACCTGTGTTTCACACACTAACCTCTGAATAGTTGCGGTGAGCCTTGTCCAGGATCTTAATAACGACGTCTATTTGGTGTATTTCGCCGTAGTCTCCCAGCTCCTTCCTCACCCCGCAGAAGATCTTGGTGAATGTTCCTTGGCCCAAACTCTCATTCTAACAAACGAGAGATTTATTATGTGTTATAATCTACTTTGGAAAACAGTTGGAGTGCATTTTCTTTGCTTTCTCAGAGTCAAAGACAACATTTACTGACCAACACTATCAATCCATCCACTTAGTGTAACCCAACTAAGTACTTTCCCTGAGGAGCATTTAATTGATATAAGAGTTTGGCAAACCCCTTCATACTGTATTTTGTAGTGCAAAGAAAAGTCACAAGACAAATAAAACCTTGAATGGACACATTGCACTCATTAAGCTCAAACTGTTGTTTTTCTTTTATAGTATCAACTGAAGCAAAAGGAGATTTGGGGTTATGAAATGAATACCTAATGATGTTAAAGGTCCTGTATCTTGGTTTGATAGGTGAGAATGTTATTATTGAAAAAAGAGACTGGTACAGTATCAGTGTAAGGTACAGCTCATTACTTACAAAAAATCAGAACAATTACAAGGAAATGTTAGAAAGCCGAACCCAAGCCCCAACGAATGTATGGAATAGTAACAGTAAATATATGAAAAAGGGAAAAGATTACTTTTTCTCAAAGACTTAAAGGGGCAACCTTCGCTAAAAAGTGAGAGATGAACCCACTTTGTTGCAAACAAGGATGCCCTCTCTTGTCTCATGGACTTTTGGCTGGATATGATGATTATTTTCAACTTCAGGTTCCCCCACTATGTGCTCTTCTTATTTTCGTCATTTATTTTTCATGTTGTTTTAACGGGTTGCACTGTGGTGCAGTTGGTTCCCGTGTCGAGTTCTCACTGTACACGCATGGCTTCCCTCCGTGGACTCCAGCTTCCTCCCACAGTCCAAAGACATGCTCGTTAAGTTAACTGGTGACTCTAAAATGCCCATGAGCGTGAGTGTGACTGGTTGTTTGTCCCTGTATGTCAGCCCTGTGATTTACTGGTGACCAGTCCAGGATAAACCACACCTCTAACCCACTGACAGGTGGGCTCGCCCCCAGGGACCGGAGCGGGATGATCGGTAAGTGAATGGATTGATTTTTCTTTATATAAATTTGAAAATTTACGAACAAAAAGTATTTATGAAAGTTGAAATTATCAAAAGGGATTTGTGACAAAACAACATTAAACACTCTGAACTCTCTGATTAGTAAAAGGCCATCTTTGTATTTTCCTGACAGACAATTACAATCACTCAAATAACACAAAAACACAGTGAGACAGAAATAGATTGGGGCCAACGAGGATAGAGCACGGCTGACACACTTTCACAGGTATGCCAACAATGTGGTCACACATGTCTGCAGGGACTGCTATCGACCTCAAACTACAACAGATAGCTCAATAAGGATGTCTTTTTAAGAACTGTAGCAACCTCACCAACCCCGCTGCACTCTGTGTTCCTGATCTAAATAATGGTTGACATGTTTATTTTGACACATTTACAATGGACTTTTTACCTGCAGCATTCAGCTGTGGTATCACCTTAATCAAATCTAAAAGTAAAATCTGTTCAGGGCAAGAAATTACATACAACTGTCTCTTGATGTTGTTGCAAGCTTTTACAAAACATCTAATACAAAACAACAATGCAGCCTTTAAATGTGTCAGAAGAGAGGAAATGTTAAAGCAAGATCTTATCTACGACAAGGGTTATCTTACGATGACGAGGTCCTCTTTTCGGATCTTGTGGAAGACCATCTGGCTGATGTTGTGTTTGTGGAGCGAGGGGGACAGCGGAACCTCTTCCCCTTGATTGTTTCTGAACACCAGCAGGTTCGATTTATCTGAGGAAAGATAAAAAGGTGGACAAGGACTGTGGTAAAATAAGGGTCATCGCATTGCTGGGTGACACTGTTAATTATCAAATTTAAGTCAAACTGCAACAGCTGCTCATTATTTAAATGAAATGGTTTAATAAGAGGTCTTAATCATGCATACAAGCATAAAAAACATTTTGTTGTTCACTGAAAACCTGTTGGAGTAATCAATGAGTCATCAGTTTTCATCATCAACGCTATCAAATCCCTGCAGAGATCTAACGGTCATGCTGTGCGTCACAACAAATCTCAATTTCTTCTTATTTAAGGATGAAAATGAATCTGCTGCAGTACACTAGACGTTCTAGAGTATGTATGTAACTAAACACTGACCTTTGGAGGTGGGGGGACAGCACCTGATCAACTGGAATGTGTATCCATCAGTGCGGAGCGCCTCCTTCTGGTAGCAGTGCAGAAGTTCCCTTAGTGAGCCGAAGCTCCTTTTGGCACCGCTCAGAATGTACTCTCCCGCCTCCGTCTTCACAATCTGACAGTGTTTGTAGTCCACTACGGCTTCACGCTGAAAAATCCAAAAATCCAAATAAATGATTCCATGTAGTAGAATTCAATACAGAAATTTAACGTTAGTAAGCAAACATGGCTTTAGTGGCGCTGCTTTCTAATGTACTCTATGTTTCACAACTCACAAAGTGGTTCCACAACAGCCATGTTTTGTTGAAAGTCAATACAACGAAAGAAATGCATCTGAGTGGTCATAAGAACAGACTTCTTAACCCTCTATTGAAACCACTTACAATAAACGGACAGGAGGTGGAGCAAGCGAGCTGCTTTAAGTACCCGGAGACTGTCTCAGACCAGTCTTTCACCTTCACTGAACATGTGGACTATATTTACAAAACAGCACAGCAGCGACTCCTGCTGTGTAAATTAAGGAACTCTGAAGTCAGCCAGCAGAGTTTACCAATCATTGATTAAGTGTCCTCTTCTTTAAACATTTCTTTCATGGTTTGAGCCCCTTACTGTGAAAAGCAAGACAAAGCTCTCCAAAGTAGTTAAAACTAAACCCAGCTCTCTTGTCACCATGACCAAGCAGTCAACATGTAGAGGTCAGCAGCAATCCTTTGAGTCACTATTTTCAGCTGCTGCCTTCAGGGCAAAAGTAAAAAAAATACCCTGTTTTATAAAAGAACATCATTCATCGCCGTTGCTATAAAATATCTCATTTAGTGATAAAAGCTGTGTTATTTAATCGAGCCTGCTACCTCAGCACTTTGTATCTTCTTCTCAGACTTTTAATGAAATGTAGAGCACCAAGATTTCCTTTTATTGCAGCTTTTATTGTGATTATAAGTTAATGTGTTTTTCTATTTATCTTTATCTATTCTAGTAATGCTGAATATCATGAAAAAATAATTTTCAGAGTTTGAATCAGTGTGGGAAGACTTGAGAGCATGTGAGAGAATCAATCCTCATGTCTCCCTTCAGTGATTGAAAATAGGATAATGGGTTATATTCAGTCATTTAAATAGACAAATTGTCAATGAAGTCTTGCATGCACGTTTTTATGACTACCTTAGTTTTAGCATATACATACTGTACAAAAACAGTTCACTTTTAGAAACAGTTAAATGTAATGATGCAGCTGTCACTTTGACCATCTTCACCTTTATTTGAACAATGATTATTCTAAAGCCTTACACTGAACTAACACTATGCTGTGAAGGGACTTGTTGTGGCGCCTCGTTGTATCAGCCAATGGCAGTGACTCTGAAGTCTACTTTGATGCAGGCAGTAGTGTACAGCAGACTTAGTAACATGTTTAAATTGGCAGAGATTGTGTACTTCACAGTAATGATGACCCAACATTAACAACTTACTCCGACCACAAAAGACATGAAGTACTTGTCGTAGTCCCTGGGGCTGCAGCGGAGGATGTACAGGCCTTGGTGGTTACCAGAGCGACGCAGCTTGCCAATTGTGAACTCCATCCTGTGATCAGACACAGAATGTGTGTTTGTGGAGGTTCTGAGGTTAGAAGTGCATGCGTAGATCTGTAAAAATGTTTAACTTTGCATGTATGTGATACTCACGACACAGGTCCGTGGCAGTAGCTCTGAATGCACCGCAGGAGTCTGGGTGGAGCTACTTCTTTACACAGGTAATGATGCGCATCTGCAACAAGCCTGTAATACCCATCAACTAATGACACGAATGACAAGGCCTCCGAGAGCGAATGAAATTCCAGTTCCTTTGTGGTCAGACACAGACAGGGAGGGAAGAAAGTAAATGGAATATTTTGTTTCTTTTCATAACTTTTAATCAATGTAAATCACAAGGATTCAATCTATTTATGTATGCAATTTACTGTAACATATGACAATATGCACTTTATCAAATAACTTCCTTTAACTTTGTACAAACAACTTATGTGACAAGTATGTGATTATTAAAACATTCCTGATATCAGCAAAGCAGATAAGAGAGCAGAACAGCTAAGATAAGAGAACGCCTGTTAACAGCTTGTTAAGAGTCCAGTGTTTACTGTACCAGGATCTTGTTGTGCTGGTTGGTCAGAGTTACTACGCGACTCTCCACAGATCCTTCCTTGTTTGCCTGCTTGATGCTGATGTCAATCACCTCTGGGAAGTCACAGTATGTCTGCAGCTCCTGCAGTCACAAAAAGAACAAAACAGTGGTTTTCTTTTTTAAGAGATGAGGAAGCATGCACACACAAACCCTCTTGTTGTTATAGCCAATTTAAAACAACTCCTACAGCTCCATCTATTGGTTATAAAACAGACATCACACTGTGCAGAATCCATTACTGAGGCAACATGAAGCCATCTTCCTCTCCTCACCTCCTCTGCCCCCGCCTCCTTTTTCCCTCTTGACCACTGGATGCCCCTGTTGCCCATGACGACGATGGTAACCTCCCGTGCCGAGAGGTCAGTGACTTGGAAGCGCTCGGAATAGAGACTGGGCAGCAGCATCTCCAGGCTCATCAGGTATTTGAGCTTGAGGTTACACACTGTGGCTTTGCATTCGGTGAACTGCTGGATGAATCTCCGGAAGCGGTAGCGGATCCTTTTCCGAGTCAAGATGTTATATTCCCGGATGCGGTTTTGCATGCATCTTGGCAAGAAGGACTTATAGCTATTAGTGAAGTAAGAGTAGTTCAGAAGAACGCAGAGAAGAAGAGGGAATAAGAAACAAACAACAGAAGACAGAGAGAGGAGGGAGGAGCAAGGTTAAAAGAGTGAACACTACACAGGCTCCGTGCCAGCTGTACCTGCTGGGTTCACCTCAGGAGAATCAGTCAATAACATTTCACTTCAAGTCCATAAGAGTTGAATCAGATTCTGTTGACACCTTTTCAATAATGAATCTATCTCCATGCTAACTTTTTTCTGAAGTCTCTGTTACAATGCTCTTAAATTCATGAGCTGAACCAAATATGTGCCACTAAAATAGCCTAAAACACGAGTGAAATATGAGTCCTTTTGTGTTTTCAATGACTTGAATTGTCTATCACATCGTGAAACATCTAAAAATGTTGCAGTAGAGGGGCTGCACTTTTCAATACTAAAGACAGCTACTCTGTCGTGTGAAACTTAGGGATTATTACAGAACTGTCCCCTTTTCCACTACATAACACGTTTATTTTATTTTATGATTCTTGGTGGTAATAAGCAGATATAGACCAAATGTGTACATTCAATAATATATACAAATATGGATATACCTGGTAACACTGCAGATGTCCACTGGTGACTGACCACTCTCTTTGGCGAGCCTCATCATGTCCAGCACCGCCATGCCCAGACATTCCTCCTGGGCTTCATGACTCACTGGAATATGAACCAATCCATTCAGGAAGTCACTGCGCCACTGGAGGAGAAAAAATAAATTAAAAACATACAAAAATGACTGGGAGAGTCTGAAGAAAAGATGAATGTCTGACCTAAATTCACATGTCTAAACATGGATCTAAACTATACAAGGTGAGAATAAATATAACTTCAAAGGGTTTGGAATATAACTGCAGTAATTATTGGTTTTCAGACTGACGTTAACAATCTATTCATCCAAATTAGCATTAATCACATCTATTTTAAATAAGTAAAAATAAGTATTGTATATATTTAATTTGCAACAAAACAAATGTATTGAATGGGCGCTGATTGGCCATGCAATACGTTTGGATGCAAAGAGAATGTGCTGGTAGTCCTCCAAGTGGACAGCCCGGGCTTGGCTCCTACCCTTGGCTCCTTCCCTACATGTTTATTCTATTCTCTCTCTCCCAGGTTTCCTACTCTAACCACTGTCTCATGTACATGAAGAAGTAAAAGCCCGAAATAATTTGAAAAAAACAAATTGTATTGTAAAGTGAAACTTATTTCATTTAATACCTGATAAACAAGTGTTGTTGGGGCTGCTTGTAACAAACAGTCAGTAGGTCAGTCTGTTGACTGTATAGTCTATGGTGGTGAAACTCATAACTCATGGAGTCAATGTGGCAGCAGAGATAAAAACACAGCATAACAGAGCACAATTTCAAGATCCCACAACCATGTGCGACAGAAAAAAAAACAGACACCACTTAAAAAATTGCACAGAAATATGCACTAACAGACACTGAGACACAGTAAAAAATAACCCTGACAACCCCATCTTCCCCCTTTGTTTTTTTTTTTTAGCCCTGACCCACATCCTGTTTTCTCAACTTACACAGCAGAACGAGTGACATGATAGACAGACTACCAGTCAGTCAAACAGAGAGGAAAACAAGCATATTTTATTGCCCACCACCCAATATTTCTGCTTATCTGTTTATGGGGGGTACAAACTGTTGGAAATAGTTCTATTAGAATGCAGGTTTGCATATGACAACCAATCCAGAAATGCACTCCAATAAAATAAAATAAAACATACAGCAGATAAGGAAGAAGAATCATTACACGAGGTGTGAGACATGAAGACTAACCTGGAAAAATTGGTAAGCCATGACACAATCATCCATCACAGGGCTTTCCCTCCCTTTGGTCATGCCACAGCGGTGGGCATACATCGAATTGCTACTGTTATACCAGCCAGGAAAATAGTATCTGCACACAAAAAGAAGACCAAAGATGAGCCGAAAAGAAAAGACCTAAACCTTAAAACAAAACATGGAAACGCTGAAACGAGGAAATAAGATTATACTTCAAATATCTCAAACTACCTGATTCTGAAATGCAGCTTCTCACTGGCTGGCTGGTCCAGTTTAAAGATGTGATTTGGAGGGAACCATATTCGGTCACTCTCCCTCATCAGGCTGAACAAGCTGCAATACAGTGGAGCAATCCCTGTAAAGAAACAGAGAAAACAATCATTGTTTACTGTCTGCAGAGAGTTTGACTCTGGAACAGGGACTCAAGTCACTTAGGGCACGGTCACACTGGCCACCTGTTCCATGCATAAGCACGCTTCACCACTAAAATCCAGTTTGTTTGACCAGTGTGACCGCTCCGTACCATGCTCAAGCTCTGTACACTTCCTTGGCCATGGCACGCTTCGGAGAGGTGTGCTTTGGCACGGTACAGTTCATGCACTAGCACAAGCACAAGCATGCGGGTAAACAGCGTTGACAGCCTTTATCATGAAGAAATCCAGAGTGTTCTGGCTGTATCTGATTAAATGACTCAAAATAAAGACACGTCCCTTTTTTTAACTTTTTTCTTTAGACCGCCTGTTTGTGAACCTGCTTCATAAAAACAAAAAGCCATGAATGTGCTGTCTTACGACTTTATGTACAAGAGGTAACCGTGCTTAGGCCCGGTTTGTCCTGGAGCAGTGTGACTGCAGGCCGTGCAGGCCAGCAAGGGAATGGGGAGGGGGGACATCATTGACAGTGAGACCGCGCCCTAAACTCACTGTGCTTCATGAATGAATGGATGGCTTAAGATAGCTTCTAATAACTAAAGATCAGGGAACACATGCTTTATAGTCTCTGAAAAGTACTGCAGAACTATAATTGATATTAAGAAAGTCTACTGACACTGTTTTTTTTAAATACTTTTATTTATTCTGTTTTTTGGGACAAATAAAAACAAGAGTTTCAACTTGAACCTTTTTTTATGATTTGATAATAATGATGATGCACAAATGATAACAACCTTATTATTGATCACATTTACCACTTTGATGGAGAATATAAGTCAAATATTATTCTATGATAACATTATATTTAGGATTGCTGGCATATGGGTCCCTATCAGCCCCTACCATTCCTCTCTGGATTGACCTCTGACCATTCAAATATTACCATTATGTCTGCAAAGCCCCAGTTCAACTGCAGAAAGGTGTCATGTCAGCCGGGCTAAGTAGGTCATTAGCAGCCAGAAAGTGTCATCACACGGAAGGAAACACTCACACGTGTTAAGCAATGGCATGGGGTGTGTAAGAGGAAGTAAATTTAACAACAACAGGGGAAGTGAAGTTAAAGCTGTAACCAACAGTATAAGCAAGTCCCATCTTGTATCATACATTACATTGTCTAATTATATATCAACCATGTGTAGAAAGTGAATTACTGTGTAAAATTAACCAGGTAGTAAAAAGACATGAAAAGGAAAAACAACTGGAGAGAAGATAAAATAGAGAGAGAGGGGGGGGGGGTTTCTGCTTATCGGCTCAAAAGCATTGAAGCAAGAGAGTGTGCAGGAGAGAGATAGAGCTGAGGCCAAAAGAAAAACAGACACAACAGTTGACAACTTCCTGATTTGAATTTGCTAGAAAGAGAGGACATAAAGCCAGGCTGAACACTACTTCTGTTTAAAATAATAATAAACAGAGAAATAAACAGACATGAATCAGAGTCTTGGAATTCAGTTCTTCTTCCTGTTGAAGTGGATGTTTCCCGCTTCATCTGATTTCTACTAATGAACATAACAAAAATAGACCCAGCTTTACTATAAAGGAGGATAGGAGACAAATTAAACAAGAAAAAAGAAGAATAAAATGCCTTTAAGGTCAAATGCTAAAGTTCCTCAAACGACTTACTTTGGGCAGGCAAACATGCATGTTTTTTTTTTTTTTTAATCAGTCCAAGACAATACCACCCTCTCCATGATCAAATGATTAGTGGACAATCTCTCCTGTCATGTACCTGCTCTTTCTGTAAGGTAAATGGTTTAAGTAGTTTGTGAGTGAACACTAAAACAAGGTGGAGATCAAAGTTGAAACAAAAAAATAAGAACAACATGGAATAAGAAATAAACACCTAGATTAAGGGAAATGTATTTTTTCAAATATTTTTAATAGATAATTAAGTCCCATCCTAACACTTGGCCCCCAGTGTACCGCCCCATCCCAAACCTCAGATCCAGTTAATCCTCTACTGTTGTACAAAAACTGTAAATGGCCGACATTTTTAAGTCTCCAAAGGATGTTTCCTTATTTAGTTTGGAGAGAGATACATATTTTGATTATTTTTAGTCAAAAAGTTAAAGGTTGATTTATTAAAACAAAATAAGTTTTCCCCTGTGTGTCATCTGCATTTGAAGCGTTCTTTTATCTCCAGATTGTTCTAAACATTGAGTGCATCATGTGCTTTTAAGACACTGGGAACTGGAAAATGTTGTTGGTGAAAACATAACTCAGCCCTTCCCAGGCTTTTATTCTTATCCCATACATAAAATCTAATACGTTCTTCTAGGATTTCTGCTTCACTGTCTGCATTTGATGCATCATTTCTTTCATTTGACAAGAGATTGGGGGACCCCTACTTCAGACAGGCTTTTAAAATGAAAAGCAATTAGGATTATTCAAAAAACTATCATTGCAACAACCAATATATATGACTAATGATTTTATTTAACTAGGCACTTTCCAAGATTGTGATTCGTGTTCACAGTGCGTGAGTGTCTAAGTATGTTTTATTTGCAAATGTTTGTGTGTACTGAAAAAACATGTCAAAAGAAAGCTCCAGCTCTCAGGCTGTCGCTAGGTTGACTGAAAGTTAGGTTAAGACAGCGTTTCCAGCATGGTGACAGTCATCGATGGGACTTCAATGCCCCCAGCAGTAGCAGATGAGTGACGTCACTCAGGCTAAGTCCATTAATATTTACAGTCTATGGTTTGGGCAGACATTAGAATCTAGTTGTGACTTACCACATGCTTTCGCCGCACTGATGCATAGTTCCTCTGCTACATACTCCCCAGCTGGAAACGTGAGGGCTCTTTCTGAACTGTTGACCTCATCCCCTTCACCACCCTTCCCTTGATAGTACAGGTGGAGAGTGAGGCAAATGGTGTCCTTGTCCTGCTTGGGCTCGAGTTCAGCCAATGGGTCAAGTTGGCAATTGTGATGTGCTGTTGGACTGGAGGTGGGTGTGTCCATGTCTGTCAGCATAATACAGGCCACTAGATGCTAAGATCCAACATCCAACTGAAAGGGGACAAAACAATAACATGTGTGAAGTATCAGAAGGAGTAGACAACTTCAGACATTGTAATCACCTTCTTAATCATCTTCAGAGTACAAGAGAGAGCTCCATGATGGTGCTGGATGAAAAGTAAGTGGACTGAAGTTTCAGTTCATCCTGTGAGGACTGTGACTGTTTAAAGGCATCAACTGGTAACCAGCGCTTACAAACTTGCACAAAAATATTCATGCAAAGTTAAAGATGGTGTTATTTGGTTAAACTAGTTCGAGTCAGTCTCTTTATTACAGATTTATTTCTGTACAACAACAATTTATTGTGATTATTTAACTAGTATTGACATTAATTCCTGTCGGATATAGCAGAAAGATTTTCAAACAGCTAAAAATCTTGCAGCTTTTAAATGCAAAAGGAGGGGTTGAATACAGAGGGGAAATTTGTAAATATTGTCAAAGACAGGCCCTTGATAAAAAAAAAGCCTGCAGGAAACAGACATTTAATCCTTTTAATGTCAGAAAAAGATTACACAGGATTACAAAAACATCTGTCACAGATTTTCTTTTTCCTTTATTAGATTTTAGTGCTTCAAAAGGGTTGGGGTTAAACCTTTCACTATTAATGTAAAGATTGATTTTTTTTTCTTATCCTTATACCTTTTTCTATTATTTCTTGATCATACTGTATGTCTTGATCCTCTCAACACTGAGATACCAGTTCTATTATCTTTAGTAAAAATTTACAGCACAAAAATACAGGAAAAGGGTTTGAATGAGAAGAGGAAAACTATAAATAATTTTAAAGGGAAAGTCCTCCAATGAAACCTGTATCAGAAAAGAGGTCTTCAAAAGAAAATATCAAGAGAGCCACTGGCTGAAGAGAAGGTAATGGCCACAGTTTGAGCACACTGGAAGACATCAGAAATTAGTGGTAGTAGTTGAAGGTCTGAACCTAGTACTTCCAAGGCAATGACTCAGAGGAGTGAGGAAGGTTGCAATGTTTGTTGTCAGCACTGTGTGTATCCAATCTGAAGCAGCACTGGTCTTGATATAATTCTGCTCTTTAGATTTTACGCAGAGAAAGCCAAGAGTAAAACCTGCAGAAAAAGGAATGCATGGCTTGTCCATTTACTCTAATTTTCCACGGCACTTTTACAAACTTTAGCTGCATCTATCAACAAAAAGTATGATAATTGCATGACACCAGTACATTTTGGGGTACCACAAACATTCGGGACAGTGACTTGTTCACATGCCTGATATGCTCTCTAATCTCTCTCACACAAAATGAGCTTCACTTATCATCAATTATGTTTATGGTTCAATAGAACACAAAATAACGGAAGCTATAAAGACTGCAGTGTGGTAAAGTTACAAATACAGACTGTCTTAGTCTTGTCCCCAATCTACATGTTCGGAAATGGACTTTCTCTTTTTTATTCATTGAACATTTGTTGCTCGGGATGTAAAGATTCATCGTAAAAATTGTGATAAATCAATTCAAAGTTGTCAAGATTCACATCGGTACTCTGAAAAAAGGATCACAATAATATGGTGAGCGTCAGCAGCTGTAGAGCAGAGGCGGTTGGCAGCTCCAGAGCAACATTTTGAAATTGAGGACGCACCACCGTCTTTTAAATCGGTGGTGTGGAAGCATTTGAGAAGATAACAGACAAGACAAAAACTGTGTGCAAAATATTGCAAGAAGACAGGGAACTACACAAATATCACAACCAACATGATGCAGCATTTAATCACACCACAATGAGAAGGTCCAATCACTTCCCTTGATGAGAAAAAAAAAAACATTAAAAGGCCAAACCACACTGACAAGTGGGTTTGCAACCCGTAAAGGAATCTTTTTCAGTCATAATTTGTCAACAGTCTCATTTTGTAAAATAAATTGTGAAAGAACTATATCGTGAAGCCAGTATCGCAAATCATATCGTGAGTTGAGTGAATCGTTACATCCCTATTTGTTGCTATAACAGTTCTAAACATTTGATGACACTTCATACTACTGAAAATTTGTTTAGAAGAAGATTGACAGATTCATGCATTTGGCTCCACTGTAAGGGACAAAACAGCTCTGATATTATAATATTGTTTTTCCTTTTGTGGAAACATGGAAGTACACCAGTGAAGTAATATTTGAGGAACTTTATAAGCTAGCATGCTATGGTGCTCTGTCAGTCCAGCACTTTGAGCCACATTGTTAAATTTGAACAGCATGGATTGGCATGAATTTTGGCAGTGATATTCATAGTGTCCTCAGGATGAATCCTCCTGACTTTTGCAAACCCCAGACTTTTCCTCTTGTAGTATCAGCAACAGAGAGGCATCGTTTTGCATGCCAAATACTACTCTATGGATTGCCATATACTTTGGTACACATATTCTTGTCCCCTGAAAAATGAATTACAATGACTTTGATGACCTTCACACTTTAGTCTGATGCCATCTTTAAGACATTTGAATACCTCCAATACTTGGTTTATGTGCAATTCAACACTGATAACATTTCCTTCAACTTTAGCTGGACAATATCAAGTGCTAAAAAGCAATCTTTAATATACATTATTATTAGAAAATCTAATAATGTAAAATCTTCAGTAGAAATTGCACAAAACTCAGTTACCAAATTGTAAACTATTTAAATCATCTGGTCAGTTCTGTTTTTTCATAACCTGGTTGAAATTACTTCAACTAAAGGTAATTTCATGATTTATAACATTATTTGTTAGTTGGAAATGCAAGTCTTTTAGTTGTTGTTTTTAGAGGACAGTTTTGTTTGTCATTGCCTACAATCTATTAATTGTTTGACTCGTTTCTCTCTGTAAAGTTTGTGCATCCTGTTGTTGATGGTGTTTGTATTCATACTGTCAAGCTCCCTGTTTTAGTTGAACTCTGATCAGCTGATAACACCATCCTTGAATAGCTATTCAACAGAACATTCTTTTGGTCATGACTGCAGTAAGTTCGCTTTAATTAATATGCAATATGGGGCGTTTCTGCCCTAGCGGGTAAATTACTAGGAGGAGAAAATTTAAATAAGTTAATTTAGTGAACGCATTGTGATTTACCAACTGATTTACCTTCCTTTGAGAGGAAGGTGCTAATCCAGGAGACCAGCGTTACGCACGACATGCTGTTGTTATTGTTGTTAGGAGGAGACATAGGAAGAATAAAAGGAGGCGTAAATATCGTGTTTTTCCCCACTAGTATTAATATGTTTGGAATGACAGAAAAATAAATGGTCTGCATTTATTTTTTCATTTACATTCAATGATCATTAATGAAGAGAAACACCATGATTAAACCTATATTGTGGCCTATTTATAGCCAAACAAAACTTAACATTCACGGCCTCCGGTTCGTGGGTGGTATCAGGTTTACACACGTTTTAACACATGCAAACCTTTAGTAAATCAGGACCTAAGGGTGTTGAAGGTAAGTCACCGAAAGCAGTCTGTCATCTGTTATTTATCTGATTTGCAATGGCGCTAGTGCCATACAAGGTGGTATCATGAGTATAGAAAAAGGCATACAGCAAGCAGTAAAAAGGAATTATAAAATTACAGATAATAGAAGTGGTCCCGATATAGATCCTTAAAGGATACCATTGAAATGAGCATGTTTGATTTAAAAAGGGCTCACAATCAATAAAAATGACAATTTCACACTGTGGCTTGTTATTTTATGTGATGATAAACCAGTACTGTTTACAGCACTGTTATGTTCTAGATTTATGTTCCTGACAGCAGCTCAACACGCTATGTGACTCTTGGAAATTCACATGAAAGTAAGGTTCTATTCAATAAATGCATTCAAATGCATTCAGCATCACTTGATCAAAGATCAAAGATCAAGGTGTGTCCTGCTTGCACGTTTAACAAAATAAAGTAAAACAATGGCTCTTCATCAGTTTTGTTTAATTGGCTCTATGTAGCCTCCCAGCACTAAATAATATGGTACAGCTTTAACTTGGTGGTGGTCAACCAAGCTTATTTTATGCCAACTGGGCCCACCTGTGGATTTGCCTGTTGTAATCAGATTTATGCTGAATTGAATTTCAACACACATAACCAGTTTAAAATTTAGGCAAGCAAAGTTTATGCAAATGTTAACTGTTGGAATGGTAGAGTATCTTATGTAGTAGACAACACAGAAATATGTGCAACTTAAAAAATGTGCCGCATTGGATTAAAAGTCCTCAGCACGAAGAGAGTTATTGATGCAACATATTGGGAGACCTGTGATATAAAATTGGAAAGTTGACACATGTTTAAGAATTAATAAAACAATGCTTACTTACTTTCAGTGTGTTTGCACACCCAAAATGTTTATCAGGTGGCAGACAGGCAGAGACCCTGACCAGTTCCTTACAGTGTCTTATCTGAAACTCACTGCTAGTTGAGGTCAAAGCTGTCAGCTTGGACACATTTTTCCCTTCACGGCTGTTTTGCTCCAAAGCTGGGCACTGAAACAACTTCTTTAATAAGCCTCCAGACATGTTGCACTGGCCATTCAACTCAATGTCTTTGACCAAGTTGCATGTAAGGCAACAGAAGTTCATGTCATAAAATATGAAATCTAGTTTGGCAACAATCCACTCCATAGCGGCACCAAACGTGTGTTAATGCACAAACAAAAGTCCCCAATTGTAAAAACAAAATGTAATTTACAATTACTGACTATGCTAAATAAGTCTTAGCTTGTCAAAGCCAAGGTCACAATATTCTTAGTCACAAAACTCACAGATGGACCTTGTTTGATATAGATGGTTGTTTTATTCCTTAGAAATTTCTACCAATGAGTAATGTCAATCAAATGCTTTATTTTACTAGAAAGTGACTTGTGAATTCATAATAAAGCTTATTTTCCTTTAGATATAAAAGTTGGAAGAGCACAGGTTTTAATACTAAATTAATTTTGATTTCTCATAATAACAGACCCTTTACCTCATTTTTTTTCTTTCTTACTTCAACGAGTATTTTAAGGAGGGGTTT